GGGTGAGCACCCCTTTGGCCCTGGGCTGGAAGGACGCCTGGGCCTGGCCACCTGACTCTTGTGTAGGCACCCTCCAGGGCGGCCTCTGACGCCTCTAGGCCATCAGGAGCAGGGGGAGGCCGCAGGTGGTCCCGCCAACGAGGGGCAGCTGGGGGTGGCCGACCTTGCCGCCCTCCCCATTCTAGGGAGGGGGAAATGAGGACCAAGGGTGTTGTGGTCCACAGGAAGCCTGGGCCCAGCAGCTCAGGGGTGTTGGCCCTTTTCCCCTCCCCCCCCCTCCCCCTCCCCCCCCCCCCCCCCCCCGCTCCCGTGGTGGGGAGCCAGGCCGGCTCCCATGATGGCCCCACCTTCCCCGCAGCCAGGGAAGCACTAGGGCGGGCGGCATGCTCGTGGTGCTGGGGACCCAGGCTCTGCCCGGGGAGTGCTTGCGGCGGGGACCCCTAGATTGCTGGATAAACTTTCACATTATGAGTTCGAAGCCTTCGAGCCAGGTACAGGAGGAGAAGCCGCTTGTGGCCGCGGGGTGCGCTGTGGCTCCGGACTGCTGGGGACCAACGAGTGCGGGGTGGGCGGGGGCCAAGCTGCTGCCTTGGCGGAGTGGACACCCGCAGGCTCTGCCAAGAACGCTGCCCGCCCACCACCTCGCATCCGACTCCGGCCCACCTCCGGGTGTGAAGAATGCTCAGGCCGTGGGGCCGCGAGGTGGAGGCCGGCCCGGGGGCAGGGCGCGGGGGTTGGGGGAGGCCGGCCCGGGGGCGCGTGGGGGAGTCCGGCCTGGGGGCGCGGGGTGAGGTCGGCTCGGGAGCAGGCTCCGTGAGGCGCGCTTGCCGCGGTGGGCGCCCGGCGTCCCTCCAGGTCGGAGACTTTCCCGTCCGTTTCCCGGCTGGGCGCGGGCTGAGCTGACCCCCGGGTCCCCACTTACCGCAGAGGGCGCGCAGCCGGAGGCACCGCTCGGGCGCGGGCGGGTGGGAGGCCGAGCCGGGCTGGGTCGCACCGTCTGGGGCGCACGAGTGGAGACGGTCCCCGCGGCGCCCGAGGGGTCTTCGGCCACCGGTGGCTCACCTATGGCGGGGAAGACGCGCGTGGCCGCCCCGGCGACGCCGCCCCGACGCGCGGCTCCGTGTCTGCGCCGACCCCGCGGGGTGTCCGGCGGCGACCCCACGACCCCGCGCGCCCCGCGCCGGCCGCACCCACTCGGCGATGGGTCTCGCCCCGCGCCCGGGAGGGGCCGGGAAATCCCGCCCGCCGCCTCCGACGTCACTAGTGCGTCACCGGGGCTCCCGCACCCGGCTCCGCGCACCCCGTGCCGCGTGCCTGGACCCCGCCCCCTCCCCGCGCGGCCCAGGGCCCGCGGACGGGGTTTCCTCGCAGGGGCCGTGGCCGGCGGACGAGGCCCCGGGTGTGGGGGGGGGGGCACCGCGGGCGTCGCTAAGCGACCGCCGAGACCCCGCACCCACCAGATCCCAGCGCGGCCTCCATGCGGCCCCGCAGCACCCACTTGGCGGGCCTTGCCTTTGGACCCGTGCGCCCGCGCAGGCCGGGGCCAGGGCTGGAGCTCGGGTTACCCAAGGTGTACCACGGTGTGCGCGCGCGTGCATGGTGTGCACGCACCTGCGTGTCTGCACACATACTTACCTAATTTAATGACCATGAAGGTGTGGTACCGAAGGGTCACAGTTCGTGAGTTGGACAGTGTCACCCCTTGCTTGGCTTCTCCAGCTTCTCCCCCGACTGGCGTTTTGCCCTGTCGGACGCTCCCGCCACGGGCCGGCTTTGAACCTCCGGCCTCACAACTCAGCCTCCTGAGCAGATGGATTACGGGCTGGCCATGGGAACCCAGCTGGACCTGTGTTTTGTGACACGTTGAAAACTGCTCCTATCACAGCCTTGATGCCAGGAGAAAGAAACAGCTTCGGCGCCTTCCATTTCCGGCTGTTGGTGAAACAGCACCAGGCTGTCGGGAGAGAGAAGCACCACAAGCATCTCAAGCAGAATCAGCAAGACTCGCAGAGGATGAGGGGAAAGAAGATCGTTTCCTTCCACAAAACCCATCACGGGGTCAGAATGCCAGTGGGAAATGGCTGGAAAAGCTGCCTCCTTCTCCACCCACCCTCAGCACCAAATGACGCTGGACATGGGCGTTTTTAGACCTCTGGTCCCTTTACCCTGATATTTACCCCGGCCAAACACACACCATCATCTTCACCTTCACTGAGTGTCTGCTGGATGCAAACACAGAACCTGGAAAGGTGGACTTGGGGCTGCAGCTTGCATCAGTTTTTTTTTTTCATAGCTCTCAAGAGCCCATTAAGTACCAAATTAATCTTAGAATGATTACACCAGTCAAAGTCTGCAGTACTTTTTTAAGGAGGAAGATACATATGCCCTGCACTGAAAATTCAACAAAATCCCAAATCCCATAAATCTATTTCCCCTGCAGTTAGTTCCTCCCTCAGCAGTGCTTACTTTCCCAGGATTGCTGGGTAAAAGAGAATCTGAAGGGCTTTTTCCATCCTGCATCTCAAATCCCAATTTCAGCCCCAAATACTCTGTTCTAAAGGAAAAGAATACCTATCAACACCTACACTTGAAGTTACTGCCTCATTTCATCTAATTATTATACTGTTCATTCAACTTTTTTTTTCTTGTACCAGTACTGGGGCCTGAACTTAAGGCCTGATTGCTATTCCTCTCCCGTTTTTTTTCCCCCCTAAGAGGGAAAAAAACACTCTACCACTTGAGCCATACTTCCACTTCCAGCTTTTTGCTTGTTATTGGAGCTAAAGAGTCTCACAAACTTTCCTGACCAGGCTGGCTTCAAATCAAGATCCTTAGATCACAGCTTCCTGAGTAGCTAGGATAACAGGCACAAGCCATGGCACCTGGCTAATTATTATTATTATTAGTCAGTTGTAGGGCTTGAACTCAAGGCCCAACCTTTTGCTCAAGGCTAGGGCTGTACAAATTTGAGCCACAGCTCTACTTCCAGTTTTTGAATAGTTAGTTGGAGATAGTCTCACAGACTTTCCTGCCCAGGCTAGCTTTGAACCATAATCTTCAGATCTCAGCCTCCGAGTAGCTAGGATTACAGACTTGAGCCACCAGCCCCTGGCTAGTTTAGTTTTGACAGTACTGGGGTTTGAACTCAGGGCCTCAAGAGATTATATCATATTATCTTTTTTTCAAACAGCTGCAGTGCAGTATCTCCAGAGTGACAGGATGTACTTTCTGTCCTTGTCATTTACAGTTGCTGGCACCTCTTTCCCAGCTCAGCATCCATGGAAGTGTGCACTGGCGATAGAGCTTTTTTATTGTGTAGGACTGGATGTTGTGACATCCCAGATATGTTTGCACTGAACCCGAGACTTTTTCTCCCATCCTCTGTGTTCCACTGCTCTCCCCTCACTTGGCCAACTGCTGCCGCTGCTTTTCTCCGGGCTTTCTGGTGGATGGTGTGGAGCTTGTTTGATTTTGCAGTGTTGTCATTCCATAATAGATGAGGGCTGTTGCCCTGACAACAGGAGCCCATTGAAACAATAAGATAGCTATCCAAGAAATGGGACAAGGTGGGGAGGGGGCGGGAAGAAGAACAGCAAGAACTGGGCCATTCTGTCTGCACTGTGGGGCCTGCTAGAGACTGCTGAAGCACAACTAGCAACACAAGGGGGACCCTGACTTGGATCCATGAGTTTTTAGTTTCAGTCAGCAGTGGAGCTGCCTTCAATGCTGCCTTCAGCTCTGCTGAGGTCAAGGTAGCCAAAGTAGTAAGAGACCTCAGAGCCAAGAAGGGGCACTAAGAGGCCAGGAAGCATCCTGGTGCCTCCCTTCCCACCATCACTGATGTCACACAGGCAGGCATTGACAAAAGGCAGCTGCTGAGTTCTGGGAGTGGGATGATGCCTGGACCATCTTGAAAAGCCATGAAGCAAGGGCCAGCCAGGGGGGGCATCTGTACCTGCCTTCCCTGCAGCCCTCCTCAGGACACAGGTGGGGCTGCCAATCCTTCTCTCTCTGGCTGGATCCTGCTGAGGTTGACACCCGGTCCCTGTGTAGGTACTATTTTCTTCACTGAGGTTTCTGTTCATTCCCTAGGTTGCAACAAAACCTGCAGTCCTACAAGAGACATTCTAGCTGGGCATGGTAGTGGACACCTGTTACCCCAGCACTCAGGAGACTGAGGCAGGTCATCCGTTTGAGGCCAACTTGGGCTATATAACAACATCCTGTCTCAAAAAAATTCAAGGGCTGAGACGAAGACGAAGCTCAGGGGAGATGCTCTGTAAATTACCTCTGCCCAGACTGTGCTGTGTTCTCACGGTGTCTTGGCTTTGCCTCCCAACACTGACTTGTTGGTCATGCACCCACAGCATGCCTCGGCACTGACATGCTTTCTCAGTAGCCTATAACCTCCAGAAGGCAAGGGACATGGAGGCACTGTGCCACGCCACATGGCCAAGGCTCACCATGGTGCCTGGCATGTGCTGGAGTTCACTGTGGACCTGCACAGGTTCTTTGACATGAGCAACTGGTTTGGGGACTGACGTCTCAACTTCATTTAAGGGTAGGAAAGGTTGAAATGGAACATTTTAGGACAAAAACCACAATTAAAAATGAAATTTATCTTTTTGTAGTGATAGAAGTTTTTTTTTTAAGCATCTGAAAACCTATGCGGGTTGTTAAAAAGTCATTGGTGTGAGATCTGATCATGGATTTATTTTTATTTTTTATTTTGTCAGTAGTGAGGTTTGAACTATGGGCCTGAGTGCTGTCCCTCAGCTCTTCAGCTCAAGGCGAGCACTCTACCACTTGAGCCACAGCACCACTTCTGGTTTTCTTATGATTAATTGGAGATCAGAGTCTCAGGGACAATCCTGCCAGGGCTGGCTTTGAACCGAGATCCTCAGATCTCAGCATCCTGAATAGCTAGGATTACAGGCACGAGCCACTGGTGCCCTGCTTGATCACTGATGTTTAAATCATATAAAGGACAAGCATTTAAATCTATTTTTATGAAATTTATTTCCAAACCAAAGTGGCAGTGTATACAAAGATAACAGAGCTTGTGATAATTTATAGGAATGTTTTGTTTTACATGCACATTAGGAAGTGTTTCCAACATATACATACTAGGTTTCATGCTGAATAAATAACCCCAATTAATTTTTATTTTTACAAAAAAATAGAATATTGCACTCTTAACAAGACCAGTTATTTTGCATATTTTTCTTTATGATGAAATTCAGCCCTAAAAAAAGACGGAGTAGCAACCCTGTTCTAACAGGAGACCAATTTAAAGTTCTTAGTAAAAAATGGAAGCTAGACAATAGTTGTGTTTTCTTTTTGAAGCCATCACTGCAATGTGAGAGAGAATTCTCACCTCTGCACCAATGTGGCTTGTGCCGGCTTGGGCGCAGCCTGCAAGGTTGGGCCCATGCGTGCAGCCCAAGATTAGAAGCACATGTGGCCACTGTGCTTATCCTGACAGTCAGCAGAAACTTTGGAATTGCATTTTATAGTTTTTAAGCAGAATGTTTTAGAAAGTCTGGAAGTTACAAAAGTAGTTGTGTAAACATCGTCTGAATTAAATTTCTGTAATAAGTGAATGACTTATTCTGAGGCAGGAATGCATCTTTTTATGGTAACATTTCCGTGCCTATGTTAGAGTGTTTTCAAAGTCACTATAGCAGCACCCCAAGTGAAAATACGGTTGTTCCCACAGTGCTGGAGCGACTGTCCCACATGCTGGAGGAATGAGGTTTCAGAGCTCCAGGTCTTCTAGGTAGTACACTCAGCTTCCTATTGCCCTCAGAAACCTCAGGTGGTTCAGACTAAAAGGACCAGAGTGAAAACAGCTTTCTAAGACAGGCATTCTGCTCTCCGTTTAAAACACAGTAATCTGTCTCCTTCCTGAACTGTGTTTCCTGCGGATCAGATGACCTGCCTTCCCTGGGCTGCGAGCTGGCACACCTGGCAGATTTTTTTGCCCAGTGGAGGTTTGCTATAGTAAGCGCTGAATGCTCTGGAAGGGACATTGTTAATGACATTCCACTTAAACCTTCATGGTTCAACTCAGGACATTCAATTTCTAGTGATAGGGATTTTAAGTAAAAATTTCATAAGGAAACAGGATACATCTGAAATCAAAGATATAGGTATTCTTGCAGTGACTTCAAAAGAAATCTGGTTCTCCTTTGAGTTAAGAAGGGAACTGGCAAACAAAGCCTAATGCTGAGATGCATTTGCTGACTTTTCATATTCAGATTTTCCATAAAATGATTGGTGCAGAGACACCTAATGAATGATTTGCTTCTCAAAGAAAGCAATTGTTAAGTCCTGAAAATTTTTATTTTGTTTTCTTTCCTTTTTTTTTGAAGGGTAGGTGTGGGGTATTTCAAGGCAGAAAACTTTTAAAATACAATTTTTAGACCATTTGATATAATTAGCCAATTTAAAGTCTACTGGCCCTTCTAGAAAAAAAAAAAAAGGACACTCAGGAAAAACATGATTCGTATGGTCACTAGTGCGCTGACCCCACCTCCCACACCATCACTGAACTAGGACAGAAATCTCCTCCTGCAAACAAAGGCGACTTGGATTTGGTGCGGAGGAACAGATATCGTGGGTCCTGGATGGTCTGTTCCATCCTCATCTCTTCAGGCTCAGCCCCCTACAAGTGGTAATGCTGGGACCTCCAGGCTGGAGGTCAAGTGCTCTGGGGGGCTCAGTCCCGGCTCACCCGGCTGCGTAGCTGCTGAGGAAGGCATAGAACATGGGCTGCTTCAGGCGCTGCTGGTCCTTCCGGCACCAGGCAATCACCGTTCCCTCACTGTTGGCCATGTACAGATGGTGTCCATCACACGAAAACGTGAGGCTGCAAAGACAAACCTGTTTGTGTGTTGTGTTTCACCTTGTTAGTCACATTACCCAAGTCAGAGTTCAGCAGTCTGGAGCCCTCCCCTAGGGGTGGAGGGATGGGAACTGAATGACTGGCTGTCTTTTTCTCTCAGGGGTGGGTCCCAGGGCCTTGCATGTGCTCTACCCTGAGCTCCAGAGCCAGACCAGGTCGTTAGTTCTGACTATAAACTGTAACACAGCCACTCTGCTCACACGGCTGGAGCTCCTGTTAGCTGGCTGACCTAGAATCAAACTGAGGCCCAAGAATTAAGGATAGTCTGTTCCTTCTTTGCACATCTTTTTCCTTCTTGTTTATGCTAAACAACAAATACTTGGGTGTGGAAACTTTGAAAAATACAAAAGCAGTTATTTTATCCTTAAAAATTAAATGATAATTTAAAAAAAATTTTTATTGTGAAAATACTGTACAGAGGGGTTACAATTACATGGGCAAGATAATGAGTACATTTCTTATCAAGCATTGTAGCCTCCTCCTTTGTTTCCCCTTCCCATCCTTCTCTCCCCCCACCACCCCGCCCCCCGTACCAAAGTTGTAAAGTTCGTTTTCGACATAACGACTTGTACATCTCAATGTTGCATGATAGATGATTTTAAGATAGATTCTATTTCCCTGAAAGAGGAACAGGTAAGACAATCTAATTTTGGTTCCTCAGGCTTTAAATTTAGTTTAATAAAAATAAATTTATTTTTTGGTAGTACTGGGGTTTGAAATTAGGGCCCTAATTTACTAGGTAAGGTGCTCTACCACTTGAACCATGTCCTAAGACATTGTTTTGGTTGGTCATGGGGCTTGGACTCTGGGCCTGAGGGCTGTCCCTCAGCTCTTCATCTCAAGGCTAGTGCTCTACCACTTGAGCTACAGGGCCACTTCTGGTTTTCTAGTGGTTTACTAGAGATAAAGAGTCTTACGGTCTTTCATGCCTGGGCTGGCTTTGAACCACGATCCTCAGATCTCAGCTTCCTGAGTAGCTAGGATTACAGGCATGAGGCCCTGGTGTCCGACTTCTCAAGACATTTTGTTTTAGTTTTTGAGTATGATCTTGTACTTATGTCTGGGCCAGTCTGGATCGTGATCTTCCTACTTATGCTGCTTGTGTAGCTGGGATCACATGCAGGTACCCCTAAACCCAGTCTTTTATTTTTTGATATGGTGTCTTGCAAACATTTTGCATGGACTAGCTTCAAACCATGATCTTTCTGATCTCTGCCCCCTGAGGGACTGGGATTATAAGTATTCACCATCATACGTGGCTAAATTTATTTTTAATACAGGATAATTTGAACTGCTTTACTTGTAGTTGGGTTTTTAAGGCTGAGCTTATGACCTGAGCCCAGGGTAACAGTCTGCCTGTCTGGTCAAGCAGAGCCTGATGTAGGCATGCTCAGTACAGACGAGGAGGGAGAAGAGCAGCAACCATCATCCATAGGTCTCCTGGCACACCACCCTGTCTTTCCAATACATGCTGAGAGGTGGGCTCAGAGTAAAGCTCTAGTACCCAGGTGGGTGCCACACCTCTAGCTGCTGGGTCACGGACAACCTGCCCACTGACAAATGTGTTTTCCTGGGATGTCTTCTGTCACACACATCTGAGGTCTGTACACTTTAACATTTCTCAACAACATGATCACAAATTCTATTATGAAGAATGAAACTGGAAGATCTTACCTCACAATAGGCTTATTTGACTTGGGAAATATGATTTCTCTCACAGGTTTCAGGTCCCATGTACTCCACAACCTAGGGGAAAAACCAAACAAAACAAACAATAGTCATTACCCAATTACATAAACTAAAACTTTCTGCACTGAGAACACCTACACACTGTTTACTTGTTAACTAACCTGGAAGGAAATAAACAACAGCATTATCTCTGAGAGGTTTGCAGGGGAGGGGTGAAGAAAAAGGAACTTTCACTTTGTATACTTTCTGTGTGTGTGATTTTTTTTTTTTTTTTGCTGTCCTGTGGCTTCAACTGAGGACCTGGGCATTGTCCCTAAGTCTCTGTACTCAAGGCTAGTGTTCTACTACTTGATCCATAGCACCACTTCCAACTTTTTCTAAGAGTCTCATGTACTTTCTTATCTGGGCTGGCTTCAATCTGTGATTCTCAGATCTCAGCCTCCTGAGTAGCTAGAATTAAAGATATAGTCCCTGGTACTCGGCTGTGTTTTTTTTTTTGGGGGGGGGGTGCATAACTGGAGTACTTCAGTCTGAATTGACCTCATGCTTAGTATGCAGGTGCTCTACCACTCGAGCTGTGCCTTTAGCCCCTTTTGTTTTAGTTATTTTTCAGATAGGGTCCCTTGCCCTTGCCCGAGCTGCACTTGGACCAAGATCCTCCTACCTAAATTTCCTGCATACCTGGGATTTAGGCATGAACCACTGGGCAGCCTTAATACTGTATAGATATAAAAACACATTTATGAAAAGGAGGAGAAGAGAAAAAGAGGAGAAAAAGGAAGAGGATAAAAGAGGAGGAAAGGAAGAGAAGGAGGAAAAGGAGAAGGAAGAAGAGAAAGAGGAATCCAAACTCCTCTTACCTTACAATTCCATTTTCTAATCCCCCAGCAATTACGTTGATGGATACTCCCTCTGGCTGGTTGGAGAAGGCCACAGAACAAATGATCTCTCTGCAGTGGACATGTCCAACAAGGTCCCCGTTCACTGTCCAGAGTCTCAGATCACTGCCCCCACCAGCTGCAACACCAAGTTCCCCACAGGTCAGCAGATATGGGGGTGCACAGCCCGGGAGCATACCTCAGGGGCTGGATGAAGTTCACAGACAAACCAAAATTGAAGCCTCAGAATCACTGCACTGTGCATCTCACATGGGTAATACACAAACAGAAGAGTACCAACCCCCACATGAGTGAGCCCAAAAAGGCAAGATTCATAGAGACAGAAGGAGAACACAGGGGAGTAGGGGCCAAGATGGGGAGGAGGATGGAGCTTACAGTGTCATGAGGGTTGATCAAAAGGTGTTTTAAATTGTGTTGATGTCTGTACACCACTGTTAACATAATTAATGAGGCTGAATTGTGTATTTCAAATATGGCCTAAAATGGCAAATTGTATGGTAACTCTATTTGAACACACACACACTCCAAGACTCTGCACTGTAGAGCACTGACCTGGAGATATTGTCTAAACAGTACTTAGCTTCTCACAGCAGCTGCCATGGCCTTTTCTTTTGAGCTTATGGTCTGCTGAAAGGTTTGTTAAAGATGGAATGTGAGGGGAGTGCTGGTCTGGTCAGGGAAGGTTGTGAGAATCACTGAGTGCACATCCAGGGCATACTCGCAGGCTGGGTTGACACACAGCCATGGCCCAGCCTGGCCCTTTAGAATGGAAAACCCAGGTGGGCCTGCACCTAATGAAGTGAGCTCTGGACCTGTCTAGCCACACACTCATCCTAGCAGCTAACCTGTACTCTGGACCACCACAAAACCAGGAAACTTCTCACCTGCCCAAGACTATGCATAGCCAAACTGGATGCTGATATTTAACACCAGATTACTGCTACAAGTCAACAACTTGGGCACCCCCCCAAATCCTTCCATCCTTTCTTAGACACTGACCTGGCCTCAGTCCTCACATGAGGAGGAAGCCATGATGTTATAAAAACAGAAATGTTCAATTACAACATTTCCAGAATTTAGCCAGTATTGCATCTTATTGCTATAAAATACACATCCTATAATAGCCAATGAGTTATGATTAGGAGGAATGAGATTTCCAATGCAAATGTTGAGACTTTATGCACATATATATGCTATATATACATATATACAGACATACATGCATATATCTGCAATTTTTTGCATGTATGTGGAGCTGGGATATGAGCCTAGAGCCTAATTGCTAGGCAGGTACTCTACCACTTCAGACACTGCCATCCTTTTTGTTTTGAAACAAGGTGTCATTTTATGACCAGGTCTGTGATCTTCCTACTTAAGCATCCTGCACAGTTGAGTTGACAGGCATGTACCACAAGCCCAGCCTCTGCTGGAAATAGACTCTCATGAACTCTTTTTTGCTCCAAAAAGCCTCAACTATTAAGCCCTGAATCTCGGCCTCCCAAGTAGCTAAAAAGGTACAGGCTTGAGCCCCCACAGTTGGTTTATTTTTATTGTACAACTATGTGATGGCATCCACTGAAAGGCAAAGACCTTAGCCACTGAAAGGCTAAGTCTAATAACGGTCCTGTCTTCTCGACCTATAAGGAAATAGGAGTCTGGTCTGGGTCACTAAATATATTTGGCCTCTCTTAAAAAAATAATTTTCTTCCATTCTCAAGAGGATATAGTAAACCATGGGTCTCTGATGTCCATTATGCTGTTGTTAAAAAAGTAATTTCAAGAAATATGGTCTTCATACCAAGTGCTTTTATGACTTTTTATATATGTACCAAAAGGCCTTAAAAAAGTTGAGAAGGCTTTTTTTTTTTGTTCAAATTGGGAGAAGTTTTAACCATTACTGTTACTCTCTGCTACTGGGGGACATACTAATACCTACTAGTGAGTTGTAATTACAGCAAAAGTAATTTTGCTTGGAGTTCCCATATGACTAGCTAATCTAGTATCTCCAATGTAAATCACTGCTGGCAGCAGGGAAATAATTAACTTGACAAGACTCAGCTCCCTCAGGATCAGTCCCAACTTGCAAATGTTGCCAAACCAAGAAAGTAGAGAACCTCATATAAACTATCACTGTATTACCCAGCACCCTCTGGATGTGCCCAGTGAAAGGAGGAAACCTCTGTATAAACCATCACCATACCTTCCATCCCCCCAATAGCCTCTTGATTTGCACAGTGAAAGCTGATGATGGAGAAGCCAAGGAAGAACAACCCAAGGTCATCAGTCGTGTGCGCACTGCATGAGGGCTTCTCCCTGACTCCTGCTTGATTCATTTCTTATGGCATGATTGACTGGCTGGGGGTTGAGTGGCAGAAACACACCTCAAATTTGTCATCATGACTGAAGACATTTCTTTTCTTGAATAGAACAATGAATGAATGTAGTATAATAAAAAATAAATACTTGGCCTTAGCCCCCAGTTCCTAGTACTGTGCTTCTAAACACCTTGGAATCTACTGTCTTCCGAATTCTTGGTGGGAGGGGTCTGGGTAGCCTGAGGATTGGAGCAGGCCAATCAATGAGGCCACCACAAATGAGAAGATGGGGATTTTCAGACCTTGCTCCTGAAGGAGGAAGAGCAGACCGTTGGGTACCAAGCACAACTATGCATGAAACCTCCATAAACCCCTACAGGACATGGCCAGGAGCTCTTCCAGCTGGAGGGCCAGAGCAGAGCCTGGTGCAGCTCAGCTCCATGGGAAAGAGGCCCCTTCCAGACCTTACTGTAGTGCAAGCTGTCATCTGCCTCCACTTTTCTTTCCTTTATAATGAGCTCTGCCCCTCCAGACCAGAGCAGATCAGAATCCCTGGAGCTGGGTGCCACAGGGCCAAAGAGGACTTGGAGGCAGTTTACCCAATACGGGGGTTCACAGCAGCCTTCTACTCTCCTCAGCCTCTCCCCACACAACCCCCTCCCCTGCTCAGCCTACCAGGTACCTTTCTATTCCACAACTGTGTCTCCAAACCCAACTCATTGAACATGTGTTCTCTAACAAGGAAAGTAATAAAGCTAGTAACTAAAATAAAATAAAATAGGTTAGGAAAAAGGCTCTAAGAAAACTCAGATCATCAGGTAACAACAGTTTGTTTAAATGTGCTCATTTATTAGGGGAAGGCCTATGAACTCCTGCCTAAGTTAATGCCTGAGTTGGGCAACGTGGCCTTGGGCTTTGTTGTATTTTCACAGGCACACATGCGACTAAAGTGATTAGCCTTGTGAGGGACAGGGGACAAAGACCAGCTTGGCCAGAGGTGGAGAGGCAGAGCTGTGCTGTGGCTATGGTCATCTTACCTGAATCACACACAGTAGCGATATCCCCTGATGTTTCACTGGCAGAGACAGCTGTGACAGGACTTTTATGTCCTGCTAGACTCTGAACATAGCACAGCCTGAAAAACAACAGATGTGAACTTTCATATGGTTGTTATACAGAATGACATCCTATACATTTCTACAGCTCTTTTCCTCAGCCTGTATGCCTGTTTTTCATAAGACAACAGGCCTCCTGTCCAATCTCTTAGGTACTCTTGCTAAAAGCTGTAAGGTAGTCACACAATTTGCTGTGTGGTGTCTGGGGTGGAGCTTCCCCTACCTGTTTAGGTCCCATATAATGCAGGTACCATCTCTGCTCACGCTGATCATGACACTGTACGGCTTGCAGACACACAGGCTGGTTATCTCATCTGTGTGCCCATAGAGATGAACCTGTGCCTCCATCTCTATCTCTGAAGGCTGCAAAGTAGAAATTAAGTGAAGGATGGGATAAAAACAACCATAACACACCCTAGTGTAACATCTCACACAGGAAAAAGCAGAATGACTCGTATATTCTCATTTGATCTTTTTTTTTTTTTTTTGGGTCTGGTCGTGGGGCCTGAACTCTGGGCCTGGGCGTTGTCCCTCAGCTCTTCAGCTCAAGGCTAACACACTACCACTTCAGCCATAGCACCACTTCTGGCTGTTATTTTTTTTTTTTTCTGCTTATGTGGTACCTCATGCATGCAAAGCAAGCACTCTACCACTGAGCCACCTTCCCAGCCCCTCATTTGATCATTTCTTTAGTTAACCTAGTTAATTTTTTTTTCTCCAATCCTGGTGATTGAACTCAGAGCCTGGTGCTATCCCCAAGCCTCTCTGTGCTCAAGGGTAGCACTCTACCACTTGACCCACTGCAGCACTTCTGGCTTTTTCTGAGTAGCTTATTGGAGATAAGAGTCTCATGGACTTTCCTGCCAGGTCTGGCTTTGAACTGTGATCATGAGCTCTCAGCCTCCTGAGTAGCTAGGATTACAGGCGTGAGCCACCAGTACTCATCTAGTTCAAATGTTTTTAACAGGCAAAAATGACATGATCCAATTACATCAGCTTACCTGCTTTTCATTTTGGTCCACTGTCCAGTGTTTGTTCAATAATGCGTAATTTATAGCTGAATATTGATATGCAAATGATTTTCATTCATATTTTGTACATCCTTCTAAAATTATTTCCTACTTTGATACTGTCTTCAAAATTATTTTAATAGATTAACATTCTATAGTTAGTATATCATAATTTGAGTAACTTTCATTGATACAAATAATACCTTTTTCCATTTTTTCAAATTATAGTCAGTGCCATACATTTTTCATGTATAAAACTTTTGTTCTTCATATTATTTCTTTAGAGTAATTTCACAGTGTTTCACTGGAAGATCAGTAGATTTATAGTTTTTACTTTTGGTGGTATTGACTTTTTTTTTTTTTTTTTTTGGGTTGGTCGTGGGGGCTGAACTCTGGACCTGGGTGCTGTCCCTCAGCTCTTCAGCTCAAGGCTAGGACCCTACCATTTGAGCCACAGTGCCACTTCTGGCTTTTTTCTGCTTATGTGGTGCTGAGGAATCGAACCCAGGGCCTCATGTATGCGAGGCAAGCACTCTACCACTAAGCCAACGTCCCAGCCCCAGGCGGTATTGAGTTTGAACTCAGTTTCACACTTGTTAGGCAGACACTCTACCACTTGAGCTATGCCTCCAGTCCTTTTTGCTCTGGCTATTTTTAGGATAAGTCTTGCTTTCTGCCTAAGTCTGTCTGGACCACAATCCCAATTTACATTTCCCACTGTAGTTGGGAGAACAGGTAAATATAACAGCATGAGCTGTTGATTGAGATGGTGGGTCTCAAGATTTTTTTTTTTTGGCCAGGGCCAGCCTGGAACCTCAATCCTCCTAATCTCTGTATTTAGAGTAGACAGGATTATAGGAATGACCACCAATGCCTGGCAAACTTATGGTTCTTGATGCTGTGTTTTTCCAAGGTATCACACCAATTGGTGATACTACTATAGTGTTGGCCACTAGGACTGTGTCACTGTCAACCGTCAGGGCTGACTTTAACTGCTATGTAAGGGCTCCGCTGGCACATGGAGACTGGAGGCCACACAGTCCTGACCCTTGTTTTCTTTGTTGGGCTGTTTAGCATCACAAGTATTCCAGCATTTCCCTTTCAAAGAAATAAAAAAAAGTAAAAAGAATAAAGAACTAACTGTTGTTTATTTGGTTAACAAATCTTAACATTGTATATTACAATTTATTTCTAAATAAATAATGCCTTAAATATGAAGCATACAATGTATATATTGTTCTACTTTCTATCTCTTCTCCCTTTTCAGAAGCACTAAATTTTGTATTTATACTCCTCTGTCTATATTACCACAGTAAACAACAGATCACATTGTTCCTCATGTTTATAAACACTACACATCACCGGTATTGGGGCTTTAACTCAGGGCCTTGTGCTCTTACTTGGCTTTTTCACTTATGGCTGATATTCTTCCACTTGAGCCACATCAATAGTACTGGCTTTTTGATGTTTAACTGAAGTTAAGTCTTCAGATTTTGTCTATCTCAGTTGGCTTTGAGCCACAGTCCTCAGATCTCAGCCTCTGAGTAGCTAGGATTACAGGTGTGAGCCACTGGAACCTGGATTGCGTTGCTGTTATTTTTTTTGTGGGGGGGGGGCAGGGACAGGAGGAGACATAGGGATGCTGTTTAAATAGGAACTGTTAATCTCATGACTTGATTACCAACTAGTGATGAAAAGCCTTACCAATGAGAAGAAAAAGTCTGCTTTCAGGCAAATGTATTTCTGAGGAGAGTTAAGTAATACAAGCCTTCATTAGCCTACCATGACTTCAAAGCCAAAAGAAGCACACGTGCTGTATGTCAATTATACTAGCTATACCCTTGACCTGCTATATTCAAAGGTATTCTGTGCAGAATTACTCCTGCCTAAAAGCTTAATCTTTTTCTTTTTAAACTTGTACCGCATACTGTGTTGGCATACAACTGAAAATGGAAGAAATGGTGAGAACTAAGAACAAGGCTGTTGGAAATGCAAATGGAAGCAAAAAGTACAAGATGAAGCCAGTTTTAAAAAGCTATGGTATGAAGTGACTCCTGGTGGAAAGGCTTACAGGAGGAAGGAAAGAGAACAAGGCAGGCTGAGAAGACTAGACATGTGTACAGGCATGAGTATCATGTATGAGCAGGGATGAAGATCCATATTAGGCCTTAGGAGAACAAAGAAGACATTCTGGGCATCCAACTTTTTGCCTTAGGTTCCTCAGCATTCTGTGTACCGCAGCCTGCAGGACCTCACCTCTACTTCTCCTGCCCCCCTCATGTTACATTCTACCCAGAAAATGACTTGCCACCCCAGACTGCCAGCCTTGCTCTTATATTCCAGATTGTCATCACAGCTGGGTCTTCTGAGGAAATGCTGTCTCCTCTCTTCTCCACATAAGGAAGTGATCACTGAAACCCAGCTCAAGCACACCCTTCCCAATTACCTGACACCTTGTTGGCCCCTCTGCCTGGTGGGAACCTGTCATAGAGCTCATGCTGCTCTCCCCCTGACCTGTGGGAACCTGTCACAGAACTCATGCTCCCAATCCTGCCCTGTGAGAACCTGTCATTGAACTCATGTTCCCCTTCCCCTTCCTCCCAACCTGTGGGAACCTGTCATAGAGCTCATGCTCCACACCTCCCGCCTTGTGGGAACCTGTCATAGAGCTCATGCTCCCCTCTGCCCCATTGGAACCTGTCATAGAGAGCCCATGCTCCACCCCTCTGTGGGAACCTGTCATAGAGCTCATGCCCCCATCAGCCTGCCTCCCTTTCTGTCCTTCCCACATCCCTCCTGGACCACTGAAGCCCTGCAGGCTCTCCAGACCTCTCTAGAAAGCTGATGGTCACAGCATACCTGCCTTACATCTGCTAATGGCTCCTCAGGCTGAGTGAGAGAAACAATATGATGGTCCCATTTACACCCCAGGGAGGCCCTGGCAAAAAAACCATAACAAGGGTTTCAAAGAAGGAACCAGAGAGTCTCTCCATGCCAGGAATAAGGTTTCACTAGTAAAATATAGTTAACAATGTAACTGAGAAAATTCTTAACTGAAAAATAACCCAGAGAAGATTCTAGATTCCAAAGCTCATCATCCCTTTAACTTGCTGCACATCCTCAACTGTAGCATTTGACAGTTGATTGATGGAAGGAATTGGTAAGCTGGAAAAAAAGTATGTCATGTGTGTTTTGTTTGTTACCAGACTAGAACTAAATCTGAAGAGTCAGACCTGTGACCTTTCCCTTTTGAAGAGCTGATGTAGAAAAGACTGAAGTGCAAAGGTTTAGGCTAGTTGTATGCACTATGATGATACTGCTCAGGACCCACCGTGCCACTGGTGAACCTGTTTGTATAGGCTGTGATGACACCACACTTGCTCCCGGTGAACAACTGGCAGCTGTCAGGCACCCAGGCACAACTGGTCACCTTAAAAAAAAAACAAACAAACTGAAGATTAGCATGAGGAGAAAGCATGGGAAATGCTGCTGCTTTTCTGACAGATATTTAAATTATGACAGGGCCAAAATTTTTCAGGAAACCTCTCACTCAAAACAATTAGGATGGTGCCAAATGTAGCCATAGCATTTTCTGTAATGTTAGGGCGGACATTTAAAGTTGTTTCCAGATTAAAAGGTGTTATAATACATAATGTGTGATTTTGTATGCTGATATGCATATGTCACTTGTTCCATACAACTTTAACAAAACACTCTGAAATTGACTAAAGCTTATTAACTGTGCATTTGTAATGTTCCACACATTTACTTTTTTTCCCCAGTCCTAGGGCTTGAACTCAGAGCCTGGGCACTGTCCTTGAGCTTTTTTTGCTTAAGGCAGTCTACCACTTGAGCCATAGTGCCACTTCTGGCCTTTTCTGTTTATTGCTACTGAGGAATCAAACCCAGGGCTTCATGCATGCTAAGAAAACACTCTACCACTAAGCCACATTCCCAGCCCCACATTTACTTCTTTTTTTTTTTCCCCACATGTACTTCTTTAAGACAAGGTTTCATTGTGTATTGGTAAGGTTGGCCTGGAAATTGCAATTCTTCTACATTTACCTCCTGAATGCTGGGATCACATGTGTATGTTACCATGTCTGGCTTTTATTTTTTACTTTTAGCATTTTACTATTTTTATGTTGCTGAAGGAAATCAGGGCACATGTCAGAGGTGTTGCTTCTAACAGTCATAGAGGTAGAGGAGATGAAGAAAGGTGGTGGTTGTCAGCCATGGACCTCAGTACCTCTTCTGCCTTCTGCCCTCATGTCTCAAGTCTCCTGGTTCAGAGGAAGTAGTTGTCCCTTATAGTTTAAAACTGTCTGGTGGGACCAGCAAATGTGTGTCAGTCTCTGTAATGTTAGAAAATGACTCTTTGGTCCTTCCTAACTTAGGTACTTCTAAATCTCACTATACCACCAGGGTCCACTATATTCAACTGTAATTTTTTTTTAGTTTCTTTCTTTACTAGTTCTAAAGGTTTATAAGTATTGATACTTCCTAAGCCTTAGTCTTTCAAAGAGAAAATGTACTTTGAAAAATTTGTAGACTAATACTAATTCTGTCTTGCAATTCCCATATGGATGCCTCAAGCTCTTTTGCAACCTAGTTTACATCACAAAATTTTAATGATCATATTTTTTACATACCTTGCTATTTTATCATTCTAAGGGTTATTTCATTATAGCTTATTATTCCTAACTATGCTAAAAATAAACAAAATTAAAATAGACTCTCCCAGAAGGATAATGCAATAAGCTAATGGTTTTCCTGCTGCATTGTTCAAAGTGTCACCTTTCAAGGACGCATACCAGAAAGCAGAGGCTCCATTCTTGGAATCTGCCTTTAGCTGAATATAGCTAATAATTCAGAATTTTTAATTTCCTACTATTAGTAACAAAAGATGTTCCATAATTAATTATGAGTCAGAACTGTAGACTGATGATGATGATTTGTCCACATAATCTAAATCTTAGAAGGTAGAGTCTTCATATGCTACATTCCTATATGAATATTCTCCAACTATACAGCAAATTAATGAACAGTGTATTTCAATGGACAAATGAACTGTAGTATTCTGACCCAGTCATTTTCCAGAAGTACTCTCTTACACAATAGTTTACCACAAGAATTGGAACTACCCTTTTTGGCTACAAAGACTTATAAGAGCATTCTCTCAGCTTTTATGACATTTGGGTGCCAAATTTTACATGACAGAAATAATTTTGTAATGTTTAGTTTCTTGTATGATATACATGTATATTTGCATGTGTATATATATTTCAGCCTCTAAAAGGAAATTATGCACTTGTGACAATGTGGACAGACCTACAGGACACTATGCTGACTGAAACTGCCAGGAACAGAAAGACAAACACTGTGTGATCTTGTCCATATGTGGAAGGGAAGTGCATGGAAGCAGAGAAGAGACCAGTGGGTGCCAGGAGCTGGAACTAAGTCCCAGGGTAGATGTGTTACAGTGTCTAGCGTCACTAACACTATATTGCATACTTGAATTTTCCTGGGAGTACATCTTCACTGTTCTCACTACACACACAATGGCGGCAACTCTAGGGAGGTGATGTGTAAGTTATTTAGAGCAATTGCAGAAATCATTTTACAATGTATATGAAAATATCACACTATAATTTAAACATACATAGTGTTTTATCAGCTAATTATACCTCAATAAAGCTGGAAAAGTTAAAATCATGCCATATGAAAGTAAGAACTATATTTAACCTTTTATCAAGCCTTGGATCTGCTAAATTAATCAATGTCCTTGGTCAAATAACTTGATAAAATTAAACTTTGTCTTTACAGTGAAGAAACTTTCTACAGTGAATTAGAAAGCTTCCTGAAGGTCATTTCTTCACCTTTTTCCTCTGTCCTGTCTCCTACCAAATCTATCCAATGGGTTAACTAGTGTATCCCAACTATAAAGAAATAGAAGGAGTCAGAGCAATAAAAAACCCTTAAGATTTTGATGAAAATGATGATAGCATATCTGTATCACTGCTCTGTCATTCAATGAATACAGATACAAATTTTTTTTTTCTTCACTCTTTCACTAGGGAAGTCAAGATGTTTGTAAACCCACAGGTACTGATAACATTAGTGAGTTTTACCTGGTAACAAATCTGTTTATGTTCATGTTATTCAGATATTATGACAAGTAGAATATATATACTTCACCCCCAGCCCATAAATTCATAACATCTCCAAAAAGGAGACTTACTCTATGTTTTTGCATTTTCATTTATTTTTATAAACTCATTTCTAATTGAGTTATACCACCAGCTTCTGTGTAATTTATGGTTTTCACTTGCATATGTCTGGACAAATATTTCTGCCTGTACAAAAATGCTGTGATTAATATAGGCTGGTATGTTTCAGCCTAAGAAAACATCTAATGTTATTATACTGGCAAGACAGAAATAATGGTGATGACCTACTGTTCAGCCTAGAGAATAAGGCATTGGTCTCCCAACTCTCTCTGCTCTTGCTGCTAACAGCTCTGCAGAGCTGCTCATTCAGCTTACACAGTGCACACGTGGACGCATACATATGTGCAAGCACATGCTGAGCTGGCAGCAGGTGTTACACAGGTCAAGGAAGTCAAAGAATAGTAAGAAAGTCCGAGGAGGACAGACAAGAAGGCTGTCTATTCAGTGCAGAGCCTGTGACAGTCATATATCACTGTGTACCTACCTGCACAGCATTTAGAGTTCATAGGTTTCATGGAAACATTTTCATAACCACTTGGGGCAAAAGTAGTATGAGTACTATCATCTCATTTGGAAGAGGAGGAGAGAGATTGATGAGTTACTGCCAGGAAGGACACGCATAGTGAATACAGCTCATGAGATGGGAGACCCAGAGTCCTGCTACATCACAGGCTGAACATCTGATCTGTTTAGGAAAAGTGAGGTTACAAGAACGACACTACAGTTACTGAAGATGACCTGTGACAGAGCAAGTGGACACGAGGAGGAAAGCAGTGCTGGCGTCAGCACCAGGGTACAGTGATTGCCATGAACACTCAGCAAGGACAGGCAGGTTCAGGGATACTGAAGAGTGGTGGTGGGGAGTGTGAGCCATCAGCCAGACTATCTAGAGTGCTGGTATGCAGCTGCTGTTCTCACTCCTTTGTGAAGTACAGAAGTAAATCAACATGATTACCTGGTGCTGTTGTGAACCTTGAATGAAATTGATTGGGGGCTCACTTTGCTTACTCTTCAACCTCAAGATGTTATCGGCATACCCCCAGCTCAGGATGGCAGACCACTGGATGTCAGTGCTGTTCATGCTTCTCACACCTCAAGGAAGAGGAAGGAGGTAGAGTTGTTACTGTGCAAAAGTCACAAGACAGCCAAACAATAGCAGGCTAAATGCTGAAGTGTATATACATTAGAATGCATAGCCATCTTCATCCCCAAGATGCTAACAGATTGCTAAAGGTGGAATCAGACCCTTTTCTATCATCACTGTTGTGACTTGGATTTATCCCAGTCACATTTACAAGAATTCCAATGAAGAAAATTTTATCGCTAAATACTATTTAAATAACAATGGAACTGGGATCCACTCACTTAGAATACAAGCTCCCCTCAATGTGAACTGCTGAAGACTTGGGCTGCACATTCTAAGACTTCAGACCCTTAAGATCAAGATTGTGCTAGCACACAGCAGGTGCTCAATTAACCAAGTTTCTCAATCGATTTCCCTGCTTTCAGGAAGAGAAATTCCATAATGTAAATGGTATGCAAGAAGCCTGTCTTTCCAGTGTATAGAGGTTTACTGGAGTCCCAGAGTCTACTCAGTGTGTCAGGGTCTGAGCAAGTGTGTTTGGAGGAATTCAGATCACTGCTTCTAAAGAACTGGTCTGCACTGGGCTTAAGGTTATCGAAAGCATCTCAGAAGCTGGTGCAGTGTATCCCACATGGACAGACAAACAAAATAATATAGCAACCTTGTATAACAGATCTCAGTATGTCCACTGCGGCCAGTGTCCTGCCTCTCACCTGTCTGCTGAGCCTGGCCCCTGCGCTGTCTCTGTGTGGGCTGTGCTGCGAGCTCACACAAGGACCATTGATACCAGCTGAGTAAGGGGTTACAGCTAAATGGATACTCAGAGTTTAGGATGAGCCAGGCCCTGTGCTAAGCATTTCCACAAATGTTTTTTGAATTCTCCCAGTAAATTATCATAGGAGGAGTCCTTTTGCCATTCCCACATTATAGACTGCACACTTTGAGGACACAGTGAACAGAGCTAAGGGTGACCTTGGGTACTGGGCTGGGATGTCAGAGGCCTCAAATCACACTAATTCCCCGAACACACTTGGATCCTGACAAATCTCTTGTCCATTCTGTGGGGGAGATTGTAGCTAGAAGGTAGCTCTCCAGGGCATACTAGGGGCCCAACTGTAGTGGTAGAAATCAAACAGGATGAGCATTATACCCCACACATTTACAACCCACAGTGTTGAGTGTCCCATTCTAGGAAGAGAACAAGGTATGCAGAACAAAGGCAAGAAGGCACCCTGGCTGCAGGCTGGCTTCAGGCAAACATGCCAGCCACCGGACTTGACCGTCAGTGCCCTTGGCCACCCCTCTCAGCTAGCACCAGTGCCTGTGAAACTGCCCATTTGGAAGGGGGCAGGGGTAATGCAAGTAGAAAACAGCCCTAGTTCTGAGTGTCTGGTGACCTTCAGAAGTTCAAGGTGCTCCCCTACACACAGTACTCCTGTGCATGGGCCTGTCCAGGGTAGGAGAAGAACAGGACTGCTCTGATACTCTTCAACTGCTTCATTCTTTCTGTCTTGCCCCATGGTGACCATAGTTCACCACCCCTGTCTATGTGGGCATCGGAGCCTCTCAGGTCATTTCTGTCAAGCTGACAATGTTTAATCTTGTGAGCATTACCATGGATTCTCATCTCATCTAACTCCTTTCACTTAAGTGATGCTGGAGTTAATTCTCACCATTCATAGACTAGGTTCTAATTCCTACTTTACATTAAGTCACCACAAATTTGAGCAGAGATTTTTCCCTAGAAGGGAAAATCTTAGAAGTCAAACAAAGTATCAGCACACATGTAGATCTCATCGACAATACCCAGAATGACTCCCATCATTTTATTGTACCTTGTTCCTTGCTGTAGGTCATCAGAAGACAAAAATTTTGGGACAAACCACAGATCGCTCTGGTGGGCAGTGCCTGGAGAGAACCAAACCTTTCTCCGTGGGGCTGGCTGAAGCAGACCACAGGCATGGCAGCACTTGGGGAGCCTACATACTCACCCCACTTTAAGCCTTTTATCCAGGACAGAGGGCTCTACAACCAAGGGAAGTAAAAAACATGAGGTTGTTGGAAGTTTTTTAAGCCAGTAAATATAGAATTATTCAAATTTTAAATTCTAAACTACGTAGAGGGCAAGAATTATTTTATAAGTTTTGACTTCCCTTTGCTTAGCATGTAGAACAATGCATTCTTTACTTTTTTTTTTTGGCCTATCTCTTTTGTTCAAGGCCTGTGCACTACCACTTTGAGCTACAGCTCCACTTCTGTTTTTTTGGTGCTTAATTGGAGATAAGAGTCTCATGGGGACTTTTAGCCCAGGCTGGCTTCAAACTGTGATCCTCAGATGTCAGCTTCCTGGGTAACTAGGATTACAGGTTTGAGCCACTAGCACCTGATGCCATACTTCATTTTTATTCTATAGTTCGGCCTTGCTTGCCTGGAAGTGCCCAGTTAATAGTTGAGAACTCTTTGAAACTGAAGCAAAGGAAAAAAATTTTGCTAAGCACATTTTCTCTTCAGGCTAGCTGAAATAACTAAAGGTGATGATACGGGACTATAACCTGGGAATATGACACATATTAAGGTACAGGCAGTAGAGAAACGCTCATTAACTATAAACTCTGAAACGCAAGGAGCCAGGACATAGCAGCTTCTCATAGGATGCTGGATACAAATGGCCAAGACGTAGTGAGAGAGCACAGACCCAGAGCATACAACACTCAAGAGTGCAGCCAGAGGTTTCCAAGAACATACAGCTGGATCTGAACCTGTCTTATCTGAGGGAGATGGTATGAGGAAAGGAGTGGGCAAATGGAGGGGGAGGGGGTGAATACAGTGATCATACTCAATGTCCCTATTTGAAAATGGAACCAGGTAACTTGAGGGGGTTGGGTGGGGATGGGAGATAGGGAAGAAGAATGGAAAGTGTGACACTGAGGAAGATGCACTGTATTCATAACTGACATATGGAATCGAGCATCTTCTATACAGTTTTTAAAGATAGTAATAAATAATAAAAGAAGAATGTGGAGCTTGAAGAATGGCAAGATGTGTTTGGGAAGAGTGGAGAGAGAGGCGTTTAAACACCTGCGCACACTGATGAAAATGATTTCCCCACTCCAAGTAAAAACAATTACTGGGAAGACAATCAGGAGAAAAAAGTCTTTTAGAGTAAACAGCCTTTTAGAGTGCCTCCCAGCAACTTTATTCTTTACATTCTCCTTTTGACTGTTTTATACTCTATCATAATCTCTTCTTTGCCAGTGGGTTTTGTTTTAGACATTCAGTTTTAGACATTCAGTTGTTTTACTTTCACACAGGAAATTCCTCATAAACCTAAAAAAATAACATACTAAGCAAATTTCAGCCATTTCCATGGAACGCTAATGATTTTCATTGTAATTATGTCATTTTTGGAGGTTCCTCAAAAGACTCCACATAGAGCTCCCCTATGACCCAGCAATCCCACTTTTGGGCATTTACCCAAATGTTTACAAACAAGACCACACTAAAGCTACCAGCACAACTATGTTTATTGCCACATTATTTACTATAGCTGAGATATGGAACCAACCCAGATGCCCCTCAGTAGATGAATGGATCAAGAAAATGTGGTAGGGCTGAGAAGTTGGCTCAGTGGTAGAGCGCTTGCCTTGCATGCCTGAGGCCCTGGGTTCAATTCCTCAGCACCACATAAGCAAAAAGAAAAAAAGCCGGAAGTGGCACTGTGGCTCAAGTGGTAGAGCACTAGCCTTGAGCTGAAGAGCTGAGGGACAGCACTCAGGCCCAGAGTTCAGGCCCCACAACCGGAAAAAAAAAAAAAAAAAAGAAAATGTGGTATATATACACAATGGAATTCTATGCCTCCATCAGAAAGAATGACATTGCCCCATTTGTTAGGAAATGGAAAGACTTGGAAAAAATTATATTAAGTGAAGTAAGCCAAGCCCAAATAAACATTGGTCCCATGGTTTCCCTTATTTGCAATATCCAGCATATGTCTGAGTCAAGCAGAAAAAGTCAGATAAGGTGATGCTAGGGAAATGAACCCTAAGATATGTATCCAAATGTTTTTTTTTCTTTCATGTGATTGTTTCTAATGCATTTATAAGATTATTTCTTTGTTGCTTTGTATGTCCCTCCCCCCACAGTATAACCCGTGCTTTCACTGTATTTGATGTCGGTATAATTTGTGGAGGGGAAGGGGAAAAACAAGTCGTTTAAATAAGGATACAGGTGGACCCATTGCAACAATGAGAAGTACAAGTTGTTATGTTGAAAACGAACTTTACAACTTTGGTGGGGGCGGGGGGATTGGGTGGGGGGGACAGGGGGAGGATGGGAAGGGATGGAAAGGGGAAGCAAAGGAGGAGGCTACAATGCTTGATAAGAAATGTACTCATTATCTTGCCCATGTAATTGTAACCCCTCTGTACAGTATTTTCACAATAAAAAATAAAAATTAAAAAAGAATAAAAATAAAATACCAGGTGCTATGGCTCATACCTATAACCCTACCTACCCAGAAGATGGAATTTGGGAGGACTGGAGTTTGAGGCTAGCCCAGACAAAAGCCTGGATGTCTGACAAATGCCTGTCATTCCAGCTATGTGGGAGGCTGTAGGTAGGAGGATTACTGCTGAGGCTAGTCTAGACAGAAATGTAAGACCTTATCTGAAATACAACTTTTTAGCTGCTCTTTAGCAAATATGAGCTGTGTATATGGCTCAAGAGATAAAGCATCTGCCTGACAAATATGAGACCCTAAGTTCAAAACTTACTTAAAAAAAAAAGTACATATCCCTTGGGGCTCTATTTCTGCCACCATACCATTAATTAGGAGAATACAGAATATGCAGTTTGGGTGGCACAGAGGAGTGAAGCAGGAAGCAGTGGACGTGTATGGGAAGGCTTGCTTGAGTTTCCAATTTACAGGAAAAATTATACCAACTCTTTGTTTTTACAAGCAGTATTTTCTATAATTACAAGAAGCTTGCGAAGTTCTTCTTTAAGTGTAAACCAAACCATTGCTCTCACTGGCCAGTGCTTCTGGCTGTAGATGAGGGGCAGGAACAGGCCATGTAGTGTACACAGGCACACCACACCCTCACTGTGCTGTCCTGACAGCTTCTCTCCTCTTGCTTACACAATCCTCTTAATTATGTGGCCATCTTGGGGGAAGGGAGACTATTGCCTGGCACATCAATTCTTCTTTCCTCAGAGCTCCTCAGGCTCTCTTGATGTCGCCAACTACAGCTACAGTACAGAAGAGAGAATGAGCAAGAGGGTATTTTCATTTTTTCACACACAGGACATTGCTCTAGCTGCCTGTACATCTTACATTGGCTGGCACAAATCTCTAGGCCAGAGCTTGTCACATCCATTTCTGCATCCACAGAATCTGGGCAAGGGCCTGGCACTAAAGATGCCAATCAGGCTTTGCTAAATTCTACAGAAACCAAAATGACATACCGGATAGGTAATTTCTTTGACCTGTTCCCGGGTCTCCCTGAATGCAAACTGAACCAACAGTCCCACGGCAGCTGGGAGCTCTCCTTCAATGTTGAGCTTGGCTCCAGGTCTACTGGCATGGGCTGTGTGGAACAGTTGGCGAGGGGTCTGCCCATAGGTTTTTATCATGGTTTCTAGTGCTCGTCTCTGAACTGGATCTTCCACTGCAGAAACATCCATTCCAAAATAGGTCTGTAGATGAAAAGAGTAAAAGAACATGAATGAGGTATAGCTACAAATATAAAGCAAGACTCCACCATAATGCCAAACAGCAAGTTGCTGTACTTTAGGCAATGCTCTAGTTGTCTCTATTTCAAACACAACTGATTAGATACAAACTGATCAGATTAACTATCATGGGTAACCTCATAAAGAGTGAACAATATTTCTGAGTATGTAAACAAAAACAATGCATACTTCCTGGTGCTAAATTCAAGTGTGTTTATGAAACTTCTTTTGGGCCCATGATCATCTACTTTATGAATATACATATTTAGGTACAGAAAAGTTAAGTTTCTACAAAAGGCTAATCTATCCAACAAAATAAAAAATACACGTGAAAGTCTAACAACTGCGATCCTCAGATCTCAGCCTCCTGAGCAGCTAGGATTATAGGTGTGAGCTACCAGTGCCCGACTTAACTTTGGCATCTTAAAAGAAACATCCTAATAGCCAATTTTAAAGCTTCTGACACTTGTGCAGATTACTTTAAGATTTACTTACAGCAGGATGGAAAACATTGATGGCTTGAACAGAAGCCTTCCCCTTTTGCTTGTACCCAAATACCAAGTCAATCCAGTGGCAGATATTCTGGGACACATGGTCAGACTCGAGAGCCTGCCGGTGGATGAGGATAAAGAGACGAGGATCATTCCGTGCCCACGGAGGAAGGTTGACGTGATTAACCCGCTCACCATTCTGACGTACACCAAAATCAAATCCTAAGGGGGAAGATGAAACCGTGGATGTTTAGCTCCCACAGCACACTTCATCTAGTCTACTGAGCAGGACTTATGGGTCTTAGAAACAGGGGATTGTATAATACAACCAGGAAGGCAGCAGTAAGGGGCTGGCCTGTCCAGCAGGACTCATCAGCTCCTCTCCTCATTTCCCTACAGGTGGGCTGCATGGACAGATGGCATCCTATGGAAATCTGAGATCTTTCAGTTGTATCCTTCTACCACTTATAAAAGGTTAATCTACCCAACAACATAAAAAAGTACACATGAAAGTGTAACAACCATGATCCTCAGATCAAAAGGCAGAAAACCACAGCCCATGGCGCCAGATCTTCAGATACACAGAGCTTAGCTATCTATTCAACTGTAAATGAGACCAAAATGAAACCAAGGCTTTATACAGCCATTTCTGGATTTCGGACATTACATTTCAGTAAATTTAACAACCTTTATATTGAGAAAAACTAGTTTTACAAAGTTACTACCAAGTATACACACTCCTAGAATGAACTGTTATAGTCTATCAAGTTTATGGCAAGTGTATCAGTCTGTTCTAACTTCCTTTCTGCTGACATATTCCTAAGCCAATAAAATAATACCAACACACCCAATAAAAGGGTTCTTCTACAATGTCAGTGAGCTTGCATTTAACTATATTATTAGTCTGCTAGTGTAAAAAAGACCTTAGTAGTACTTATCTTTATACTTTGAAAGTGGATGCAGTGGTATACCTCTGCAATCTCAGCATTCAGGAGGCTGAGACAAAATGCACACATGAATGAAGTTAAGAAGACAATACAAAGGCACCTTACAGGGTTAGCTGGTCTTCTAGTAAGGTGCAGAAAGGCTGGCCAACATCACAGATCAATGGTGTCATAGAAGGTGAACTGTATCCACCAGTCTCCTGTGGTTACCATGCCATTCTGCTTAGAATGTTTTATTCCCATCTCTGATTTCCTCATACATTCACCTAGCTTTTCAGTAATCTACATTTTTGCTTTTAACAAATTCATGACTCTTATGAATATAACTTCTTTTTTTTTTTTTTGGTTGCTTGTGGGGCTTGAACTCTGGGCTTGGGCGCTGTCCCTCAGCTCTTCAGCTCAAGGCGAGCACTCTACCATTTGAGCTACAGCGCCACTGAATATAACTTCTATAATCAGAAGAATAATTTGTATAATAAAACTGAAGTATATGCTTACAAATAATTTTAACAGTTGAATAAACTAATTGTCCTATAAAAATAGAATTGCCCTATGAAACACTAAAAATCTTCAAGCTTGCTTTGAAATAAAATAATATACTTAGAGGAATGAATTTCTCTTATTTGGGTACTCAGGAATTAGGACTGAGAAATGGAAAAGTACCCTATCATCCCAAGCTCTTAGAAATTATAATTTAGAAATGATCTGACGGCTTACCTTCTCGGTTAACTAAGAACTCAGGAAGATAGAAAAACTCTGGAATAAGTTCTTTCACATCAGTCATGGATTCAAAAGATGAGAGGCGCCAAGTCGTATTGGTAGAATGAAAAGTTCTGTCTGGAATGTCAAAACTTTGATCTACAAATACAAATAACACAATTAAGATAAAAGATTTAGTTCCATTTCAAGCCTGCCATAACATTTGCTACTCAAAATAATTTAAGATACTAATAGAGACATGACTCAAGTAGAGGTGGGCCTGAGTTTCAAGGTGCAAGTCCTGAGTTCAAATCTCAGTACGGGCAGATACAAGGACAGAAAGGAGGACAGAAGGAGCGAGTCAGCCAGGTGCTGGAGGCTCGCTCCTCTAACTCTAGCTACTTGGGAAGCTTTGAGCAGGAGAACTTCAATTTAAGGCCAGGTCAGGTAGAAAAGTTTTATGCCAAACTCTGGGGTATTATCCATACCCAGTATGTAAGACCTTCTTTATTAAATGAATACCTAAAACTTTAAATTTGACTAGGTATAATGGCTCACACCTGTTATCCTAACTACTCTAATACTGGTGGATCTAGGCTAATCTGGGCAAAAAGTTAGCAAGACTATCTCAATCAATACATAAAGAATGTGGAAGTGCATGTAATCCCAGCTATGTGGGAGGATCCTGATCTGAGGCCTGCCCCAAGTAAGTAACAGGAGATGTTATCTAAAAAATAAAGCAAAAGATGGCTGGAGATATAGCTCAAGTGGTAGAGCTCATGACTAGCAACCACAGGATCCTAAGTTCAAATCCTGGTACCTCCAGAAGAAAAAAGAATAGGTAAACAGGTTTCTGCTTTTGCTTTTTTTAATGGATAATGGGATGTAAGTATGATAAAGTACACTATGTGTACACATGACAGTAACATAATGAAAACTACTGAAACCTATTTTAAAAAAGGGGGGAGAGGACAAATGGGATTGAGGAAAAGTAATATAGACAGGGTAAAGTCTGTCATAGTACACTATACCATATGGATGTAAAGATCACAATAAAACTTTGTACAATTCATAATGTATGCTAATAAATTAAACAATAATCTCTTCCTTTCCAGGAAGCAAAATTATTCCTTCACTTCCAATTGCTAAGACAATTTGTTCTCCATTTTCTTGGTTTTAAGGTAGGCAGTTTGGTTTTTTAGATGCTCTAACTCTGAGCTAAAGCACTGAATAAAGTTTCCTATGAGGCTGGGAATGTGGCTTTGTGGTAGAGTGCCTGGCATACGTGAAGCTCTGGGTTCCATTCCTCAGTTCCACATAAACAGAAAAAGCTGGCAGTGATGGCTATGGCTCAAGTGGTAGGGTACTAGCCATGAGCAAATGAAGCTCAGGGACAGTGCCCAAGCCCTGAAGTCAAGACCCAAGACTGACAAAAAAAAAAGAAGTTTCCTATAAACAAAATCAAAACTAAGCACACTCTTGTTCATTAACTACTAATAATCAATAACTAGTTTTGGCTTGTTATTTTCTTTTCTTAGTTTAAATTTTTTTTGTTATTTTAAAGGCTATGTACAGAGGGGTTATAGTTATGTAAGTCAAGTAATGAGTTTTGGGGTTTTTTTTTTGGCCAGTCCTGGGGCTTGAACTCAAGGCCTGAATGCTGTCCCTGACCTTTTTTGCTCAAGGTTAGCACTTTACCACCTGAACCACAGCTCCACTTCTGGCCTTTTGGGTAGCTAGCTGGAGATAAGAGTCTGATGGGTTTATTTGCCTGGGCTGGCTTTGAAATGTGATCTTCAGATTTCAGCCTCCTGAGTAACTAGAATTATAGGTATGAGCCACTGGCCCCACGCACAAATCAGGTAATGAGTACATTTCTTTCTGGACAGTGTCACCCCTTTTCTTGCTCTCTCCCAGTTGTTTTAATTTTTGAATTTGCATACATTAGAAATATATGGGCTTCCACTTTCCCTGCCTTGTTTTGGCCAGCAATGATGTGATATACTGCTACAGGCAGGCCAGCAAGAAGAAATGAAAAGTCCAGCAGTGAATGAGCTTCTTAGGACTATACCAATCATCTACAACATCTCTGGCATCACTCAGCCATGAACCTGCCTTTCATATAGAGCATAACAAACTAGCAGCATTAGCAAAGGAAGAGTTCCAAAAGGATGTTGTCTAATTTTTTATCCACACCTCAGGGCTCTATCAAGTAGCTTTCTATACTAGTTTCATCACTTTGTCATGTAGTTTGCTGTGTTAGATAGCACTGCCTGCCCACTAAACAAACTCTGGGAAAAATTAAGATTTACAAAGGTTTACTTTCTCCCAGAAGGTGAGCAGGGACATTGTGTCAGGCAATGGTGGGGTCACAGCATCTACAGTGGACTAGGGAACTGTGGGACAAGAGAAGCACACATGGATTCTGATCAAATTTTAAGATGCTCTGGCCTACGCCAACTTGGAGTGAAGTGAGGATGTGCCACTGGCATCAGAGGCCAGGGATGCAACTAAAAATGTTATGCACAGTGCAGCCCCCTCAACAAAGAAAGTATGTAGCTCAAAGCAACTACAGTGGCAATTGTGGAAACCCCTGAATTATACCATAAATCAAGATATAAACTCAAGCCAGCATGGTGGCTCATGCCTACAACCCTACCTACTTGGGAGGTAGAGATCAAGATTTGTGATTCAAGGTCAGGCCAGACATAAAAGTTTGTGAAATCAATCTCAATCAATGGCTGGATGGCTGGTGCAAACTTATGTCTATCCAAGCTTTGGGGAAAGCACAATGGTTGGACACAATAATCTGTCATCTGGGCTGGGAAGGTGGCTCAGTGGTAGAGCGCTTGCCTTGCATGCATGAGGCCCTGGGTTCGATTCCTCAGCAGCACATAAGCAAAAAGAAAAAAGCCGGAAGTGGCTCTGTGGCTTAAGTGGTAGAGTGCTAGCCTTGAGCTGAAGAGCTGAGGGACAGCGCCCAGGCCCAGAGTTCAGGCCCCACGATTGGATCCCCCGCCAGAAAAAAATCTGTCATCATGGTGACAAAGGGCAGCCCCAATAGAAGGATCAGAGTCCAGCCAGCCTGGACACAAAGTAAGATCCTATCTTGAAAATAAGAAACATATAGGAGAGTCTGTGAGACCCTTACTTCTAATTAAGCTCAAGAAGTGGAGTTGTGGCTCCAAGTGGCAGTGCTAGCCTTGAGCACAAAAGCTCAGAAACAGCACACAGGCCCTGAGTTCAGCTCTCAGGATTGGCAAAAGAATAAATAAATAAATAAATCAAAAAATCATGCTTAGCCAGCATGAGACCCTAAATTCCTCAGTATCAATAAAAATTAATTAATTCAAAAGCCAATAGAAATCATTTCAAGCTAATGTATGAAAATGAGTAAGAGTTAAGGTGGTATCAGGGTTTTAAAAACTTGTGCAAGTTGGGCACTGTTAGCTCATGCTTATACTCCTAGCTACTCAGGAGGCTGAGATCTGAGGATTATGATTCAACGCCAGCCTGGGCAGGAAAGTCCATGAGATTCTTATCTCCAATGAACCACCAGAAAACTGGAAGTAGTGCTGTGACTCAAAGTGGTAGAGCACTAATCTGGAACAAAAGGGCTCAGAACAGTGCCCAGGTCGAGTTCGAGACCCGTGACAACACACACACACACACACACACACACACACACACACACACACACACACACACACACACACACACACACACACACACACACACACACACACACACACACACACACACACCCCACAACACACAACATAACCAAAACACATACAACCTTAAGCAAAAATATACCATGAAGAAAATCTAATACTATATACAAATATATTTATAATAGTCATGAGTGAAGATTGAGATTTTAGATGAGTGGAAAATTTATACATTAATAAAAACAGTCTTCTGGGTGGAAATGTACAGCCCTTACTTAATCTGCAAAAGACCCTGGTTTGATGCTCAGCACCACAAAAATAGCAACAACAAAACAACAGTTCTAGGTGGAGGAGGTGGCAGTTCTGTTACACACTGCAGTGGCCCATCCATAGCTATCCATACCTTGAGATAGCTATGACAGGAGATCGTGCATATAGGAGGCTCCCAAGCTGATGTTGAACTACCAAGACTGAAGGAGAAAACATCCATACAGCCATCATGAGGGACATCTGCTTTGTGTTTATACAGGGACAGCCTATTACATAGAAAAAGCAGGGAGAATACAAATTTTTTTCTCCAACAGGTTGTTGATGAGTGAAAAATGTCAGAAAGTCCAAGACAAACTGAATGGATAGATTCCCTGAAGAACTCTAAGGGTCATGAGGTACAAGTGCAGAGCTACTAGCTCAGTTCTCATTAGAGGGTGACAGAGTGTGTCCTCTTAGCATGACAGTCTACAGTTCCCTCCTAATTCACCTTCAGCCTGGGCTGCCACTCCAAACACCCAGGTGGAAGATCTCCAAGCAGGCAGGTGACAGAGCGGGCGCTGGCATGGCTCTCCGGCTATCTATGCTGTAAGAAACAACTGTGTTCCTTCTGCCACAGCAACCTCCAGCAGATAACTGCTATACAAACCAAGTACTCAGGCTCCAAAATCACATATTAGATCTAAAATAATTATGTTAGGCTGAAAATACTTTAAAACTGAGTTGAGTATATTTTGAAGGGTGAAATTTGTGGTTTGTGAATTATATTTTAACTTTTTAAATAAAAATTGCATTTTTATAAACTTACGACATGTTTAATTTGAAGCTACCATCTCTAGTTTTTTTGAGGAGAATTTTACTGATGGGAGAATTCTTTTTCCTAGAGTTTGGTTACTTTCAGGTAGCTTTCCAGAAGCCGACCCAGGCTTCCAGTGACTTGGGGCAGTTCTGAAAAGCTTGTCACATACCTTGATAGGCTAGAAACATCTTGGTGAAGGGAGGCATCCTGACCAGGAAGTGGAGCACGGTGCCACTGTTGGAATAGTGGGAGCCGTAGTGATAGGGCTGCACAGGTGGCATGGGATCGTCTTCCCGCACTCCTTTGCGGTACTCTTCCTCCAAGTACTGAGGACACAAAGCCGGCAGTTCATGAGGGGGTGTACTAGGCAGAGCTGGGAATGCTTTGCTGGTTTTCTTGTCCATCCTCCTTTGTCACTATTCTCTTTAGCTTGCTCTCCTTCTCTACAGTACACAGACCCTGGCCATCCTGAGTGTCCAATCTTCCTGGAGCCTGCTAAGGCCTGGCCACGTGAGAGCCACCTGCATTCTGTACCTCCTCACTCACCTCCCATAGGTAACCAGCCCCCACTCTGTGTCCTCACTCCCGCACTCCACTCACAAGTAAGGTTCCTAGTGCGTATGCTGATCAAGCACTCAAAAATGAGAGCTGAGCCGGGTGGTGGTGGCTCATGTCTGTAATCCTAGCTACTCAGGAGGCTGAGATCTGAGGATCACAGTTCAAAGCCAGCCCAAGCAGGAAAGTCCATGAAACTCTTATCTCTAAGTAACCACTAGAAAAACGAAGTGGCAGAGTATTAGCCTTGAGCAAAAAAGCTCAGGGACAATGCTCAGGCCCTGAGTTCAAGCCCCACAACCGACCAAAAAAAAAACCCAAAAACCCAAAACACTAACAACAACCAAAAAAACCCAAACAACCCCCCCCCCAAAAAAAAACAACAAAAAACAAGAGCTGCTCCTACTACTGGAGCTTCATTATACAGTAGACTTTTTCAGAGAAATGTATCTCTAGAGGAGGAAGGCACAGATATCACATGCTAGGAGTACTAATAGAACACCTGAAGGCTGTTTTACAGGGCTGTTGCACAATAAAAAAGAATATAACCATCTTTTTTCCTACTCCTCCCATCATAAAGCTCAGTTAAGTGTCTGCACACTACTCATACCCGTGGCTTGCTGGATCTGGTAACAGGTGGAGTGAATGCTGGAGACTGAACCCAGGACCCTTTGCTTGCCTGGCTTGCTAGGCTTGCTGGCTCTACCATAGCCACACTGCTGGCCCAGGGAAAATGCATTAGTAAGAGGTACTTCATGACTCTCCAGACTGTCCCAGTTCCAAATGTAGACCAATCAGTGAAAGTGACATAAATAATGTGGTGAATATGAGGAAATTGCTTCTTCTGCTTCCTTATTGACACTCTGTGAAGAGTGTAAGATGTGGCAAGCAACTTTTTTCAATTTCCCAGAACCTTCAATAAGATTATATGACATTTATAAATAAACAAGTAGATTTGCTTCTACTTAAACATATAGTCTCATTTCTATTTAGTAAGTTTCAGATCTGATAAATTTCTTTAAAAAAGTGTAATTTTTTGGATGTAACTAGCAAGGGTATGATACAAATAAATATGTCAATATTTAATATATAGTAGCATAATGGTATATGAATTGATTTTATTTTTATATTTACTAAATTAATTAGCAGGTCTATTAATATTATATAAAAAGTTCTTTTAGATATGAATAGCATGTCTCTGAAAATATTTGTGATTTTCAAAGAAATATATTATGCTTGAAGAAACAATGGACTGTAACCTTTTAATTTATGCTAAAACATCTTTTTCTTAATTTTTGAAGGTGTTTTCAGAAAATTAAGACAAAGTATTCTTAATTTTAAATTCTAGTTGTGCAAGTAGAAGTGAAAAACAGGAAAATTAATACTATCAATTTAAAATTAGGTGAAGCTTAAGTCTGTTAAACTTATCTCCATCTTTCATTTATCCAAGAGCCAGTAAAAGCTAAAGCTACCTTGTATGTGTCCACATAACGATCTTCTTTTTCTTTATACTGCACAGCTATCGGCTTAGAGAGATTTCTGCAAAGGAAGGGATGGTAGAAAGAACATGAAACAATTTGACACTGTCTGAATTAAGCTGCCTATGTCTACATCTTTAAAAAAAAAAGAGAGATAAAATGATCAACAAGAGGCTCAGTCCTCAGTGTACTGCTTATACATGTTGCAAAGTCACAATTAAAAATTAAATCTCGCTGGGCATCAGTGGCTCATGCCTGTAATCTTAGCTACTCAGGAGGCTGAGATCTGAGGATCACGGTTCAAAGACAGCCCAGCAGGAAGTCTGTGAGACTCTTATCTCCAATAAACCACCAGAAAACTGGAAGTGGAGCTATGGCTTAAGTGGTAGAGCACTAGCATTGAGCTAGCCAGAGCCCAGGCTCAGAGTTAAAGCCTCATGACCGACAAAATAAATATAAATAAATAAATAAATAATTATATCTCATTGTTCAGGAGGTTTGAAGCCAGCCTGGACAGGAATGTCCATGAGACTCTTACCTTTAATTAATCACATAGAAAGCTAGAAGTGGCACTGTGGCTCAAGTGGTAGAGCACTAGCCTTGAGCAAAAGGGAGCTTAGGGACAGCGCCCAGCCCAGAGTTCAAGCCCCAAGACCAGGAAAAAAACAAAAACAGAAAACCTATACGTCATAAACTACTAAGGTGGAATTTTCCACAGAGCTATGCTAGCATTAGGAACTCCTGACTCAGACATAACCTACAAAGGACTGCTCCCTCTACCTGGGCATTCTCCTCCAATCAACTGACACTGATCCAGTCCCTGAGCTGTCATCTCCCATTTCCCAGACTCAATGATGGGAAGCCTGGTTTGGACAGAAATTATGATCATGCTGAGAGGTTGGGAAGTTCCCAGTCTGTCAATAAAAACTGAAGAACCAACACATGCTAAACATGGCAAATTGTGATTTTGGAGTGAGTATATAGTCTGCTATCTAAGTAGGTGCTGAGTGACAAAGATGTGCCCAGTGTAAGTGTAAACACCACACATCAGGTCATGTGGCATTCCTGTGCACTGTTTGAGAGGAGAAAAGCCTCTAATGGAGTATGTGTGGGGAGTGGGGGGCATCTGGGCTGAGGGATCAGCTGCCTGGCACACCTGGAGTTTCAGCAGATAGCATTATAATTAGACCAACAGCAAGATTTGCCCAAGGTTTAGTTAGTCAAACAGTTCTGCATGTCCAGAATTACACCTATTGTTTCTGTTAACTTATTATTTTCTAGAGATATCAACATAGTGACATTGAGCACAATTTTTGTTGTTGGGACTTTCTGAATTCTAAAATTTTGTCAATAGATAGGAAGAAATCATGGTAAGATCTTTGCATGTAATTTTTCATAAATGCTGTAGATAAATCTTTTGGATACAATTGTATTAATGCTCTGTCTGAAAAATAAAAAAAAATTACAGGAGAACAAGCAGAATAAACCCCAAAGCAGTCACGGCAGTAGAATCCATAGGTAAAACATTTTAGTAGAATGTAAGTAGATCTTCTGCTTGAGCATGTTTCTATGCATGTAACATACTTCTACAATAATCTTTGCGCACCAGTCACTAAGACAAGCAATGACTAGACAAGACAGGTTCCTGACAGCATGAAACTTACTGCGAGATGGAGCCTTTCTGGTAGAGCACATGAACTTCACATTTCCCACAGGAAAAAAAAGTTCCTAGAAGCTAAACTGCTAAAGCAGAGTGTGCACATTTTGAGAGTTCTTTGAATACACTGTCAGATTGCCTTCCAAAAAGACCATATCTATTTATATCAGCAATGTGTAAAGTGTTTAAATGTCTACTAACAGTGTATAAAATGTCTAAAGGAGAAACAACATGCCACTTGCTCTTTTTTAAATCAAAAAGTGCATTAAATAGGATATGATTTCTTTGCTAGGCCATTTTTGACTGTTAAAATTATTAAAACACTAACATATATAACAAGTGGAATATTTGGAGTTAATTTTTTAACTAAGTGAGAATTTTTTCAACTAAATGGGCAAAATACAGTTCATTTAGAAAAGATAGAATATTGATTTTTCCTTGAATTCTCAAATTTCAAAATAAGTAATTGGTCCTCTGTTTACTTTCCACGAGAAATAGGAGGTTTGTTTTGGTGTGTGTGTGTGTGTGTGTGTGTGTGTGTGTGTGTGTGCGTGTGTGTGTGTGTGTGTGTGTGTGTGTGTATTTGGTCTTTCAAAACGCCATATAGGTTTCAGCATTCCTAATCAGAAAATCTGAAATCCAAAAAAACTCCAAAATTTGCAACTTCTTACGAAGAACATTCAAAGCTTCAAAATTTAAAATTGTAGATATTTCAGATCTCGGTTTTAGATTAAGGATGCTCAACTGGTAAAGCCTCAGAATACTGCAAAATCTGAACTCCCAAATCTAAGCCACTCTGGTCCCCAGTATTCAGATAAGGATCCCTTAACCTATGCAATTATGAGCTAATGCGCCTTTGCACTTCAATGCACTTCACCTGCTTGCAGTCATTTTTTTCTTCTATTCTGATTGCCCTGTATTAGGCAGTGAGAAGCATTTAAATGTCCTTTTGTGTCCTTTTTCATCCTTTTTTCCCTTTTAACTCAGGCTGGGATCTAGGAGTGAGATACTCCTACCTGTCTCAAAAGTAACTGAGATTATGTGTCACCAAGCCTGGCTTCTGTGTCTTTTTGAGAAAATGTTCATTTCTCCCCCCCCCCCCTTCACACACACACCCTCCGTTCTTCCCTCTTCCTCCCTCCCTCTTTCTCTTTCTTGTATTAGTCAGGACCCAGGCACTATCACTGAGTTCTTCTGCTCAAAGCTAGAGCTCTACCACTTTGAGCCACAGTGCTACGTCAAGTTTCCTGGAGATAAAAGTCTCACTGACTTTCCTGACAGGGCTGGCTGAGATCTGAGGATCTCAGCCTCCTGAGTAGCTAGGATTACAGGCATAAGCCACCAGTGCCCAGCAATTCCTTTGTTCTCTGACAAAAGATATATCCTAGGCTCCGATTGTATACTTTCTTCCAGTAAATTTAGGATAAATGAGAAAATAAGAAATCACTATTTGTTGGCCCTATTGAAATGGTATTTTTAAGCAATAATCAACAACTGATAAGACATAAGACATGAGTCACTGGGACCCTGAACCTACAGCTCATCACAAGTACTACCAGAAAGGAAAACCACAGGCTTCTAGTATCAACCTATACATCACTATCTTCAGTGGCTGCTTGCCAAAATACAGGGGTGAACTTGAGCCTAAGCAAGCCTCAAGAATGAATCCTCAAAAAAAAAAAAAAAAAAGAATGAATCCTCAATCTCTAGAAAATAGATGCTAGAGAAGCAAACTAAATCATGGATGCCACAGAAAGAAATCAGAAACCACAGAATGTGAAGTGCACAAAATAAATAACTTTTTTTGTTTTGAGCAAGTCAATGTCAGGAGAAAATAAAGAAAAAAACATATATGTAAACAATTAAAAGGATATATACATATACACACACGTATATACATATACACACATATAAAATAAAAAACAACAGTGGGCCTGTTGCCAACTAATCACAAAAAGGGCATCTTTAGGATAACCAGGAGACATGTGAAAATGGACCGGCTAGTTGATGGAACTATTATTAATTTGCTTACGTATAATAATAGTACTGCAGCTATCTAAGAGAATGTCTAAAATCAAAAAGAGAGATGACATCAGTTTGGTAAGTTTGAGAGCCCAAAGGTAAGAGTTTTGTTATTCTTAATTACTGAGTTGAGCTGATTAGGTAAATGATTAAACAGTCACTTTATTTTTATGCATGCTATGAAGAATTTTATGATATTTTGTGGAAAACCTCAATGACATCAATACAGCATATGGTGACTCTGAAAGATGGTAATGCTCTTACTCACCTGTAGATTGATGGGTCATTGAGATCAAGGGTCTCATTAACATAGTCAGAGAGTATAAATGGGAACACCGGATACTGCATGAGATCATTGAAGGATCGACCAGCATGTTTGTTTAGGTGAGTCAAATATTCAAAATTGGTAATTTGTCCAGCATACCACAGATTTGTTAGAGCAGTGATGTTACCATATTCCAGAAGATTTGGGAGGTTATTTGTGAGTATATTGTGATACACATCATCACGGACCTAACAGAGGGAGAGGAAGAAAAAAGACTCAGATATTTTAAGCTCGCAGACACTTTTCTCCAGAGTAAATCAGGTTACTACTGATATCAAATTTTGCAAGAAAAAAAATTTTGTGTTAGTCCTGGGGCTTGAACTCAGATCTTAAGCACTGTACCTGAGCATTTTTGCTCAAGGCTATTGCTCTACTACTTGAACCATAGCTCCACTTCTGGCTTTTTTTGTTTGTTGGTTTTGGTGGTTAATTGGAGGCAAGAACCTATCAGGCTGGCTTTGAACTATGATCCTCAGACTTTAGCCTCCTAAGTAGGAGAAGTAATGATGTGAGCTAAACAGGGTACAGGTGCAGAACGTCTTCCTCCAGACATAGGCTCTCAGTTATTATACCTTGCTGCTGGGAAAATATTCTAAGATCACTTGGTAGTAACTTCTAAGTTATTATTTATAACTTTTTTTTCAGTTGTGGGGCTTGAACTCAGGGCCTGGGGCTAGTGCCCTACCACTTTTTTTTTTTTTTTTTTACTGTCCTACCACTTTTGAGCCACAGTTCCACTTCCAGTTTTCTGCTGGTTAGTTGGAGGTATGAGTCTCATGGACTTTCCTGCCCAGGCTGGCTTTGAATCATGATCGATTGATCTTGACCTCCTGCACAGCTAGGATTACAGATGAGAGCCACAATGGCTAGGCTTTGTTGTTCATAACTTCTGAATTATGCACAAAAGTCACTTCTATACAGATACAAAAAAATCAATGAAAACTGTAACCCCGCTGTACATCACCTTTATAATAACCAATTTTTAAAAATACAATTAAAATGTTAAAAAAAATCAAAGAAGAAAGTATTTTTTTCTAGACAAGTACAGTGTAGTATAGTAGACAGAGTGCGAGAGAACTGGGTGAGTCTAGATACCCTCAGGGTTTACAGCATGAACATTAGAAAGATGAAATTTCTGCCTACAGAGATAGGAAAAAATTAAAGGAAATTTTAGAGGAAGATTCAGTTCAGCTAAGTTTGGTGTATACTAAGTTTGAGATTCTAGTTGGTGACTTCCAAAAAGATGCCAAGTACAAGTCATTTTATGACTCCCAATATGTAAAAGCAGAGCCAGGTATGGGAGGTGGAGATCAGGGGATTATTGTTCAACAGCAATCCAGGCACATGCAAGATTCTGAAATTCCATCTCAATCAATGGCTAGGCATAGTGGTGTATGCCTATTTTCCCCAGGAATATGAAGAAACACAAATAAGAAGATCTCAGAAGAATACAGTAAGATGCTTCCTCAAAAATAACCAATGTAAAAACGGGCTCTTGGCTTGCAAGAGTGAAGACCTAACATTAGTTCCTAGAATGTCCAGAAAATACTTATCTCTATATAGAAATGTATTTGTTTTCATTTATAAATGTGGCATTTGGGGGAGAGGCTTGGGCACTGATCCAAAGCTGTATGCTGTTAAGATGGCATTTTCAAGCCATGAGAAGGGATAAGAAGAGGTCTGAGAAAGATACCGATGGTGAATGTAATAAGATGAATAAAATGCCCATGAAAGAGAAGGTGAAGAGAGAAAAAGTAGAAACCCAGAAGGTCAGGGAAGTCTTCTTCCAGGAGGAAGACTAGCCAGCTGTCTAGAAAGCTTCTGGTAGGCCAAGCAAGGAAACAGGAAACAGGACCAGGAGAGGAAATACAGCGACAGGAGCAGTTCAGAAGACAGCTTCAGGGAGGAAGGAGAGTCAGAAAGTACATACAACTTTCCCCCAAAGGGTTTTCACAAAGGGATTGAGACAAATGGCAGATGAAGAAACATGCATTATGGGTTGGATTGTCATGAGCAGTAACTCATGCTTATAATTTTAGCTACTGAGGATTTGGAGATAGAAGGAACAAAGTCTGTGGCCAGTCTTAGCAAAAGTTAGCAGCTGGGTGCTTCTGATTCATGCCTGAAATCTTAGCTACACAGGAGAGTGAGATCTGAGGATTGTGGTTCAGCCAGCCTGGGCAGAAAAGTTTGTGAGATTCTTATCTCCAATTAACTAGCAACACACACACACACACACACACACACACACACACACACACACACACACACACACACACACACACACACACACACACACACACACACACACACACACACACACACACACACACACACACACACACACACAGCATAGTAGTGCATGCTTTTGGTCTCAGCTACTCAGGAAGCAGAGGCAGGATGATTATGGTTCAAGGCCAGCCTGGCTAGTGTATGACCTCTGTCTGAAAAACAGACTAAAAGCAAAAGAGCTAGGGGTGTGGTGCAGTGGCACAGCAACTGTCTACCAAGCATGTGCCCCTGAATCCAATCACCAGAATGAAAGGAACAAAGAAATAAAAGAAGGAAGGAAGGAAGGAAGGAAAGAAGGAAGGAAGGAAGGAAGGAAGGAAGGAAGGAAGGAAGGAAGGAAGGAAGGAAGGAAGGAAGGAAGGAAGGAAGGAAGGAAGGAAAAAGAAAAAAGATGGCCCTTCTTGTACTTCTTTTATTCTTCTGGGGGAACCCGAACTGAATACAATTTTACAGGTCAAAAAATGCTAATAGGTTCAAGGGTTTACTTTAGTAAAGGCCAAGAGATAAAACATTTCACTACATGATTTCAGTTTAAATTAAAATTTACATAATTAGTATCAGCCTTGGTCACATGCTTGCCTAGATGGCAGGCATCTTATTACTTAAGGTTGAATTTACCTTGGTGGTATCAAATGCCAACAAGAGTGTTCTGCCATTTGTTAGAAAGATTTCTACAGCATTATCTCTCAATTGCCACCATCGCTTGTGAACTTCTTTAATTTCTTCATATGTCCAGGAAAATGATGCTGGTTCTAAGTCTCCATGAAGGCTCTAAGACAAAGGAAACAGACAAAAGTATTTATATTGCATGAAACAGTTATATTGATTTTAGAGTAAAAAAAACTATCAAAACAAAATAGAAAACCTGTGGAACATTTGTGGGAAAATGGTAGGTACGATTATCTGAAAGCTTTTCCACTATAAAAACAGTACATATGCTAGAGTAATTAATTAATCAAAAAGAATTAGCACTTTATGTTTTAGAGCAGTTACAAGTCTGCAGGAAACCTAGCAGGAAGTATAGAGCTCCCTTTGTCCTCCTGTGCTACCTCTACACTCAGTTCTCCTATTAGTAATGCCTTACAGTTGGTATGAGTATTGATTACAGCTGATGAAGTAATGTCTGTATGTGATTTTTACCTCCAGCCTATAATGTCATTCATCCTATGAGTTTGGATGTTCAGCCAATTTCACTATGGTACAGACCAGTTCTGCCACCCTAAAAGCTTTCAGTACTTCCTTCCTTCCTTCCTTCCTTCCTTCCTTCCTTCCTTCCTTCCTTCCTTCCTTCCTTCCTTCCTTCCTTCCTTCCTTCCTTCCTTCCTTCCTTCCTCCCTTCCCTCCTTCCCTCTCTCCTTGCTCATTGTTTTCATGTATCCACAGTTTTGTTTTTCTGAGAATGCCATATGGTTGGAAGCATGCTGTATGTTAGATTTCTAGTTAGTTTCTTTTGCTAAGCAAATCTTCTAAATGCATAGCTGAGCTTCCAAGAAACAAGGAAATGAAACCTTTGTGGTCAAAAATAAAAAAGAAATGCACAAAATAGTAGTTGGGAGGAAGTGACCCTTTGGCTGCCTGGTTGTACATGTGTTCATATGTGTGTGCATGTTTGCATGTTTGTGCATGTATGCACAAACACTGCTTCAGAAGTGAAGTGACTTAAATTAATATCCACTTGGGGACAGAAGATGAGCTCTTGTCTTCCTTGGAGTAAGGGCGTTGAATTGAGATTCCTTCAGAAGCCTAGAATCCATGCAGAGCCGTGTTCTGAGTAAATGATTTGAAAACAAATGTGCCCATCACTAAAGGAAAAGGACCAAGAACTGGGTCTCTGTCTTGGGTCCAGGTGGACAATAGAAAGAGATCTCTTGAGAGAGAACATAGAATCCATGTCCTCCCTCTCTGCATGGCCTCAAAGCCTCCCAGCTGTGAAGTGGCTCTCACACCAGAGTCACCCACAGAGGCCAATTCCAGTTTCTGGAGGAACACTGTTACACAAACACAGAAAGAACACTTGCCAGTCAGTTCAAGCTAGAGAGCCACAGATTCTCTCATGTGGCCTCAAGGGAAGGACATTGACCAAGGAGGCACTAGAAGGCTGTGTCTTTGGGAAGGCAGCCTGATCTGCAGAGAACCCTAGCTTGCTCAGTCACACCCCACATTTGGGGATGAAGAGTTGGATCCACAGGTCCCTCTTGTTCCCTTCAAAAATAAAATGAGAGCCGGGCATCGGTGGCTCACGCCTGTAATCCCAGCTACTCAGGAGGCTGAGTTCTGAGGATTGTGGTTCAAAGCCAGCCCAGGCAGGAAAGTCCATGAGACTCTTATCTCCAATAAAAACCACTAGAAAACTGGAAGTGGCACATTGGTGTAAGTGGTAGAGCACTCCCCTTGAGCTGAAGAGTGCAGGGACAGTGCCCAAGCCCAGAGTTCAAGCCCCATGACTGACAAAAAATAAAATAAAATAAAATAAGGAAAACATTGAAAAATAAGTCTAATCTTTTATAAACCAATGCTAACTATGAATTGTGTTATTCAATACTTTAAACAGAGAAATCATGATAAAGTCTCCACTAAAGTTTAAGGTTAGTTAGAACTTTCTTCCTCCAACCATGTCCTAGCTCGCCTGAGCTTTTCTTTTTTTCCTCTGAACTGGCTAATAGAAAATTCAGAGCAGAATTCAGAACTCAAATTGCAATTACTGTTTTATCTTAAGCTCTTTATTCTTCTAAGTCTTAAAACATTGGAATTTCTCTATTTATTCTTTACTCCTGTACTGGGTATGGAATAGTTTTTGAGTGGAGTTAGGGAATACACTATAAATAAAATGTAAACTTTTTGTTTTGCTCTTTTTGTGTGTGTGTGTGTGTGTTCTAATACTGAGGACTGAGCCCATGGCCTCATGCGAGCTAGGCAAGTGCAGTATCACTGCGCTACAATCCCAGTGCTAAACTCTTTTAATGGAAATGTAATACTCTCAAACTAAACCAAACTCCTTTATTTAACTTCAGTTTCATCTACTCAGTTCAACATATATCCAGCAAGCAACTCTAAGCAACGCTCTGCATGAAATAATCAATGTTAAGACTAAAAAGGGACTTGAGACTTGAACAAAAGTTTAAAATGCAAGACAGTAAATGTCATGTGAAATGAACTGAGAGTTTCAGGGAGCAGCTAGACTATGCTACTCAGGATAGTATGAGAAAGAATGGGCAAAAACTGAAGTAACAGCAGCGCATTAGAATCTGACTGATGGTAACAGCTGAGATGCAGGTGCCAAAGTTAGAAGAGATGATGGTGCAGGCTTCTTTGGGTGTGCCAGTCCTGAAGCTTAAATGCTGGGCCTGGGCCTGAATGCTGTCCCTGAGCCTCTTTCTGTTCATGGCTAGCGCTCTAGCATTTGAGCAACAGTGCCACATCTGGCTTTTTCTGAGTAGTTTACTGGAGATAAGAGTCTCACAGACTTTACTGCCTGGGCTGGCTTTGAAGTGTGATCCATAGATCTCAACCTCCTCAGTAGCCAAGATCATAGGCGTGAGCCACCAGTGCTCAGCTCACAGGCTTCTTCTTTTTTTTTTTGGGTCCGGTCATGGGGCCAGAACTCTGGGCCTGGCCGCTGTCCCTCAGCTCTTCAGCTCAAGGCTTGTGCTCTACCACTTGAGCCACAGCGCCACTTCCGGCTTTTTTCTTTTTGCTTATGTGGTGCTGAGGAATCTAACCCAGGGCCTCAGGCATGCAAGGCAAGCACTCTACCACTGAGCCACCTTCCCAGCCCCCTCACAGGCTTCTTTATAAAAAGATGTTTGAAATTGAGCCCAGTCTACATGGTAAGTGACATACAGAGCCCTAAGAGTTCTACCTACTCTCTCAGGCTTTATGGTTGTAAAATCTTTCTAGGTTTAATGTAAGAAAGCCTCTACTCACCGAATTTTCAACTGGATCAGAAGCATTATCTTCTACAAAATACATTCCACATTTACCTGCAGAGAGTAATTGGACAGAGTTTAAAATGTTAAGTGAAGTGTTTTCAGCTGTGGACCTCTGGGGTCCATTTGCTTGCATCTGAATCTCAGAACTTAAAAAGAGTTCCAAGCACTCAATAGGTATCTTTAAAACAAGACTTGTAAGATCTCAGACAAGTTGCTTAACCTCAATATGTCTTACTTTCCTTATTAAAAATAAGTGGGGCCAGACTCTGGTGGCTCAGGCCTGTCATCCTAGCTACTCAGGGAGGCTGAGATCTGAGGATCATGGTTCAAAGCCAGTCCAGTCAGGAAAGTTTGTGGGACTCTTATTTCCAATTAACCAGCATGAAAAAGCCTGAAGTGGAGCTATGGCTCAAATATTAAGAGTACTAGCCTTGAGAAAAGAAAAAAAAAAAAGCTCAGGAACAACGGCTAAGCACTGAGTATAAACCCCAGTAGCAGCAAAATAAATAAATAAATAAATAAATAAATAAATAAAAATAAACAAGCAGGGTTGGGAGAGTAGAAGGCTATACTTCAGCTACTGTGAAACTAACCAAAAATATGTACAAAATGCTTACCAGTCCTGCCTTGCATTTAATGCTAAATAGATGCTGGTTTTTTGTTAGTACCATTATCCTTCCTATCATATACATATACCAATTTGCTTTATTCAGTCACACACTAAAGTCAAATGGTCCACTGAATTTTCTAGTAAAAAAAGGTAATAATCATTTTCTGACTGAGCCACATAGCAGAGAACAAGAGTGAGAGGTGCTTTCCTGCATCTGGGCTAGCCGTTCCAAGTCCCTGTACAAGTGTCACAATGCTAGGACCTCCTGGGACTCTGCTACTATACGCTGTCCACCCTGTAGTGCTGGGTTGACTATGAAGGCCTGGGTGATTCAGTAGAGTCTAAAAGTCTAAACGTGTCTACACACATTTCTAATATATAATTTAAAAACGATTAAAGATAAAAACGTATTATGCAAGGAGAAAGTCAACTTCTTGTTTTAACAGTACTGGAGGTGAACTCAGGGCTTCTCTCTTCTTAGGCAGGGGTTCTGCCACTTGATCAACATCCGTAGTCCTTTTTGCTTTAGTTATTTTTTTGAATAAGGTCTTGCGTTTATGCCTACACTATGATTCTTTTCTTTATATTTCCTACAAAGTTGGAATAACAGGTACACACCACCATGTCCAATTTTATTGGGTGGGATGGGGTGCCATGAATTTTTTGCCTGGGCTGGCCCTGAACTACCATCATCCTGATCTCCACATCCTGAGCTGCTGAGATTACAGGTATGAGCCACCATGCCCAGAAGAAATTAAATTTTTCACCATGTACATTTTAGAAAACAAGCGATCATCTCTTCACGTTCATAAGTCATAAACATCATAGCAGTCCCTCCTTGCCTGTGCTTTTGTTTTCTGAAGTTTCAATTATTTGTGGTCAACCACAGTCTGAAAATAGTGGATGTAGTTAATTCCAGAAACAAACAACTTACAAGCTTCAAGTTACACACCATTCTGAGCAGCGTGATGACATCTGCCCTGTTCTGCTTCACCCCTCCTTGCTCAGTGTCCAGTTCTACACATTCTATCTGCTACCAGTGCATTCATCCCTCAGCTGTCTCCACTGTCAGATCAACAGCATTGCTGCAGTATCAAGTCCCCTTACTTTATTAACAAGTGCTGGAGCACACACATGCACAGGGAAGCTATCAAGTGCTTCCCTTTAAGCAAGGTGCAGTGAACTACCCAAGAGACCATAGATAACATAAGGCTCTCCTCACTACATCTATTAGTTATTGTTGATCTCTTATCAAGGCTACTTTACACTTTATTATGGTATGTATGGTATAGAAAAAAGCCTGGCACACATAGGGACTGCTATCTGTGGTTTCATGCATCTTACTAAGGGTTCTAGAGGATAAGAGAAGCTATGAAATCAAGCTATATGAAATCAAGGCAAAAAGTCTCTGACATCTTAAAGAAAGTTGATCTAATTTGATGGCAACATGCCAAAAACACTACAAATGATCTAAGAATACAGTAAGGCATATGTATGTAACATCCTTCAACTTACCTAACAGCAATTCACCAGCTGTCTCTCTGGATGGTGCAACACTAATACATCTTCGATTTATTCTGCCAAAACATATTCCAAATTACACATCTCTCCAATTTTGCAATAGAAGCCTTATTTTATTTAATAGAAGACTTACGCAGGCAGAATATAGTTTCAACAGCATGAGATGGTGTGTCAGAGCCTACATAACACATTCCAGTGGAGGAGAAAATGATTGCAGCCTTTAGAAAAGGCTAAGATTACATATAACCTTTATGCAGCATATATGTATTTAGTTATGTAAGAGAACTTTCAATGCTTTGTATTTTAATTGTTTTATGCCATTGGTATTTCTGTAAGTGAAAACCGCCTAGTATTCCAGGAAAAATAGAACTTTGGAGTCAGAAAAGTTTCCTGTTCTTGTTACTTATGTTTTTTTTGTCTCAGGTTTAGTCACATTATTTCTCTCACTGGTTAGTGATAAGACTGAGGCAGAGGGGGTATATGTCCAAGATATGACAATTGGAAAGAGCAGGAATAAGGCTGGTGCTGGTGGCTCACACCTGTAATCCTAGCTACTCAGGAGGCTGGAGTCTGAGGATCATGGGGTTCAAGCCAGCCTGGCGCGAAAGTCCATGAGACTCTTATCTCCAATTAACCACCACAAAACTGGAAGTAGCACTATGGTTCAAGTGGTAGAGCCCTCGCCTTGAACTGAAGAACTCAGGGACAGCACCCAGAGTTCAAGCTCCAGGACCACCACCACCAACAACAAGAAAGAGCAGGAATGGGGCCTGAACCTTTGATCACTGCACTACACGGATGATGGTAGTGTCACCAGCAACTCTAGCTACCTTACAGAGCTATTTAAAAAGTCAAGAACAAGAACACATGCATACAGGAAGTGCCAGAACATGATGACTGACATCCAATAACCCTGCTTCAGAAATGTCATGCAGCTTCTGCCAATCAACCTTGTTCTGTCTCAGGTCTCTTATGTTTAAAACCCACAGTACTTAACACAAGCATTACACAAGCTCTATAGTGAGTACTGAATACTCACCAAGAGTGAAGGGAGTCCATGGACTCACACCTACCTTATGGATTCACTGGCAGCTTTGTCTTTGACAGTAGAGGAGAAAGAAGAGTGAGTTTTGTCCTCAAACAGGTAAGAGAGTGGTGGCTTGAGCACATCTGCTAATGAAAGGTTCACTGTTTATCTGATGCCCACAGTTTCTCTCCACAGTAGCACACAAGAGGTGGGGACACATACTCTTACCTTCTGACTTTTGTCTGCCCCTCAGGAGGTACTTATTTGGAATAGCTAAGTAGCATCTCTGCAAGCGTCTCCTCTCCCGGTTTGGGCCTTCTGTTGGATCCAGCTGCCACGAGGTTGGATAGTAAATGGGGTCATACCACACTGCCCTGTGGGTGAAAAGGAAAGGACATTTATTAAGGAGAGGCCAATGGGTCAGACTCTTGGAAAAAAATCACCACAGAGACTGAGTAGATAAATAATAATTAAGGAGTAACAGCTAACATATTTATACTACACACACAGAACAAAAAAATCTTCTAAAAAAAAAGCAAGAGTGCTGCTGAGCCCCCTTCTGGAGCAAGTGATGCATCTGCTCTCCCAGCTGCTAATGTTGTCAGCTACCTCACTACCACCATTAAGACCCAGGTAACATCACATAATACTCTGGATTCGATATGGTTAGTGGACAAAAACTGTTTCCCAAATCAATCTTGTATATTTCCCATTGTCTCCTCTCTAACAGATTTAGTTGTTGTGGTATCATTTTGGGGGGTAGTAGGGTTTAAACTCAGGGCTTCATGACTGCTAGGCCTGGGTGCTGTCCCTTAGCTTCTTTTGCTCAAGACTAGTGCTTTAGCACTTGAGCCACAGTATCACTTCCAGCCTTTACTGAGTAAACAGTTTATTGGAGATAAGAGTCTCACACTTGGTGCTGGTGACTCATGCCTATAATCCTAGCTACTTAGGAGGCTGAGATCTGAGGATGGCAGTTCAAAGCCAGCCAGGGCAGAAAATTCCCCATGAAACTCTTATCTTCAATTAACTACTCAAAAACCAGAAGTGGAGCTGTTGCTCAAGGTGGTAGAGTGAGAGCCTTGCATTAAAACAGAGCTTAGGGATAGCACCCATGCCCCAAGTTCAAGCACCACAACTGACAAAAAAAGAAAAAAGAGAGCCTCATGGACTTTCCTGCCTTGGCTGGCTTCGAACCACAATCCTCAGATCTCAGCCTCCTGAGTAGCTAGGATTACAGGCATTAGCCACCAGCATCTGGCTCATAATGCATCTTTTAAGTCACATTAAAGTCCTAGCTAGAAAAATATCCATTCCTGGGGCTGGGAAGGTGGCTCAGTAGTAGAGCGCTTGCCTTGCATACATGAGGCCCTGGGTTCGATTCCTCAGCACCATATAAGCAAAAAGAAAAAAGCTGGAAGTGGCGCTGTGCCTCAAGTGGTAGAGCGCTAGCTTTGAGCTGAAGAGCTGAGGGACAGCGTCCAGGCCCAGAGTTCAGGCCCCAAGACTGGACCCCCCCCCCCCCCCAAAAAAAGAAAAATATCCATTCCTGAATTATCTTTTCAAATATTTCTTTTTCAAGAACATCCTTTATAATTAAAGTCAGTTTTATTGTCTGAAAGAACTAATACCTCTCCTTTCTCCTTAGTTATTTTCCCCCTCAGATCTTATATGATCGTTTTTCAAGATGGAAACAAAATTAGGTATAAGGAACAGTTCTGTAGCAGAACATTTATTTCACATACTCAAAGTCCTGGGGTTGATCCTCAACACTAAAACAAAATGAAACAAAACAAACAAAAAAGAAAGAAAGAAAGAAAAAAAAGCCACCAATGATTTAACAAAAAAGTGTTTACTGAATTAATTTTATGAATCTGAATTCTGGAGTCTAAATAGTGAGTGTTCAACATCCACATATAAAATAGAATATCTAGTCTTCTTGTCACTCACCTGTCATGTGTCAGTTGTTGAATGAGTTCCTGCCAATGTCTGCTGGCACTCAGGTCTACTTTGTACATTCCTCTAATGTGCTGGATTACCTTTTTCCTCTCAATTCCCTGGGAGAGAGACACTGCTTGGGTGATATCTGCTGCTATCTTAGATATATCCTTTGATTTTGAATCAAGACGCTGGAAGAGACTAAACATGCAACACTGCCCATAAGTTAAGTGAATTAAGTGAATATTAAATATTTATTGAAACTAATGTTTTAAATCTAAAAGCATGCATGAGGGTTGAGGATATAGCTCAGGGAGAGAGCACTTGCCTAGCATGTATGAGACCCTAGGTCCTATCCTCAGTACAAAAGGGGAGGGGAATGGAGGGGAGGGACTCCACAAAATCCCCACATCAAACCAAAACCAAACATAACTCTAATAATTCCTAAGGGATGATGTTAGGAACACATAAAACCTTACCTTTGTTGATTATTGTTAACTGTTTTCTGCCAGGAAGCTTTACTCATGCCGTCTTCAATTTCATATTTCTTTTGCTCCTGAAAGATTTGGGTAGTAATGCATTACATAAAACATTATCTTTCAACCCACATTGGCACAAAGCCCAGTAAACTAATTTTAAAACCACGTTAACAAAGGAAAAAAGATTATCTTCAGGAGACCAGAATATTAAAATAAATAAAGCACCTAAACAGTGTACAATTCCTCTTTGTTTCTATACAATTTGGGTCACAGAAATTAGGGTATGATAGTTACATAGTATGCCTGACCTGATGAGTTTACTTGGTTCTTCATTTTACTTTTTCACTGAATAACCTATAAGTCAAGGTATGTTTAATGTGTTTGTGCTATGAAAATCATCCCTTCACACAATACTGCTAGTCATACACAAGGAAATCAAGTTGTCAAATCAAAGTTGTCTCCTGAATATATACCATATAGTGGAAAAATCTGTCAAGCATTCTTTGTCATATTCAGCAAGATCTAAGGAACAAGTATGGTTCCTCAGACTCACCTCCATGATCGTCTTGAGAAGCTCTGGTTTGGAGGAGGCGCTGGATGGAATGCACTTGTGGCCATATAACTTCAGAGTGCTCATAAGGCGTTCTGCCATGTCTAGTTCTTCTTCTGCCAACTCATCTTGGTGATTATGTATCAACTCTGACAAATACAAAACTAACTTGGCTCCATGCTTTAAAAAAAGTAACAACTTTTTAGTAACAGAGAATTTGTATTTTTTCTAATGTCATGATTTCTATCATTTATTTTAAAATAAATCAGAAAAAGAAATTATATCAATAGGATAAAATATCAACAAAGCTGCATCCAGATATTAACAAATGTAAATCATAGATTAATAATAATACTATTCTTTCCACTTCAGGAAGCAAGCTAGTCAGCTAGCTTTTGGAGAAAAAGCTCTAAGGGGATTTGCTGAAGGAATTCACAAAATAAGCTTAGGGTAAAGGAAAAGACTTACTAGTGTTCTCCTAAGAATGTTGAACCAGAGGATAACCTTCCTTTATTATTTAGGGTGAATGAAATGTGCTTATTCATACCTTTCTAAGTAGTTTATGCTCAACTTCTAAAAGAGAAGTTGGTGAAATTTCCAGAATGAAAGCCATCTTTAACTTGTCAGCACTCTATTTTAGGGTGAGCAAGAGAGGAAAGACTCTAATGCCAGTGAGATCTCAGTGCTCAGTTCCATGTCTACCAAAGCAGAATTCACCTTTCTTAAGGTAATGACAATTGCTCTTCTCAGTGCAAGCTTAAACCACTGCTGGCTCTTACTTTCACAATGAGTTTCCTCCATGCATTGTGTAATACACCTGAGGGTGATGTGCCATCACATCTACCATATAGTAGACAATATATATTTATATTTTATAGTAGATAATATATTTTAGGACAAGTTAAAAACACCTTCCTTTAAAGACTGCATTTATCTTCAGGCATTTTAAACTGTGAACAGTTAAGTATTAAATGTTAACAAATGGATTTGGAATTGATTACATTTGGGGTGATATTTAGATCAACGTGCTGAACCACATTGTCATTTCCAAAGTATAGGGTGAGCATATGCACTAGTGAAAATAGCAAAGCTTCTTTCAATGTGACATTTAGTCAGAAGACAGCTGCCACCTGAGCAAAAGAGGAAAAGGAGCAGATGTTGAGACAGTAAAAGGCTAGGAGAGTTAGCAAATAAAGAGAAATGGTAAATGATTGAATATTTTTATATGTGTGCCCTAAAAGCAATCTTCTTTTTCTTTTTTCTGGTCATGGGGCTTGAACTCTGGGCCTGGGCACTGTCCCTGAGCTCTGCAGCTCAAGGTGAACACTCTACCACTTGAGCCACAGCGCCACTTCCGATTTTCTGGTGCTTAATTGGAGATTAGATTCTCACGGACTGTCCTACCCAGGCTGGCTTCGAGTCACGATCCTCACATCTTAGCCTCCTGAGTAGCTAGGATTACAGGCTTGAGTCATGGGTATCTGTCTGAATTATTATTTAAAAAATGCTGCTAGCCTGGCGCTGGTAGCTCACGCCTGTAATCCTAGCTACTCAGGAGGCTGAGATCTGAGGATCACAGTTCAAAGCCAGCCCGATCATGAAAGTCCGTGAGACTCTGATCTCCAATAAACCTCCAGAAAAATGGAAGTGGCGTTGTGGCTCAAGTGGTAGAGTGCTTGTCTTGAGTTGAAGAGCATAGGGACAGTGCCCAAGCCGAGTTTAAACCCCATGACTGACCAAAAAAAAAAAAAAAAAATGCTGCTAAACTGGGCTCATGCTTGTAAGCCTAGCTACTCAGGAGGCTGGGATCTGAGGATTACGGTACAAAGCCAGTCCAGGCAAGGAAGTCCATGAAACTCTTATCTCCAATAAACTACCAGAAAACCAAAAGTGACACGTGGCTCAAGTAGTAGAGCACTCGCCTTGAACTGAAAAGCTCAGGGGCAGCACCCAAGCCTAGAGTTCAAGACCCATGACTGACAGAAAAAAAAAAAAAAAAAGCTGCTACTAAAGATGAATATAAAAAGTTCTTTTTTTTTTTGGTTGGTTTTGGGGCTTGAATTCTGGGCTTGGACGTTATCCTTCAGCTCTTCACCTCAAGGTGAGCACTCTACCACCTGAACCACAGCACCACTTCGGGTTTATTGGAGATAAAAGTCTCACAGACTTTACCTGCCCAGATTGGCTTTGAACCACGATCCTCAGAGCTCAGCCTCCTGAGTAGCTAGGATTACAGGCATAAGCCACGGTGCCTGGCTCTTTTTTTAGCTTTAAAAAAAAAACTGAATTTTTGAGCTTAGACATGGTGGTACACACTTGCAATCCTACTACTTAGGAGGCTGAGGTAGGAGGATTTCAAGTTTAAGTCCAATGTGTGCTACACAGTGAGAAAACAAAAAAATGAAATTAAAAAAAAAACACATTAGCCTGTAAGTTCATAACTTAGTTTATGGAATTGAATCTATTAAAAAAAAACCATGGTGGAAATAGGAGGGATGTGGTTCAAGCTCTTCTCCAAACACAAGCTGGGCATGATGATATACATCAATAATCCCAGATATTTGAGTCCAAGACTGGCTCCAGACAAAAGTGTAAGGCCTTATCTGAAAAACAAACTAAAGCAAAAAGCATTAGAAGTGTGCTCAAGTGGTATAGAGTACTTGCCAAAAGCATGGGCCCTTAGTTAAAAACCTCATGATTGATTGCACCCTTAAATAATAAAACTTTGAAGTACGTAAAGTTTTCAATGAGGGTCCTCAGAAGGAACAGAGTGGAGCGCTATGGAGACAAATAGCAGAATAGGTAGGTAATGAGAGTGGGAAAGCTTTGTGCTCTGCGTTGGCATCCTGCACAAAGCAGCACAGCTGTGCAGTTATGCATGGAAGGTAAAGCAGCCACAGGAGACAGTGATGAGGCTACAGACTGCAAAATCCATCAAAGGTAGTGAGTTACAGCAGTAGAAAAGCAGCTGAGGGCTTCCTGACCCAAGTAGATGGCAATGGAGAACATCGTTTGTGCAGTGTTCAATGACACAAAAATCTCTACCTACTTCCAACTTTAAAAGAAGAAAATAAGGGCAGAAGTGACTGGCACTCGCTCTCCTCCTTTGTGCTGAGAGTGGAGGAGGTAATGTTTACTGGGTTGAGTGTGTGGACTTGTGTATGGGTCTGCATATACTTTCAGAAGAAATGAAACCAACTTTATATTCTTTTATGGGATGCTGAGATACTTACTTGGGGGAAAGGGCTAAGACAGTCTCTCAGTATTTCCTGGTGAATGGGTTCATAAACGACTTCCAGGATTTGCTTTCTCTCCTGCACAGTGTGGACTGGTGACACAATGTGCACTAGTAGTCTACCAAGCTGCATGCGGAAGGTTTCCTTACAAGACCACAGGATTTTAGTCCACAACTGCTTAGAACCACTGGCCTTACTTGATCCCTTAAATCAAAATTGGAGGGAGTTAGCACCAAACTTAAGCAACAATGTACTAACAACACACAGATCAAAAGAAAATGGTGAGCCCTTGTTTCAGTCTAGGTTTTTTTTTTAAGATTCTAAGTAAGAAAGATATATACATAACTCATACAACTGGGAGTTTGAGAGTTAGAATAATTCCAGCTAGCATTATTCAAAATAGCGGAAAGGTAGCTATAATTTAAATGGCCATTAATCGGTGAACATATAAACAAAAGGTGGTTTAAACATACAATGGATTATTCAATTTCAAAAAGCAACCAAGTTCCAGTGCAACACAGATAAACCTTAAGTTTATCATGCTCATTGATAAACCACATACAAAGGACAAACTCATATGATTTCTCTTATCTGAGGTATATAGACTGTGACATTTATATAAGCAGAAAGCAGAACAGTAGTTATTGTGTTGAGGAGATTGTGTAATGGGTGTCACCATTTAATAAGAATACAATAATGGGATAATGAAAAAGTTTTGGAAATAGTTGGTAGTGACTGCACAATAATACAAAAATAAGGGGCTGGGAAGGTGGCTCAGTGGTAGAGAGCTTGCCTTGCATGCCTGAGGCCCTGGGTTCAATTCCTCAGTACCACATAAGCAAAAAGAAAAAAGCTGAAAGTGGCGCTGTGGCTTAAGTGGTAGAGTGCTAGCCTGGAGCTGAAGAGCTGAGGAACAGCGCCCAGGCCCAGAGTTCAGGCCCCACAACCGGACCCAAAAAGAAAAAAAAAATTAAAGCTACTAAATTGTACCCTTAAAATGATTAAATAGTATTAGAGGAATGGTTCAGAAGTAAAAGCATCTGCCTAATAAGTGTTAATTCCTGAGTTCAAGCCCCACGCATACCAAAAAAAAAAACAAAAAAAAAACTTAGGAAGTAAGGAGAAAGAAATGATTAAAATGGCTATATTAGATATATTTTTAACCACAATTTTAAAAAGAAAGATGGATGAAAGTGTTAATATCCTAAATGTTTTTTTTTAATTACCAAGGGCTTTGACATTGTAAATTAAAAATCAAAACTATCAGAGAACAACAGTAGATAAGCAGATAATTTTGATATTTTAACATGAAGGAGCAAAGATTCATCATAGAGACTTGAATTAGTATTACAGTATTGCAAACGGCACTCACAAACCAAGAACCACATGTATACTGGCCATTAATTTTCCCTAACAAATAATCAACTACCCTATTTCCACTCTGGCTCCACTAAGGTTAGTTTGAGCCTAACGCTTCAAGCAGTACATTCAGAGTTTATTTTGAGTTTTACAAATGGTTCTCCAATAACTCCCAACCCTAAGGTCCTTGTAGGAGTGACTGAATTCTATATGAATCTGGAGTTTGTTTTGAGTTCAGGAATGATCACCAAATTCTTGCTTAGATTTATGAATTCTGCTAGAATTAGATTGGCTTTTGGTACTATTCTTTCTAGAGAGCATCAAATCTATCAATTTGCTCCCTACAGTCAACTGCAAGTGATTCACAGAAACCCAAGTGAAACAATAATAAACAAACCCTGACACCAGTCACTACTGTATTCTTTTGAAGGTAGTGTATTTGTTTATGCCAAAATCTCAACCTTAAAATACTCCAAAAAAAGAAAAAAAGAAAATAAAATACTCCAGAAATTCAAGAGTAGAATGATAAAGTCATTTTTTTAAAAAGCTACTAATTTAGTCAGAATAAGTATTAACTTATTCATCAAACCCTTTCTCTTTTCTGATGTTGATCTTCTAGACTATATAAGAAAATGACTTTCAGGGCACAGCCTTAAAAACCAATGTTGTAAGCCAGACGCCAGTGGCTCTTGCCTGTAATCCTAGCTACTCAGGAGGCTGAGATCTGTGGATTGCTGTTCAAAGCCAGCCTGGGCAGGAAGTCCATGAGACTCTTATCTCCATAAACCACCAGAAAAGCTGAAATGGTGCTATGACTCAAGTGGTAGTGCGCTAGCCTTGAGCTGAAGAGCCGAGGGACAGTGCCAAGGCCCAGAGTTCAAGCCCCATGACTAACAAAAAACAAAAACAAAAAAACAATGTTGCAGAGGAAGGCACTTTCCAATAATTAAGCTAGCAATATATATTTTTCTATTATTAAAAATTCAAGTGGTTTCAGTTTCTCTGAAAGCACAAAGAAAATTATTTTGAAGGCATGTCACAGACACAAAGCCTTCTCCTTTGCACAAATGAACACACCAAGTAATTTATTTACTTACAATAGACACTTTGAATCCCTCTACCAGATATGTCAACATGTCTTTCTGAAATGGATTGAAGACAGAAGGCTGTTCATGCATATTTTCTTCAGAAATTTCAGTCTGAGAAACCAAAGTCTTGTTTTGAGTTGTATTTTCTGGAGTTCTCAAAATGTCAATAACTTCTGGGTTAAACTCTGAATTAAGAAACAAAAAAAATTAGTCCTATCACTGACACCTAGCTGTTATAACTGGTACTGACGCTGGTAGAAATACTCCATTAAATTACAAATGTAGTTACTATAACATCAGTGTAGTAGGTATGCTGGATACACTAGACATAATAAAGAAAGTGAATTAACTAAAAATAATGTAGACATTTAAAATTATGTCATGAAATTCTAAATTAAAGATTTAATTTACTAATGAAAGATAAGATCAAATGCAAAATTGTTCAGACTATATGATTCTTAGAATGGATCTGCAGAGCTGAATGTTTCACTTCATGTGCTATCCAACTTACATGTTAACTAGCCCGGGAGCCTGTTGCCCCAATTAAAAATCTGAAAAGCTAAAACAGAATGATGCTATCTCACAACCCTTCTCCCCCTGCTTGGATTTTTTTCATGCTTATCTAGTGATTAGCAATGATTATATTCTTCTTTTGCCTTCCTGAGGTTATATGAACATTTTTTTTCAGAATTCCAGTTTGACTTACCTATACTATCTTAATGTTTTGTCTTTACAGAAACTATCTACTGTATATATTTGAAGAACAGAACTTGGTGTTTTGAACACATACACACTGTTGAATGAGTATTACAATAAAGCAGGTAAACATTTATTACCTGACATGCTCAACTGTGTGTAGGTGTGTATGCACACCTGCTAAGAACATTACATACAATAAGCTTTTCTTTTTGACGTAGTCTCTCTTTTAGCCAGTTAGCCTCTTTAGGCTTTGTAGCCCAGACTGGCATTGAACTTGTGACCCTCCTGCCACAGCTTCTCATGTATAGTATTTTTCAGTGCATTTTCCTTTTGACACAGCTTTTTTAGTGGTTACTCTAGGTATTACCTTTACATTGGCCACTATAGACATGCAAGTCAAAACCACAATGCTATACCACTGTATATCTACAGGATTGGCTAAAATAAAAAGTAGTGACCACCTCAAATACTCAATGCAAAGAATCTTGGATCATTGTACACTTATGATAGGAATACAAAATTGCATAATCACTCAGGAAAAGTTAAGTGGTAACAATGAAATACATGAGGACGGGTACCAACAGGAGGGAGAGGGCGAACAGAGAGGGTAAAGGAACATGAATATGGTCAACATGGCTTATATGCATGTACAAAGAACAATGAAACATGTTGAAATCAATTTAAGAAGAGAGAGGAGGTGAAGTAGAGAAACAGAGAGTGACTTTGATCAGGGTACCTTCCATGTATGAATGGAAATGTCACAATGAAACCTCCCCTCATACATCTAATAAATGCTAAAAAAAAATTAAACATGTAACTGCCATATAGCCTAAGACATGTGTCCTGAGATACTCATCTCGGAAAGATAAAGATTTCTGTTTGAACAAAAATCTGTACAAGAATGTTGAAACTTTATTTGTAACAAGCCCAAAGGGAAAATGGCCCAGATACCCTTTAACAGGTAAGTGGTTAAACTAAACTGTTGTTCACCCACACCATAGAAAACTGCCAAGTCAAACATAAAAGTAACAATAATGCATACATGCAACAAGCTCTGGCTTTCCAGAAAATTGGGCCATGTGAACAAAGCCAACCTAAAAGGCTATGTATGCGCTGTATGATTCTAGGCATGTAACATTTTGTCTTTAAATGAAGTCATGTCAGGTTGCCAGACTGGCCTGGAATTTCTGGATTTATGCAATCCTTCCACCTTAGCCCTGAGTGGTAGGACCACAGGCTTGTGCGGCTATGACTAGCTTATTTTGAAAAGACAGGTTAGAGGTTTAGGCCAGGAGCTGAGGAGGACTGGCTTGGGAGGATGTGGGTGTGGCTATAAAAGGGCAAGAGGGACCCTTTGGGGACAAAATGTCTGTTTCTTGCCTGTGTTCATGTCACTCCCCATAGAGTGATAATGTATTATGCCTTGGCAAGATTCACTGGAAACAAGAGTAAATGCTATACAGGATTTATTATTTCTTAAAACTGCATCCAAATCAATAATTATCACAAAGCAAAAGAAAAACAAGACAACATGGAGGTACTATACTGTTTAAATTAATGGTCTATCTAAGCATTTACTACATTAAAAAATGGGCTTCAATTCAAGACTATCAGTTCCAAAATTTAAAAAAAATTCCTTTTATAAGGTGGGATGTTAAAAGGAAAAACCACCATTTTTTCTGAAATTACTTCTCCTTCAATTGAACATGCAAGAAAGAACACATGAACTCCCTGGGCCTACTTAATGACCTCCTTCGTCCTACCTTGGTAGATGATCCTGTTGGCTGCTAAGATGATGAGTCTCTGCAGTCTTTGTGCGAGCTCCGCCTCCGTGGCGTGGCAGGGGTGCTCCTGGCTCATTCGCCGCTGCACCATCGAATGGAGCTCATCACTGGCCACTGAACGCATTTTCATCAGAAGAGATTCAGTTTGAGCTAGGGGAAATTTTCGAGGACCTTCAAGTATAAAAATTAAAACATCCAATGTCAATGTTAACAATGATCAAGGAAATCTATTTTTATTGCAACTGTGTGATTACTAGGCCATGAAAAGAAAAAGTTATTTCAAAGTTAAATTTATATTAAGGTAGGTGATTGAGAGAAAGGGATGATTTTTCCTTCTTCAAAGAAGTGCAACAGTACTTTTGGTTCCAAGTCTAAAATGACATCTATGGCATCATAGAAAGGTCATCATGTGTCTAATACTCTGAAAAGTATACTAGTGGTATACTAGGTATTGCTAGTGGTTAAAAATGCTTTGGTAATAAAATCTCTTTGGATACCATTCCACTTCTTTGCATTTTAAAATCATCAAGACTTTAGAGTAAATTATGTTTTCATAAGAACACTGGTTTCTAAATAATTATTGTAGCTGAATTTTAATTTTGAAAAGAGTATGAGGTGACAAAGTAGAAATCAGCCAATGAGCGATGAAAAAGGGGAACAAAGCCCAGTGATTGGCCATCACAGTGATTCGGGTGTAAGCATCAGCTGGAATTGAGTGCTCCAAAAGCATTCCCTGAGAACCACTCCATTTCCTTTACTGCACCTTCTCTGGGAGGCACTGTGTTGGTATCACATCCAGGAGAGAGCCAGGGGGAGGAGTCTTCACTTAACAGACCCCTGGAGAAGGGCATTGGTAGCTGGCCATAGGAGCCAAAGTGACATCTTGGTAGGTGAGGAATAACAGAACCCTTCATTGGAATTGAACCTTTGTTTTAAATTGTGAAAACAAATATCAATTTCCATAAATTACTTCTGTAAAATTACTTACATATAATGAATTGTAACAAGTTTTAATGCCTTTTTTTTGGGTGGGGGAGCTGCTAGTCCTGGGGCTTGAATTCAGGGCCTAGGTGCTGTCCCTGAGCTTTTTGCTCAAAGTTAGTGCCTTGCCACTTGAGCTACAATTCCACTTCCAGCTTTTTGGTAGTTTATTGGAGACCTTCCTGCCTAGGCTGGATTCAAACCATGATCCTCAGATCTCAGCTTCCCGAGAAGCTAGACTTACAGGATTGAGTCACTGGTACCCAGCTGTTCTACAAGATTTTAATGGTATTTATCCTACTAAAATATTTTCAACTGTTCAGTATTTTAGGTAGTCAGTATTATTAATTTGTGACTACACTGTGTAAGTATATACTTTTTATCTGGTGTTCTTGGGGTTTGAACTCGGGACCTCTACCACTTGAGCTACACTCTCAGTTCTTTTTTGCTTTATTTATATTTTGGATCAGGTCTAATGTTTTTCCCAGGACAGGCCCTCAACTGTGATCCTCCTACCCATGCTTTCCTTCTTAGCATTCGGCTTGTTGGCTGAGATAGTCTTATTAACTTTTAACCTCCCGAACTACACTACAGCCCTCCTAATCTCTGCCTCCTTAGTAGTTGGGATTGCAAGCATATACTATCACACTAGGCCCAAAGCCAGTGTACATTATACCATAACTTGTACCTAATAGTGAAGCAATATTAAAAAAAAAAACACAATAATCTCGAGCTGGGGTGTGGCTCAAGTATGCCTGCTAGCAAGCATGAGGTCCTAAATTAAAACCCATTACTACAAAAGCAAACATAATCTTTCCCAAATATATGTGCCTGTTTTTTTTTAAACTACAAAGAAACAATTTAACACATATAGAACAATATTATGCAAACTGAATTCACAGACAGAATTTAAATTCTGGCATGTTTCCTCTCATATGTAAATCTTACACCCAAAATACAATCTTCCACATAATCATACATAGAAGCATAGTCATATATGCAATTTAGTTGACTATAGTATATGAAGGAGTGAAACCCCATGGAGCAAATCTTTCCAACAATTAACAGTTCAACAAAATGAGTATCACAAAGCTGCAACAAGACTCTAAGAGAAGGGTAATGGGAGTGGGATAGATGAATAAAAAAGGATACAAGGGACAAATACTGCAAGAACATTCAATTTATTTATGTGGTAAAGGAAGTAAGAAATGTGAAATAAGTCTTGGGGAGAGAACAGACAGGCTGGGAGAGAAAGATGGATGGTGTGTCACTAACTAAGAGGTATGAGACAGAATGACATGTTAAACTGAAACACCCTCGTATAACCTTTTGAAGTTCAGAAAAAAATTACAAAAAAAAAAAAAACCCTGAAAAGTTAAAAAAAAAGTATTTAAATTCTGGCAGCATTCCAAATGGGAAGAATCTGGGGAGAGACTTGGGGAGACATGTTCTAATAGCTATGCTGCCCTGGCATGAACAGATATGTGCAGGACACAAGGAGAAGTTGTGGGGTGTGTAGTTACTAATTCTCAGATGCAGTAAGTATGAAAAATGAGGAAGCTAAAGCAGGTAACTTGGAGGATTCGATAGCCCTCATATCATTCACAGAAACTGCATTTACTTAAAGTGCATAAACGCCATGTAAGAAACTACAAGAGACAGAAAAAAGAAAAGAAGCTGTTGGGGCTGGGAAGTTGGCTTAGTGGTAGAGTGCTTGCCTTGCATGCCAGAGGCCCTGGGTTCGATTCCTCAGCACCACATAAGCAAAAAGAAAAAAGCCGGAAGTGGAGCTGTGGCTCAAGTGGTAGAGCGCTAGCCTTGAGCTGAAGAGCTGAGGGACAGCACCCAGGCCCAGAGTTCAGGCCCCACGACCGGACCCAAAAAAAAAAAAAAGAAGCTGTTATAGTAAAAAGACTAAAAGTCTGTTGCCCATTTAAAACTGATTCAAGAAGGCGCCGGTGGCTCACACCTATAATCCGAGCTACTCAGATGGCTGAGATCTGAGGAGCGTGGTTCAAAGCCAGACTGGGCAGGAAAGTCCATGAGACTCTTATATCCAATTAACCACCAGAAAACCAGACGTGGCTCTGTGGTTCAAGTGGAAGAGCACTCGCCTTGAGCTGAAGAGCTCAGGGACCGCACCTAGGCCTAGAGTTCAAGCCCCACGAATGACAAAAAAGAAATAAAAACTGAATCAAAGAACAACAATAACAAAACACAGCTGTACACTGGGGGCTCATCAGGCCATTAATCCTAGCTAATTAGGAGGTTAAGATCTGAAGATTGCCATTTGGGGCAGACAAATCCTATCTCCAATTAACCAGAAAGAAGCTGGAACTGGAAGTGTGGCTCAAGTGGTGGAACACCAGCCATGAATGAAAAAGACAAGTAACAGCATGAGGCCCTGAGTTCAATTGACAGTGCCAGCATAAAAAGAATAAAACATAATAATAAAGTGCAACTGTGTATGGCACTGACACTTAGGGGGACAGAAATGCTTATATCCGAACTGAGACATGATAGAAGATTGGAAGATTCCAGGGCCAAACAAAAATGGGAAGAGAGCTGCTATGATGGCTCAGGTACCAGCATGAAGGTATGGAGATGGAAAAGAGACAAACACGAGAGTGGATGTGCAGGGAGAGGTGTACCCCTGATAGAAGAGGGTAATTCCACTCGATCAGTTGCTCAGTAATGTAATCCTGCAAAGGAAGATGCTAAAAGTCATTTTTGGTCACAGGAATCTAAGACTGCTTCTAGATAAGGGAAAGACACATCTGCTGGGGACAGAAGGGAGGAAAGACTTTGTTTGGATATTAAACAAGGAAAGATGAATAGTGGGAATAAGTTATGTTATATGGATGTTTTAGGAATTTTAGTTATGTAAGTTTTATTTAGCATAAGTTAAATATAGTACTATAAAACACATTTAGTCTTTCCTTAATTTTTAAGTTTTTTGCCATGATTTTAAAAATTGCATAGTATCAAACACAAAAAAAGTAGACTACCATAGAGGACACATTTGGACATAGAAGTCTCTTTAAGGGCAATTTACTTAAAGCAACATGCCAAACACTCAGTTCAGAAATATATACATGTATATATGCACCAAACACATATACGTGTATACACATGTTTTGTGGTGTTTAGATTTCTTTTCTGGATGATGTTTACATAAAGGGAATAGCAGGTTTTGTGACAAACCTAAGGTGGCTTAACAGTATCAACACTTATGACTGATACATGAAGATTGACAACAAGGTCTGATGGAAGAAAGTATACTCTAACCATCTGTGCACCACCATCATCTGCCTTTACTCCTACAGCAGCTGATCTGGGCTCTGCAGCACTTCCCTATTTCCTACAACACACAGCTCACACAGAAGCCAGTTGTCTACAAAAGGAACATGGGATTCTATCATACCTCTGATGGCTTTCCACCAGAACCAAATGTAAACTCTCTATGTGGTCCACAACAGGTGAGATGGCCTGTACCATCCCGCGCAGCCTCCTCTGGTTACTCTCCTCCATTGCCACACTCCCGCTGAATGGCTCCAGCTCCTGTCTCACTGCATGGCTTTGCCTCGACTCCACCTTGCTCACCCCTCTCTCATCCCCTTAGATTTTACTTCTGCATGATGCTCCCTTGCTCCTCGTGGATATCAGGTGCCCTTCTATCCCAACCCTCTCTACTTCCCCGCTCTATTTGACCCTCTCTACCAGGGCAGAATCTGTTGCTTTTTTTCATTCATCTCCTTATCTTACAGCATGGTGCTTGCACCTGGGGAGAAAGGGCTGAAACTCAGTGATGGAGCACTCGCCTAGAGTGTGCGAGACCTGGGATTTCCCTAGCACCACAAGGGAGAAAAAACAGCAATGAAGAAAAATCAGTGATGGTGTAGTTTCCTCTGGGAAGAACACTTTCTCAAATTGTACAGCTGAACCAAGATACAATTATAAAAATGTGAATGGCATCAGAACAGAGAAAAGTCAAGCTATCATCAATCTATAATTAACCAAGTATCACTTTATTACTCACCAGCAATGCTTTTCTGCTTCTGAAAGACTGCATGGTAGGGAGTAGAAGGTGAGAGGGATATATCTGTTGGGCTTTCAGCGTCATGATTCGCTGTGCTCCTTATAAATTCCATAGCAGCATGAAGAACTCTAAGCTGCAGGGCAAGAGCTATATCTACAAGTAGAAGAGACTAGGATGTTTTCAAGCTATGAGGTTATTAACTTTTTAACTGAACTTATTTTATATATTATCCAATATCTAAACTATAATATAAACTCTGAAACCTAATATCTAAGCAATAATATATCAGATCTGAATTAAAATTGGTTGATCAGCATGGGTTCTTGATGCTGAAAAACATACAAATATGTTCAGCGAAGTGTGGTGGTTCATGCCCATAATCTTAGCTATTCAGAAGACATACATAAGAAGGATAGAGGCTCAAGCCTCTATGCTTATCTCAGCAAGACCTTATCTCAACAAACAAGTTGGGCATGATGGTTCATAGTTGTAATCCCAGCTATGTGGGAGGACTGTGGTCTGAGGCCAGCCCAGACAAAAAGCTCAAGACCCTATCTGGACAAATAAGGGATCAGGGTGTGGCTTAAATGGTAGAGTGCTTGCCTGGCAAGCTTAAGGTCCTGAGTTTATAGCCCTGTATGGCTCTACCCAAAAATGTGCTTAAGAGGAAATTCAAAGAAAACTTCCAAATGTCACTATAAAAATCTCAGTGGAAAAATACTAGCTCAGAAATTTCCTACACTTTACACAATTACTTCAAAGAACAGGATTTTCTGCACATAAGACAAAATTTAACCAGCAGTTCTGTTTTCATGTTACTATCTCCTATTAAAGAAATCTAAAGGTGATACTACATCAAAGTCTTGAAATACTACTTGGAAAGAAAAGGCCTTTTGCCTTGCCAACTACCAATTATATCAAGGCATCACTTTTTCTATTTTTGCTACTCCAAATCTGACCCCTCCTGCTGTTGTTGTTAAAGCTAAGGTCAGAACAAAGTTAAGGTCAGAACTCCAGTAGAAGCTACGGAGAAGAAAGAGATTAGACTCACATTACATGTTTAGCTAATATACAACCTCCCTCAAACCCATAAAAGCAAAATCTTACTTTGTGTCTTCTTGTTTTTGCTGTTTTGAAGATATCCAAGAAGTACAATAAGGTCTTCAATAACTCTGAAATATTGTGAGCCTGAGGAACTGCAAGCGTGAATTGTGACCGCTATGAAAAGCTGCTGTATATCACATGCAAGCAAGTTGTATTCATTCAAAGGAATACTAAAGATAACAAAAAACAAAACAAAACAAAACCAGGGCATTGGTAAGAAAAAGCACCAATAATGTAGAACAAAGAGAACTGGCTGAGTATTTTACAAGCATGCAGTTGTTCACTATTTCCTCATGCTTACTCTATGGTAAATAATACAGTATGTCCACTAGGGAGAGAAAGAAGACACCCTCTATCCTGTCACCTATCAAATATGCAGTTTTACAGAGAACCAGACAAACCAGTGGCAAGCACAGTAATAGAGATCAACATGAAACAGGAGGAAGTACATGAGCAGTGCCTAGCCCATATGCTAGCAAGGGTGAAAGGAGTGAGTAGGAACATTTGACATGGAGAACTGGAGTAAATCAATAACTTCTCTGAATCTCATTTGTATAAATCATATGGATTTTAAAGTTTCAAAGAAATAATAGCAGTTAACAGATACCAATCAGTTTCCAATGCACAACAGTATGAATCTGTTATTTCTGTTGTACAGCTACAGCTTGATAATCTACCTTAGGATATGACATTAGGCCCAAATACTTCTCAAGTCATGTAAGGATTAGAAAGTAGCTGATGTAGACCAATTAACAGTAAATAGCAACTATCAGTAAATACCATTTGTTTTTATAAAAAAAAAAACAAGCAAAATCCATTTCAGAACAAACCCGAAGTGCCTTCCCATTTTCCCATGTCATGTGAATGTCAATCTAGATTAAGTGTGCTATGAAAATATAATATTCCATACTTTCTTCTATCTCTCATATGCCTTGTACATAGACCCTAAGTAAAATAGGTATCCAACAAAAACTGAACTGACTTGAGTACAAAGAGTCTTTCTTTGGTAGAGAGCATCATGAAAAATATGTTCTGGCTAGCCTTGAGCTGCAGAGCTGAGGGACAACATCCAGGCCCAGAGTTCAAGCCCCACAACTGACCCCCCCCCCCCCACAAAAAATATACGTTCTGTTCTCAGTACAAAAATGTCATCAGTGTTTGTTGTTGTTTTGTTGGTCATGGGGCTTGAACTCAGGGCTTGGGCACTGTCCCTGAGCTTTTTCTTTCAAGGCTAGAGCTCTACCACATTAAGCCACAGCACCATTTCCATGTTTTATTGTACACTAATATGCTTTAATGTATACTAAGATGCTTCCAGAAATTTATATTTTATTATGTTAGTTAAATGGTACATTGTAAATAGTAAGTAGAGATACAAAATATACAAATATAAATAAAAAATAATCTGAGATGCCTTTTAAAACTGTTAAACAACTGGTAGGTAGCCTTTGTCAATGTAGGTTGCAGGCGTTTGTGTGTGTGTTTGCACTCGCACGCGCTAATACCAGAGCTTGAACTCAGGGGCCTAGGGTTCTTGCTTAGCTTTCTCACTCATGGCTGACACTCAACCATTTCAGTCACACCTCTAGTTCAGTATTTTACTAGTTAATTAAAGATGAAGTGTTGCAGACTTTTCTACATTAAAGGATCAGTCTTCAAACACTGACCCTCTAGATCTTAGCTTTCTGAGTGGCTAAGATTACAGACAAGAGCTGTTTGCAAATGTACTGGTTTTTGTTTTGCTTTGTTTTGGTCATGGGGCTTGAACTCTGGGCCTGGCCACTGTCCCTGAGCTCTTCAGCTCAAGGCAAGTACTCTACCACTTGAGCTACAGTACCACTTCCAGTTTTCTGGTGTTTAATTGGTGATAAGAATCTCTCAGACTTTCTTTGCCTGGGCTGGCTTTGAACTGCAATCCTCAGATCTCAGTCTCCTGAGTAGATAAGATTACAGGCATGGGCCAGCAGTACCCGGCTGTCAATGTACTTTTTTGTGTGAATGATGATAATGGAACTTGAATTCAAGGCCTCAAGCTCTTGCTTGACTTTTTCACTCAAAGCTGATGCTCAAGTCCAGCTTTTTTTGTTGATCTTGAACCAAGATCCTTAGATCTCTATGAGTAATTAGGATTACAAGTGTGTCACTGGTGCTGTTTGTCAGTGTACTTCTGACTTCTGTACTGGGAATTAATGGATGGAAGTCAGTAATAATGTAATATTCTCTATTTTTATAAATAAATCATAATTATTATAGTATCTATTAACTTAAACTAATTTGCAGTTGTCGGGACAAAATACACGAATGATAGGATAGCATGAAGTAAGACAGATTCAGTCTAAATTCTCTGCTGCTTACAAGCTGTGTGACAGTCAATGACTTATCTATCCAATGTCTTTGATTCTCAATTTCATATTCCTGATGGGGATGAGCATTTTATAGGACAATAGTGGAAGCTTACTAAATGTATTTGGGGATATTCTGTTTGTCTTCAAGTTCTAAATACTTAAGAAAGCCAGTCATATCATTACCTTCTTCTTAACTGATCACTGCCAATGATGAAAAACATGCCCTACCAAACTAATATATTTTGTGGGAAATTCTTTGGAAGCATTACCAAAAAAAAATAAGATGCCTTGAAGGAACAGCCTACTATGAAGGTTGTCCCCTCTAAGACTTATCAGATATAATTTTCAGTACCACTTTAAAACTTACTTCTTTTCTAATCCACTCAGGGCTGCTATTGTGTTACATAACACGTAGAGTAGACCATTGTCCAACAACATGTCTGCTACCTTAGAACAAGAATTTAAAACTTGGAGGAGAAGTAAGAGAGCATTGTGCAGAAGTATGTTGTCATATAGCAAGGTCTCTATAAGCCCCAGAATGGGAATGACAGACCACTTCTGAAAGAGTCCCATGGCTTTCACGTCCTCCAGATCAAATCTATAATACACAGAGAAGGAAAAACATGTGAAAAGCACTGTGTCACAAGATAAGAAAATAAATGATTGAAACTATGGATCATTTTGTGAATCCGATTTTGAAGCTATAAAAACTACGTAGCCTTCTTTAGATTATAGGTTAAAATAAGAAGATAAAACTGCTGCCAGAAGAATAGCCTAAGGTAAATGAACAAACACGCATACATTTTTCAGATCTTCAAATGACTCATTTTAATTGATCCAGAAGTCCCTTTTGTTTGAAGGATGTTTCTTTTAGGGAGTAATGTGGTAAGCATAAAGGGAAATTATTATTAATTTACACATTGGAAAAATGGTAAAAAATCGTTATTATTTTACGTAGTATTTAAAAAACAGTGAGCTGGGTGAAAGAGATGTGGCACAAAGGAATGAATCTTGTTTTCCTGTTCCAACCACTTGCCTCAGTGTTAGAGCTAAATTATTTAAGAATTTTGGCTTCATTTTCCTTATCCAGCCAATTCATGTGTCCTACTTTCTTCTCAAGGCTTTGTGAGAATCAAATGAGATAATGAGACCTATTTTGCAAAAGCCAAAAGCTACATATGAATAGAAGGTACCACTGAGATTACTGCAGCAAATAATAATTCCCCAAGATCTCAATCTGTTTACCGTAAGAGACACATACTTCTCTCTACTCAATTATAAACGAAAACAAAATTTTTCCTGCCAAACTCTCAGTTTAAGTGAAAAAAATCTTTTTATATTTTGTACCTATTGCTATGTTATCACCATTACATCAGGGTCACATCTAGCAATCAGCTCATCTGGGAACTCCTCCAATGACCTGAGGGCTCCAAGGAACTGAGGATTTCCAACAGAACCATATAGGACCTCCTGTATGGACTGCCTGTCATTGAAAACAATAAGCCATCTTTCTTTCCAAGTAGCATTCTCATGTTGGAATGTTGGACTGTATCTGAGTTGTCACTCTCTTCCACTTAATACAGTATTTACTTGCTTCTTGTTTCTAGCTAGGAAGAGGTCATACTAGAAAGAATATCATATAAAAATAGATTTATTTTTTCTGATAGCATGAAAAATAATTTTAGAGTGAGTTCACTAAATTCTACATTTAAGACAAAAGATCCTCAATCATGGAAGAAGGGAGAATTCACTTACTCTTCATCAAGGCCAATACGTCTACCAAAGAATATTTCAATGAAGCATTCTAACAATTCCTGGGTTCCTCGATGAAGATATAACTGGTTGGCTAGCAAGGAAAAGCCACGATTCTTCAGAAACTTATCCTTTTGTTCCTTAGACGCTCTATTAAAGTATGCATGTAATAGCTAAAGAAAAGAATCAGACAATTTAAATCGTGTCAAAATTTAATATGACATACACAAATCAGTGTACCATACTCGTAATTTATTATCTATAATTTCATGTATTCTTATTGTCAATAACATATACATGTCACATACTGCAAAACTAAAAAAATGCCACATTCATAGAAAAATGAACCTTGTCTCTAACAAATGCAGAATGCTTGTGATTATCCTGAGATCTTCACACTTCTGAGATGGGGAAACTTGTTTTCAGTGAGGCCAGGTCACCTCGAAGACTAGCAGTCTTGTGCCTAATTCTGAAGAAAAAATAATCAGTGTCTATACTTTCCCTACAAATCTGGGACTCTAGACTCTTTCAAATAGAATAGTCATTTCTCCCTAGGCACCTGTGGCTCTCACCCTGTAATCCTAGCTACTCAGGAGGATGAGATCAGAGGATCACAGTCTGAAGCTAAGCTGGGGAGGAATGTCCAGGAGAATCTTATCTCCAATTAACCACCAAAAAAAGCCAGAAGTGACACTGTGGTTCAAGTAGTAGAGCAATAGCCTTGAGCAAAAAAGCTCATGGACAGCATCCAGACTCTGAGTTCAAATAGAAACAGAATGCTTTGATATAGTAAATAAAGAGTAAGGCCATATGTAATTTTGATATGGTGGTTAGGGAAGACCTCTCTGAAACAGGGACAACTGAGCTGAGACCTGAAATATCTAAAACTTGACATGACACATAGCAGGAGAGGTTTCTTTAATTATTAATAAGTTTTTTTAATTGTGAAAATACCATAGTGAGGAGTTACAATTATATGAGCAAGGTAATGAGTACATTTCCTACTGAGCATTGTTGCCTCCTCCTTTGTTTCCCCTTACAAGCATCCCTGCCCTCCCACATCCCCCCACTTCTCCTGACCCCTGTCCCCCTCCCCCAACCCCGTCCAAAGTTGTAAAGTTTGTTTTTTGATATCTTGTACATCTCATTGTTGCAATGGGTCCACCTGTATCCCTATTTAAACCATTTATTTTTTCCCTTCCCCTCCACAAATTATACCAACATCAAATACAGTGAAAACGGGTTATACCGTGGGGGAGGGACATACAAAGCAACAAAAAAATCGTCTTATAAATATGTTAGAGACAGAAAGAAAAACCCTTTGAGTCCTTGTCTTGGGGTTCATTTCGCCTAACATCAACTTATCTGACCATTTCTGCTTGTCTCAGACATATCCTAGTTATTGCAAATAAGGGAAACCATGGGCCTGGCTTACTTCACTTAATATAATTTTTTCCAAGTCTTTCCATTTCCTAACAAATGGGGCAATGCCATTCTTTCTGATGGAGGCATAGAATTCGATTGTGTATATATACTACATTTTCTTGATCCATTCATCTACTGAGGGACATCTGGGTTGGTTCCATATCTTAGCTATGGTAAATAATGCTGCAATAAACATAGGTGTGCTGGTAGCTTTTGTATGGTCTTGTTTGTGATCATTTGGTAAATGCCCAAAAGTGGGATTGCTGGGTCATAGGGGAGCTCTCTGTGGAGTCTTCTGAGGAACCTCCATACTACTTTCCAAAGTGGTTGAACAAGTTTACACTCCCACCAACAATGCAATAGGGTTCCCTTCTGTCCACATCCCCTCCAGCATCTGTTGTTATTAGAGTTCTTGATTATAGCCATTCTAACTGGGGTGAGGTGGTATCTCAGTGTTGTTTTGATTTACATTTCTTTTATGGCTAGGGAGGTTGAATCAAAGAAAGGCTAGACAAATGGGATTGCATAAAATTGCAGAGCTTCTGCATGGCAAAGGACATAGCTAGCAAGATCAATAGAAAGCCCACGGATTGGGAGAAGATCTCCACTAGCCATACAACGGACAAGGTTCTCATATCTAAAATATAGTTGGAACTCAAAAAATTAAATCCCCCAACAACAATTCCTCAAAGAAACAACTGCCCAATAAATAAGTGGGATAAAGACTTACAGAGAAACTTCTCTGAAGAGGAAAGAAGGATGGCCAATAGACACATGCAGGATAGGTTTCTAATGAACTATATGCTCTTTGTAAATTTTTACAAATTAGACTAAGAACTCAGACATATGGGTTTATTGGTAAATTTAAAACACTGATATGAATCAATAAATGGAGGACTTAAAATTAGATAATATTCAAAATCTTAAAGACCATGGACTTTTATTTTCCTGACTAAAACAACACATATGTAGTATTTGCCCTTACCTTAATTACTCCTTGCTGTATAGCTGGTGATGGGTGGTTAACAAGGACTAAGAGTGTGTCTGCTGGAATAAGTTTGTCCATCACATCTGCAAGCATAACATCAGGCAGGATGAGGAGGACTCCACTTAAGAGTTCATACAATCCACAGCATATAGGTACCAAGCAGTCTTCAGTTACACTAAGACAAAGGCCAGAAAACTCTTAGTAGCAAAGAATCAGAAAAAAACGGCATGAAGCTTTCCTCAGGTACTTATGAATAGTAAATTTACCATGTAAAACAAATGTTCAGAAGAATTAAAAAATAATTCCTAATTTAACTATGATTAACAAATTTACCATCACTTTTCAGCATGGATGCTTTTAGGAGTAACTATTCTGTATCTATGATGTTTAAGGCAGTAGTCACTGTCACTTGTGCTATTTAAACTATTTAAAGTTAATTTTTTTTGTATGTGTATCAGTCCAGGGGCTTGAATTCAGGGCCTGGGCACTGTCCCAAAGCTCCTTTTTGCTCAAGGCTAGCACTCTATCACTTGAGCCATAGCTCTACTTCTGGCTTTTTTTTTATTGTGAAAATACTGCACAGAGGGGTTACAATTACATGGGCAAAATAATGAGTACATTTCTTATCAAGCATTGTAGCCTCCTCCTTTGTTTCCCCTTCCCATCCCTTCCTATCCTCCCCATGCCCCCCCCCCCCCCCCGCCCAATCCTCCCCACTCTCCCTCCCCCCCTACTTCTGGCTTTTTAAAAAAGCCAGACCTTTCAGCACAGACTGGCTTTGAACTGTGATCCTCAGATCTTAGGCTGAGTAGCTGGGATTACAGGTGTGAGCTACCAGCACTCAGTTTAAAGTCAAATTTCTAAAAATTCAGTTCCTCAGCTGAATTAGCCATAATTCAAGTGCTCAACAAGTATGTGGCTATGTCCACTGAACTGGATAGCACAGACAGGACATTTCTACCACCATGGGAAGGTTCACCGCATGGCACCCCATGCAATGCCTCTGGGAACTAAAAAAATTAAACTAAAAATTTAGGCTGGGCACTGGTGTCTTATGCCTGTAATCTTAACTACTCAGGAGCTGATATCTAGAGAATCAGGGATTAAAGTCAGCCAGGGAAGAAAGTCCACAAGACTCCATCTCCAAAATTACCAGCAAAAAGCTTGGCTGGAAGCATGGCTCAAGTGGTAAAGTATGAGCTGGACAAGCACGCTGAATGTGTAAGAGTCTGAATTCAAACCCAGTACAGGCAAAAAAAAGTTATCTAATAATTATAGACCATAAGAGATTTTATTATTGAGAGCTATTTGACCTCAAATAAATTTAGTGCTATCTAACAGAGGAAAAGCAGCTCTCATGAACAGTGGCATAGTAACAGCTTTTCTGTAAGTACAGAGATTCTTCAAAGTTATTTCACAAACAAGGGTTCATGAGAACATGAGTACCTGTGAGTACTTGCAGCTCGGCTGTATTTTGGCTCGTAACCAAGAGAAAAGGCAAAGTTCTCCCAATCATCAGTATTCCTATCAACAAGACTCGGCCACCGGCCAACCGTGGCAGATCCATTCTGTGAAGGAAAAGCTAGCCCGAGGCTTGCAATCATGCTGTGGCTTTGCTGGAAGGAGGCCAGTCCCTTCAGGTGATCAGGTCGGCGTGGGCAGGACTCTTCCCCAGGACTGTCACCATCCCATCTGGGCTCTGCCTCCAGGTTGTTACTGTCTACTCTAGCTACCAGGACCCCCAGTGCTCCTGTGGGGACACCATTGGCAGAGGCTTGGGGTCCAAGAACAGCTTCCACTCCACAAACTGCTTTTGCAGACTCACAGCTACTGATAAACGAATCCTCTTTACCAGTTTTCAGCATGTCTGAACTCCCCGAAGGAGTCAGTTTCTCAGGCTGGGTGGCAATGAAGGTATCTACAGTGTTTTGTAACTTGTCAATACTACAGCCCAAACTTCTACTCAGTTTGTGTGGCTGCACTGGAGGGGAAGAGGTAGAAAACGCTGGCAGGCTTCTAGAACGCAGCATGTGGGCCGCTGTCTGCTGTGGAATAATACTGGAGGCGTTGTTTCCTAGAAAGAGCAGACAGCAAAATACTTGTTATAAATCTATTCACTACTTCTAAATCAATCGCATAGGAACACTGTTCTTCTGCAGTGTATTCACAGCCATGACAACAGTTCCCCCTCCTGGCACATAGTGATCTTACTGGCTAACATTCTTATTATCCAATAATCATTTAAACCTTGTTTTTATTAAAATCTTTCAAAAACATGTTTTGTCTCCCTCCTTCACCTAATACAACAGTGATGGCATGATGCAGCATCACTAGGATCAGTGGTTCTGCTGCAGTCGGTAGGAGGTGACTGAAGTGAAGCTTGATGTGCATGGAGTTCACCAGGACGAAGGGGAATGAGTCTGTACTCTGCAACAAGAGAGGACTGAATTCAAATGACAGGTCTATTAGCTCAGGAGTCTCAGGAAGTCACTCAATTGTACCACTGAAGTGGTAGGATCCAAAAATGTAAAATGAAGATTCTGAGTATCTATTATGTATGCTTGCTGTACAAAGGAAGAGACCATACTTGTGTTATAACTAGTATAGTACCTATCAGGGAACACATGCTCAATAAAAGGTGCTGCTTATTATTAAGCTATGAATCTAGCTATTTATTTCCTCTGTATTTGTAATCACTTATTTCTAATCTTCTCTCTTTTTTATACTCTCTCATTTATTATTTCTAATATTCCATGCAAGAGACCAGAAAAACTGCTCCCACAGCAAGAGCATAGAACATAGGTGCACACAGATCACAGCAAGAGTGCAGGACATAGATGAATGCAGGTGAAGATATTTTCAGTTAGTAAATCACACTTCTCAGACTCCAGCCTAGACAAGAATGCAAAGGGCAGGGAGAGGAACCCCACATTTTCACAAGTTCTCTAGCTGTCCCTGTTCTGCTACAACACAGCCCCACAGCCCAGGGCATTTTTCCAGCTATCTCTTGATTCTGGCTGAAGGGATAAAGCTGAAAAAAGACTCTGCTCACTGTGGATGGAGATGGGAGGGAGGGAATGGGAGAGAATGATGGAACAGATGACACTATACAAAAGAAAATGTACTCATTACCTGACTCATATAAATGTAACCCCTCTGTACATCGCTTCTATAACAATAAAGTAAAATTTAAAAAAGATTCTGTTCAAATCATATAGCAAAATAGGGGCATGACGTATTACAAAATGTTTCAGACAGCTGGGCACTGGTGGCTTCTGCCTATAATCCTAGCTACTCAGGAGGCTGAGATCTGAGGATCACAGTTCAAAGCCAGATGGGGAAATACAGTCCACGAGACTTATCTCCAATAAATTACTCAGAAAAAGCCAGTATTATGACTCAAGTGGAGCTCAAAGGTAGCTTTGAGTATGAAGAGGCTCAAGGATACACCTGAGTTCAAGCCCCAGGACCAGCACCAAAAAAATGTTTCAAACAGACATTTCTGATAAAATATCAAATAAAAAATACTAAAACAAAGCCTTAAGATGTTAAAATAAATACACCAAAGAACTGAAACACTTTAGAAGGAAAGCACAATTAGAGGTTAGTACTCAGACATTTAGTCCTATTTTTCCACATCTCTACACTGCACTACTTCATCATAGTGGAGCTATAGAAGCCTAGGTTGGGCTGACAGTAAAAGCCATACTCCAGCACAGCAGAGCCTGTCAGCAAGGGAAAGGGCATATGGCCAGTTCACAGCTAGAAAACCTGCATCTATTTCTTTTTTGTTTCTCTGAAAGCAGAGATAAAGTGGTCTGTTAAGAGAAATTAATAAAATAGAAAAGTGTTGTACGTTTAAAGCCTTGAATATATACATCACAGAAAACAAATGCATTCCAAATAGAAATGATAGAGCAGCATTAAAATATGGTTGCAGTTTTCAGGAGGACAAAGATAGCTATCTGTGAGCCAGGACAAGCAAATGCTACCTAAGTTGGGTATGGAGAGCAGAGGTAAAGAGAACTGAGGACAGTAATGAAATCAGAAAGACAAGAGGCCAGGCAGAGTGGTTCATGACTGTAATCCCAGCTACCTGGGAGGTAGAGATCAGGAAGACTGTGGTTCCAGTTTTAAGTTTAATATTCCATATATTTAGTTTGGACATCAGATTATATTGTATTGCTAAAATATGTACAGGTTAATTATCTTTGACTATTCAGAAGCAAATCCAGGATTATACTTTCATTGCTGCTACTGTTACCTTCAGATGGGGAAGCAGTAAAACCAGATGGGCTAACCACCAGAAACCCAGGGCTGGCAAGGGATCTCCCTCCACTGCTGGAGTGTCTCAAGTACATAATTGACTGGACTTTTTCCTGAAAGATCTTGCCATCTAAAATAAAAAATGTTTTTGAAACAGCAAAAAAATTTGAAAGATAAACAAAAAATATAGTTTAATCATTACATTTTGACAACCGGATGTTCAAAGAGAAACAAAATACGGCTAGCTTCAGACTGCACAGCGCACTTAATGTGAGTCCTCACACCAAGCAGTTTCTTATGATACATTTTGTTGTGGTCAATTATTCCTGGTTCCCTCCATTCCTATATAGGGTGGGGCCACCTGGACCCCAGGTCTCCTCTACATTCTTGACACGAGTCAGCAGGTTCTACTGACTTCACTTCGGTTTCTGAAATTGCTCCCCTCAGAGTGATATAATACAGCTGTTTGATCTTGGTTACTGTCAGAGACTTCTAAACGGCGTCTTGGTGGACATCTGCCACTTTAAAGTCCTTAAAGCTACTGAATTCTCTTCACTGAATGTCAACTCCGCCTTAAAACTCTGCCTCTTACCCCCTCAGCAACTTGGGCAAACTCCCAGCTTCTTATCTACAAGGCTGCCCATGATCTGTGCGTCTCTCTCCAGCTTGTTTTTCCACATTACGTTTCAGCTTGAACTCTTATCAAGCCCTCTCCTCCACTGTAATATGTCCTTCCTTTGGGCAGGTATGGCCTCCTGCAGGGAATCTCACCTTAACCCTCACCCTACTCTGTGCCTCTAGAAAACAGAATACTGATTTCCACATCCCTGTGCTTTTAACACTATGGCTTTCACTGTGCTGCAATCATCTGCTTAGATCTTTTTCCCCATACTTGGCTAGAAGCCTCTTAATGGAGGGAACCATATTTTACTCATTTTTGTAACTATCTTGCATAAGCACTTTACCACTAAATGCACTGAACATAAATGAGGTCATGCTGTCTGATTTCATTTGGACTTTTCTTGTTGTTTTATCATTTTATCCATTCATTACATATCCTAAAATAGCTATTGTACCAGCTGCTTTGAATTTTAAACTTACTAGCTTTCCCATATGTTCACTGTTGATTGCTTAATTACCACATTAGACTTTCCTAGTAATATGATAAAAACTGAATTTTCCATCTTTCTCTGGTACTGTCTTTGATGTTACTGTCCTCTCTAGGTAATAATGCTAACAGTTCTATCCTTAGCTTCTACTTCTATCTACTACTTATTAGTAGTCCCATCTATTTTCAGAGCTTCTGTGTGGGTACCTGCCCCATGTTATAAGCCTTCCTTCCATCTGCCTGCTACCTGATTATGCCAGGGCATTCAAATGAAGCATGTATCACAAAACCAGTCAGTATCCTCTTCCCTAACATCATAGAGCCATCCCATTTTAAGCTCATTTCTCCATTTATTTCTTCTTTCCAGTTCCACTGCTACTGCGCCCAAATTTTATTATTTAATGTCTCCTACTAATGATATAACTGGTCTACTCTGGTGTCACTACTGAATCCTACAGTAATAATTTACTTAGATCATAGTCCTTTGTTTAAAAATAAACAAGCAAACCAACACAACCCCTTCAAAGACTCTGGAATATAAGTACATACTCTCTAGCCTTATATTCAAGGACTCATATAATAAATTCATAGGAGAGAAAAAGAAAAGAGGGCTGGGAAGTTGGCTCAGTGGTAGAGCGCTTGCCTTGCATGCCTGAGACTCTGGGTTCGATTCCTCAGCACCACGTAAGCAAAAAGAAAAAAGCTGGAAGTGGTGCTGTGGCTCAAGTGGTAGAGCGCTAGCCTTGAGCTGAAGAGCTGAGGGACAGTGCCCAGGCCCAGAGTTCAGGCCCCATGACCGGACCCCCCCCCCAAAAAAAAAAAAAAAAAAAGAAAGAAAAAGAAAAGAAAGATGGTTTCAAACTATACTTACGATGTTATTTCTCAATATTATTTTATAGACCCCCATACTTAGGTAAAATACATTATTTCTTATTTGGTCTATTTTTCCTTCCCTTTAGGCCATTCTCTTTGCCTGAAATGCTAGTTCTTCAAGCTACCTACTGGAATCTGCCTAAATTCTTCAATGACCACACAGATACCATATAGCCTAATGTTCTGATGAAGCACTCTCCCCAAGGAGAACTCATTTGCCTTCTGTATCCATTAAATACTTACCTCACATTGTTTTGGTCAGCTATTTGAATGTATGAGTCCCTTCTCTTTTCGGTTGGTAAGCTCACTGGAGGCACAGATGTGCATGATTTACCTTTAAACCCTCTGCCTGACCCCACCTAGTATGTAATCAGGGCAATTTCTAACACAAGAAGGCCATTACATTAGTATCACAACAAATTTAGATGTGGAAAGAATAAGACAACAGTAGAGACAAGATCCAACAAAAGTAATTATACCTACCTATGTGCAAAGAAAAGTAGAAGTTTGTGGGGTTGTGGCAAACGTAAGTATTAGTGGGAGGGTGAACTGCTAAAAGGAAATTGAAGATAACTGTCAATAATTCCAAATCCGGAGGAGATCCAAGGACTTCTGCAATAATTTTCACAAATGATCTACAAACCTCTCGGGGCATGGATGTAAGCTGCCCCTCTTTGTGTTCCTAAAAACAAAAAACAAACATCAAACTGTCTTTAGATTTAAAGAGAACTATTGACCATTTAACTGTCAACCATTCATTTAAACATATATTCTTTTTAAGATAGAATTCTGCTTGTTTACTACTCTAGGTTGACTCTATTTGCTATTGAGTTGCTCTTTCTCAGCTTGAATAACCTGACCATTAAAAGTTCACTAAAACTGATGGCATTTGCATTCTAGCCCATTTAACTTTGCTAAACCGAAACAAAGTTATAGTATATTACTTACATGCATGAACTACAAAAACCAAAGAGCCTAGGTTTGCATTATAACTCCTTCACTCGCCTTCTGTATGATGTTAGGGGTATCATATAGTATTTCCAAGCCTCACTTTTTATAACATATAACTATTTAATAAGATTGTTTTGAGGATTAAATGACACCAACTCATAAAGATTGAGCATTCCTTATCCAAAATGTGTGGGATTAGAAGTTTCAGATTTCATAGATTTAGAACATTTCATAGACTTTATAACTAAGCATCCATAAGTAAAAAATCAGAACTGTTTCAAACTTTGAAAATTTTGAGTGCATGAACTGTAAAAGGTCAGTTACTGTTAGTGAATTCTCACTATGCCACATGACTATCACTTCCTCTTCTACCACTGCTGCTATGGAGCTAGAAGTGGGATTTTTCTGATAGAACACTAGTCATACTAATGTAATGTGCTCTTTCTCACATGGTTCTCTAAGGAGTCTGATCTCTCATTTCAAGAATACAGGACTCACAATCTTTCTGCCTCAGCCTCCGTAGCACTGGGATCCTAGGTGTGTCCCACCATGCCTGGCTCAAAACCACTATATTATATTTTAGTTTTTCAAGTTTCTAATTTTAAAATAGACTTCCAAATAACAGTTATTGAAACACCAATATGTACTTTCAAGTTGATTAAGACTTATCAACTATAGTTGGTTTCAAGCAGTTACATCACATATAAAATTATTATATTCCAACATAAAGAAACATCTCAGAAATTTAGTAGTTGTTCTTGTGTAATTTGAGGTAGGAAAGGTAACAGTGTTATCAAGAAGCAAGAGTTAGAAGACCAAGCGTAAATAAGATGAAAAAGAGGAAAAAAATTCCATGAAGAATGCTGCAAAGACTGCTTGTCCATAGAACTGAATTAGTAAACAGAAACAACTGCAGTACACCTCTCCCAGGTAAAGTTGTGTGGCAAGTACCTGCAAAACCTGACAGGTCAGTAGGAAGCGATGAACCACTTGAGCTTTCAGTAGCTGCTTAATATTAAAGTGCTGCTGCGGGTGCTCAACCCGAATGAGGACTTCTAGTGCAGCTAGCAGAGTTTCCCACACTCCTTGCTGAGAAAAGAAACACACCAATTAACACACAACTACTGAAAACCATGCTACAGACTTTTTAGACTTGCAATGTAACACTCTTACAATGGATAAATATTCAGTATCAAACATTAAATTTATTTGAGAAAAGTCAACCTTGAAATTTATTCCCTAACTACTATTTCTTTTTATAGTTGGTCATGGGGCTTGAACTCTGGGCTTGGGTGCTGTCCCTCAGCTCTTCAGCTCAAGGCAAGTGCTCTACTACTTGAGCCACAGCACCACTTCTGGTTTTCTAGTGGTTTAGTGGAGATAAGAGTTTCATGAACTTTCCTGCCCAAGATGGCTTTGAACCCTGATCCTCAGATCTCAGCGTCCTGAGTTGCATGAGTCACTGGCGATCAGCTCTATTTTTTGTATTAATGAGTCCTTTCTAAATATTTTGTATTAAATCATTAGATCTAGTACTGCAATATTATATTAAGTGATTTAGTGCATTATTCTATCTATGCCATTTATACTTATGCCCTATATAAATATTTTCAAAAGGTGAATTATCTTGAGGTACATATCCCAATTAAAGAAATGTATCACCAATGTAATTGTTTTTTAATAATTTGTTCAGAGTAGTGTTACTAAAAATACATAAATTACAACACTAAGTCACATATACACAGAATTTTACCAAATGATTTCAGAACCAATTCTGCATTTTTAGATTAACCACAGAATTTTTTGAACAATTGCAAACTGCAAAGAAAGTATCATTTGAAGGTCAATCAGTTAAATTATCCATATTACTAGAGAAAAAGAGCTCTGACATAGATAACTAATATTAAAAGATCATCTTCACTTCATCTTATTACCCTGAATGGCCTTTCAACAAGCTGTTAACCAAACACAAAACTACCTGGCATGGATTACAGTTCTTACTATTTCTCGTCACTATCTGACAGTAATGAACAATGAAAAGCCACCAGGATATATATGTGTATGTATATGTGCATAGACACATAAAACCATTACAAAATATATATATTATATACAAATATATATACACAAATATATGTGCATATGCATACATACATATATCACTACTCTAACCAAAGCCTCTCTCTTCAAAAGATAGAACCAAGATGACCTAAAAGAAGACAGGCATTGGGCTGGGAATGTGGTTCAGTGGTAGAGTGCTTGCCTAGCATGCATGAAGCCCCAGGTATGGTTCTTCAGTACCACATATACAGAAAAAACCAGAAGTGGCACTGTGGCTTAAGTGGTAGAGCACTACCTTGATCCCATAGAGGCTCAGGGACAGAGCCCAGGCCCTGAGTTCAAGCACCAGGACTGGCAAAGAAAAAAAAACAAAAGACAGGCATTGATGGTTCGTGACTGTATTTCTACCTACTCAGAAGGCTGAGATGTGAGGAATTGGTTCAAAGTCAGCTCAGTCTTCCAGACTCTCTTTTAAATTAACCAGCAAAATGCTGGACTAGAGGCATAGCTCAAGTGATAGAGCACCAACCATGAGTGGAAAAAGCTGAGCAAGAGCTCCAGAGTTCTGACTTTAATACTGGAATAAAATGAAATAAAACAACAAAAAGACCATTCAGTAGCTGGAAGATTGGAGCCCAAGTTTGAACACTTGATTCAGATCTGACAGTACCAAAATAATAAACTGTGACACATGAACAAACAATGAACAAACTAAATTTAGTTTAAAAATAATTAGCTGGGCACTGGTGGCTCATGTCTATAATACCAGCTACTCAAGAGGCTGCTTTCACTGTATTTGATGTCGTATAATTTGTGGAGGGGAAGGGGAAAAACAAGTCGTTTAAATAAGGTTACAGGTGGACCCATTGCAACAATGAGCAGTACAAGTTGTTATGTTGAAAACGAACTTTACAACTTTGGTGGGTAGGAGGGCGGGAGAAGTATGGGAAGGGATGGGAAAGGGAAACAAAGGAGGAGGCTACAATGCTTGATAAGAAATGTACTCATTATCTTGCCCATGTAATTGTAACCCCTCTGTACAGTATTTTCACAATAAAAAATAAATAAAAATTTAAAAAAGACCATTCAGTAGCTGGAAGATTGGAAGCCCAAGTTTGAACACTTGATTCAGGTCTGACAGTACCAAAATAATAAAACTGTGACACATGAACAAACAATGAGCAAAAAACCCAAACAACAAAATTTAGCTTAAAAATAATTAGCTGGGCACTGGTGGCTCATGTCTATAATCCCAGCTACTCAAGAGGCTGAGATCTAAGTATAAGCAGTTCAGAGTTAGTCCAGACAGAAAAGTCCACTAGTCTCTTATCTCCAGTTAACCCTCTAAAGGCTGGAAGTGAAGCTGTAGCTCAAGCAGTAGAATATTAGCCTTGAATGAAAAAGCCAAGGAAGAGCTCCCAGGCATTTCAGTCCAAGCCCCACTAAAGCCGACACCCACAAAATTAATTAGAGAAGAAAACCCTAATTTCAAATTCATATTAGTGTATGTACGTTTCATCACTTCTGAATTCAAACAACCTCAAATTTGCTTGCTTTTTGGAAATACTAAAAAGTTCAACATTTAGTTAGCTCTTCTAATCTCCAACTGCGCATAGAGTTTATTACATATTTATACTGCCTTTGATCTAACTTGTTTACATTTGCCATCCCTGTGTTATTTTCTGTCTCTATAATATTAAAAATATTTTGATCTGAAATAATTTTAGATCTGAAAGCAAATATTTATTCAGAATGAGAAATTCCAAGATCATAAATGTTTTAAAAGGACAAAAGTCATCAAGAACACAAAATACAAAAAGGCAGTTTAGTTACTTGACACTCCTTTTTAATATTTTTATAAAGTTCTGGGTCAAACTCTTTAGTTGCCTTTTTAGATAGAAACAGTTTAATAATATAATTTTCCATAAGAAGAAAAGAAAAACAATTCTCTTTCCTCTAGTATATTACTACTAATTTTTTTTATTAATGATAGATTTAAGTAATTAAAATTTTTGTTTTACAACTTGTTGGTACTTATAAATTTTTAATGACTACTGCCAAATTTGGGAATAATCTATTTTTAATTGAATTTTCAATAATTCTTGGATAACATTGTTATATTTTAAATAATTCTAGACATTCTAGTTTTTTGCAAAAGCCACCTGGTGGACCAGACCAAAAGATTTCTGGAGGTAAAGGTTGGTGATGGCTGTGCAAATTGTGAATGCACCTAGTACTTCTGAATTATACGCTTGCAGATTCTGTGCTGTGTAGACTCTCCTACAAAAATATCAGAAAGAAAAGCAAAGATGACATGCCTTTGCTTTACTCCACATTTTCCAGTCAAGCAACAATTGCTCTAATAGCTGAACATCTTGGATAATAGCATTTGACTCAACATCCAACTTAAATTCTCCATTTTCAGTGATGTGGATGATGTCTTCACCGCAGCAGCCTTCCAGAAGGGTCTGTGGAAATTAGTATTAATGTAAAATGCAGTAATAACTGATTAAACAACTATTTCAGCAAAATATTAAGCTTTCAGTCCTAGCACTATAACATTCTATTCAAAGGAAAACTAATACATGATTCAACTTACATACAGCAGCTTTATTTTGCAAAACAACTCAAATAAATAAAATATCCTAAACTTTCAAATATTTGAAAATGATTACTTAGTTCCAAACATAGTGTGAAACAATCCACACTTTATTCTTACTTTTTTATTTTTGCAATGCTGGGGATTGAACCCCATGTCTTGACTATACTAGGCAAGCACTCTACCACTGAGCTATATCCTCCTCTTTTTCTGAGTCCCAGACCTTGTATCAGACTTTGATCTCTCTCTCTCTCTCTCTCTCTCTCTCTCTCTCTCTCTCTCTCTCACTTTCTCTCTCTCTCTGAAAACAACATAAACCACAATATTTCCAGGTTGGGAAGAATGTGAAATACTTCCCAAGCTTTAGATGTTTAATCCTACTGACATCCCTGTGAGATACAAACTATTACTAAAGGCTTCCTTTTAGCGATATGGAAGCTGATAACCAGATAGCTGAATTTAGGCTTTGCTCCTCCTCTCCCCTTTCTCTCTCTCTCTCGACATATATATATATATATATATATATATATATATATATATATTTTTTTTTTTTTTGGTGTTGGGCTGGGGCTTGAACTTGGAATTCAGGGCTTGGGCATTGTCCCTGGGCTTTTTTTTTTTTTTTGCTCAAAGATAGTGCTCCACTACTTGAACCACATCTTCACTTTTAGCTTCTTTTGGGCAATTAACTGGAGATACGAGTCTCACAGACTTTCCTGCTCAGTCTGGCTTTGAATCACAATCTTCAGGTCTCAGCTTCCTGAGTAGCAGGATTACAGCCATGAGCCACCAGCACCTGGCTGTCCTTAGTTTTGTTTTGTTTTTTTTTGTTTTTGTTTTTTTGAGACAAGGTCTCATTATGTAGCTCAAACTAGCTTGAACTATGTAATTTAGGCTAGCCTTGAACTGGTAATCCTGTGATGTCCATCTCAAGTGCTGGGATTATGGGCAATACACCACTATATCTGACTATTATTTTAAAATTCAGTTAATCAACTATTAGCAGTAAGAATTCATGCCACAAAGTTGGGATCTTAATCCTTTAAGAGGTGGGTGGAGACAAGAGTAGAAGATTCATCTTTTGCTTTTACAGCTATTAAATACTTTCACAGTGCTGTTAATTTCTCAAATATTTGACAACTATGACAGGATGCCAGCAAAGACTGATGTGGATGTCAGTAACTTAAAAAGTAACTACAGAAGCACTACAACATGCTGTCTACAACAGGTGGGCAGGCCTGAGGACACCCATGTTCTATCCAGACCTCAAATGTTTTGAGTCCAGAGAAAAACATACGTATTTAAAGAGGCAAAGAATCAGGGGAATAACTCGGTTTGATTAAATATACACTAGTAGTGAGTTTCCTTCATTTTCTGTAGAAGTACTAAAACATAAACTGTTTCTGGAAGAGTTTGATATAAGGTAAGAACAACTGCATAGAAACCATGAGAATACACTTAATGAGGGCTTACCTTCAAAATTCGAAAGCCAACAATGCACTTCTGTTTGATTAACACCTGATGAATCATAGAAAGGCCATTACAATTTTCTAGTTCATGTACTCTCTGTTGACTGTATCTAATTAGAGACAGCATCACTTGCAGTGCTAATGCTTGAGTTTCTTCATAGCCACTTAGTTCAACAACCTAAAAGCAAAAGTGGAAATAATTTTCTCCTAATCTGTCAAGAGTAAAACCTTAACCATTGTATCATATTAAACTATTAGTTTCTGCAACCTTTTTATTTGTGTGCTGGTCCCCTTGAACTCAGGGCCTGGGCACTGTCCCTGAGCATTTTTGCTCAAGGCTAGCTCTCTACCACTTGAGCCGTAACTCCATTTTTTGCTTTTTTAGTAGTTAATTGAAGATAAGAGTCTCAGCTGGCTTATAACTGCAATCTTCAGATCTCAGCCTCCTGAATATGTAGGATTACAGGTGTGGGCCACCATCTGAACACTTATTTTTAATGCTCACACTATAACTATTTAAGAATTGTGAATAAACAAAACTGAAAGACAGGCATAAATTCTATGTGTGTTAGTCTTTCAAATATTCTATAAATGAAGTAAAACAACTGTAACAACCTAAAAAGCATTTTATTCTTAGTGATCTGAAATGTGAGCAGAATGTCCCATGTTTTCAATGGTCAGGAAGGAAACAGGCTCTGCCATCAAGTGTTGTGGAGATAGAAAGAGGCAAGATGCTTGTCCTCTTGGGAACTCCAGTCTAGCAAACAGGTAAATCGAATAAAAGCCACATACTGTGCCTTGCACTTCAAATCCACCACTTCAGACATCAGCTGTGTGTAAGAAACAGACTTATAACTGTGATAAAAAGGTAAACATGACGACAAGAACATATAACCTACTTCTGACCCCTCTGCTCTGCTGTTTTGAGATGGCTACACAGATAGAAGCTGGGCTGGAAGGAGACCCCAACTCTGCGGAGAGAGCAGGAATGAAGGGTGGTGGGTGGGGCATAGCCAGGGGAAGGTAAAGGTCTCCTGGAGCTCAGGGCATAGCTAAGGAGGGCTTCCTCTGACTGTAGATCACACTCAAAGAGGTAGGTTTTGCAGGTTAGAATTTTAAGGAAACTGAGTTCTATTTTTATTTTTTATTTATTTATTTTATTTTTCTTGCCAGTCCTGGGGCTTGAACTCAGGGCCTAGGTGCTGTCCATGAGCCTCTGCCCTCAAGGCTAGCGTTCTACCACTTGAGCCACAGCACCACTTCCAGCCTTTTCTAAGTAGTTAATTGGAGGTAAATGTCTCATGGACTTTCCTGCCTAGGCTGGCTTCTCAGCTGCTCTGAATAGCTAGAGGTATGAGCCACCAGCTCCTAGCTTAAATTCTATTTTGGTACAGAAGTGGATGGCTATTCCGTATCTAAGTTTAAAGTGTGAAAACATACTTTAAACAAACTTTAAAAGTCTTATTGGTAGTTCATAAATGTGTCAACAATATTAATCTAACCATTTCCTCCATCACCCAGTGTGTAACAGTAATCGTAACAAAATCATATTCAATACATAGGCGAAAGAAGAGAAATCAAGGATATACATTTTGAATTTATACACTAGTATAAAAGGAGACCAAAAAATATCTATGAGGTATTAAATGTGGGGCATTCACTTTTAAAACAGGAGTGGAACATCCATGAACTAGATAATAGATCAGAAGTAAAGTATAAAAAGAAGAAGAGGCAAGAAAGACAGAATTCCAAGTACGGGGCAAAGCTAGCAAGAACACCTAATGACAGATTCATACACCTCCTAACTACAAAACCCATTTCAAAGGGGATTCCATTACAGAAAACTAGTCAGTTATAGAGAGACTAGGCACGTTAGACTTGGGATAAACAAAGATGGCATTCTGAGGATGAAGTGTCAAGATTGCTTTTGGGTGGAAGAAACAGGGACTCGAGGAAGTTGAAATTATGTGCCATATGTGTGCCCCTGTTACAGATTTCAGCAATCCTTGAAATAGTCAATATGCAATAACTGATTGTTCACTGTGTTGGGGAAGATGGCATTCCTATCTTCAAATAACTAAAAAGCCTTTTTTAAATGGTACTTAAAGCCTTTACCATTTTTGAGTATTTCTTCTCTTTAAAAAAGAAAAAAAACACAAATTCAAACAAATTATTTTTCCACCGCTGACTGCCGTTTTATTTCCCCCATGCATTGGGAAGCTTAAGGAACAAATGCATTTCTTTCATATTACTACAGTAACAACAATTTTTTTCTTTCCAAAGGCAATTTAAAATCACATCATTTAATAGTTATATGTTTTAATCACCTTTGTGAATAATAGAAATTTCTAAAATCTTAAACCATCTGTGGCAGAAGGCTCAATATCATCTTTATTTTATGACTTTTGTCTTCAAAGTCTAATACTATAGCTTTTTTCATAATCCCCAAGTAATCTGAAATGAGGATACTTACCCTAGCAAAGAGAAATACAAATGTACCCACTCCACCGATCTCATGCAGGATGCCCTGGATAGTCTGGCACTTGGTAGGCTGGAGGGTCTTCAGCTGAGAAGGTTCTAGTAAGATACTCTGGACTTCTTTTGAGCTGAAGGGTCTTTGAGAAAGCTGGGCTTTCACTTGACCTTTGAGTCTAATCACTGGCTCATAGATTGTGTACTGAGCAGGGCAGTAAGTTGTATACACAACTGAAAGACTTTCCTAAAAGACAAATATTTTCCTTCAGTAACAACACAAGGCTTAAAAGGTGAGCTACCGGCTAGCAAATAAATACTTGAAAATGAAGATATCAAACTACTTTTGTCTTTGTTTTTATTTTTATGTATGTCTGTCTGTCTGTATGTATGTATGTATGTATATATGTATGTATTTTTTGTCGGTCATGGGGTTTGAACTCTGGGCTTGGGCGCTGTACTTGTGCTCTTCAGCTCAAGGCGAGTGCTCTACCGCTTGAGCCACAGCACTACTTCCGGTTTTCTAGCAGTTTATTGGAGATAAAGAGGCTCACGAACTTTCCTGCCCGGGCTGGCTTTGAACCTCGATCCTCATATCTCAGCCTCCTGAGTAGCTAGGATTACAGGCATGAGCCACCGGCGCCCGGCTTGTCTTTGTTTTTAAAAGATGACATCTACACTAAAAAGGACACACAAGAAGCAAGGGGCTATTTCCCATTAAAGGAAATGATCAGCTTCATTGAGCTGTGACTAATAAAGGAAAGGTGAGTAGGGCCCAGCTTTGATCAGTTCAGAATATACATAAAATCATACTTAACATTACTACTAGTTACAGCTAGGTCTTCTGCCATACTCATTGTATACTAGGTACCATTCTAAACGAAAACACAGGAACTTGCCAGATGTTGGTGGCTCATGCCTGTTATTCTACCTACTCAGGAGGCTGAGATCTGAGGACAATAGTTCAAAGCCAGCCCAGGCAGGAAAGTCCATGAGACTTATCTCCAATTAACCACCAAAAAAGCTGGAAGTGGGGCTGTGACTCAAGTGGTAGAGCACTAGCATTGAGAGAGAAAAACCAACAACTCAGGAGCAGAACCTAGGTCCTAAGTTCAGGACTGGAACACACACAAAAAAAGGAGAAGAAAGAAGAGGAGGAGGGGGGAGAGAGGAGGAGGGGGGGGGGAGGAGGGGGGAGGAGGAGGAGGGCTGGAAGAAGAAAAGACAGGAACACAGGAACTCTGCATTTGTTTACTCACATTCTTGGCTGTGGTTTGCTCAGAGGCTGGCTATCCATTTAGAAGTGAATGCAAACTAGATCTTTCTATTTTCATAAAACTCCAAACTGCCAGCACAATAAAATAAAACTAAGCAGACCTCGCTCTCCTATGCAGAAAGCAGTTTCAATCAGCATCTAATCTGGCTCCCCCTTAAGCATCTCTGAAATATTTTAGAAGATAAATTAGGGGTCAGGTAAGTCATAATTATAATTCCAGCTACTTGGGAGGCAAAGCTAGAAGGTCTATTGGCTTTGCAGTTTAAGGCTAGCCTAAGCAGAAATTTGGCAAGATCCCACATTAAAGAATAAAAGAAGCATGGTGGGGCATGCTTGTAAGTGCCAGCTATGAGGGACAATGAGGTAGGAAGAACACAACTTATATTTTCTGGAACAATGTAATATTTTTCATGACAACAAAACAAATCAGAAAGGAAGATAAGACTATTTCTGGAACAAACAATTTTTTGTGGTGTGTAAGCTTGGTGCCTCAGTACCCCTGAAGCAGAAGTTCTCAAGGTACGGCTCCGAACCAGTTGTGCCTGCATCATCCAGGAGTTTATTATAAAGGTAATTCTTGGGCCACATTTGAGATCTACCCAAGTAGAAATTTTGGCATGGCGGTGTATGTTAAAACAAACCCTCATAGTGATGTGGCTGGAGACTCAAGCTGAAACCATTTCCCTAAGCATGCTGTCTCAGTAAGGGGCACTGGAGAAGATGTCATCTGGCCATAGCAGGGCCTATGTACTACAGACCACCTGGCATCCCTAGCCCCTGACAAGTGGCAGCTACTACTCCTCACATTCCTTAGGGAGAAAAGGAACATATACTTAATAAAAGAATGATATATCTAATCTCAGGTCTTTAGGTTCTGCAGTTAGTAAGTAGATATCTACTTGGATTTCTTTTCTCTTTCTTCATCATGTGTGTAGTAGGACAAAATAGTAAAATAATGCAAAAAAGCAATAGAGATTTTCATATTAGCAACATTAGCAATACTGTTTTTGTTTGTTTTGTTTTTGGCCAGTCCCAGGGCTAGAATTTAGGGCCTGGGCGCTGTTCTGAGCTTTTGTGCTCAAGGCTAGTGCTCTACTGCTTAAGCCACAACTCTACTTCTACTTTTTGGTGATTAAATGGAGATAAAGAGTCTCATGGTCATGTAACTAACTGTAACCTCTCTGTATAGCATCTTTACAATTAAAATAAAATTTAAAAGAAAGTCTCATGGACTCTCCTACCCAGGCTGGCTTCAAACTGTGATCCTCAGATCTCAGCCTCTTGGGTAGCTGCTATTACAGGCACAAGCTACCAGTACCTGACAAAACTAGAAATACTTTTAAGGCAAAATTCCTAGTTTTTATGGCTATTAAGGAATAATTAAGTTAATTATTAACTTATAATTAATTAAGTTTTTTAAAACCTGAAAACACATCTGAGTAACACGAGTATTACAACAGAGTATTGGTATTTATTGCTAACCATATATTATTAAAACTGAATATTTGTATGTAAGTATCGACAGAAAATACAATGAATGATTTAATACACTGGGCTAAAAGTTTCTTCTTTTCACTTATAAACATTTTTTCCTGGGGCTGGGAAGGTGGCTCAGTGGTAGAGTGCTTGCCTTGCATGCATGAGGCCCTGGGTTCAATTCCCCAGCACCACATAAGCAAAAAGAAAAAAGCTGGAAGTGGCGCTATGGCTCAAGTGGTGGAGCGCTAGCCTTGAGCTGAAGAGCTGAGGGACAGTGCCCAGTCCCAGAGTTCAGGCCCCACGACCGGACCCCCCCCCAAAAAAAAAATTTTTTTTCCTGAATGATGCTAAAATGAATTAAACTTATATCACTACTGGAGAAATATAATTCCAAGGAAAAGGGCATATAAGTTGAAAGAATGAGACAAATTTTGTTCAGAGATCAAAGTGTTCCAAATTTTTCAGGAAAAAAAAAATCTATGAAATGATGTTAAGAAACAAAATGGAAAACTTTATAAATCTAATTCATTGGTTATTACATGTTTCAATACATATATAAGCTTACTATAAAGTAAAATAACTGCCAAACAATTCTCTATTACTAGAACTTCGTCTCAATGACAGCCTAATAACATTCTACTTGCTGCTAATACATACAATAAAGTTAAAAACTTATAGAGTCAAGACTTACAATTAAGAGGCCAAGGTCCACCTGTTTCTTGGTCATAAACAGCTCTCTGACTTGCTCACACCGCAGTATGTCTTTATTAATATACCTGGAGTAGTCTATGGAAGACTTGCCATACTTACATGGCATTACTGATGTGTGGTTGGGTCCACAAGCATAAAGGTAAAAGGCTTCTTGTGGACCAATTTTAGCTCCTGAATGGCAAAAAAAAGCCAGTTATTTAAAACACTCCAAGTTGAATTTCTCATAAAAAGAGAAAATGAAAGGGCTTTACAAGATTCTTTCAGTTCTTTACTATCCTGATAAAACTGCTAAGCCCTCAATTTTCAAATTAGTATAACAAGACAACTATTCTAACTTTCCTGGTTATGATACTGCATTTTCTAGGATTGTAAAATATTGATATAATATTGGGGAGGTATCTCTACATTATATATCAACTGTTCAGATACTGGGGGGTTAGAAAATATTAAAATATTTCTTCCAAGGGAAATATGTACCATTGAAGAGGAGCAAATTTCCCAGATCCCATTTTCCAGCCAACTGCAAAAACTCTTCTTGGGATGACAAACAATGGCCAATCATGCAGAATGTTTTGTTGCTATCAGATGATAAGCTTGTTTTTCTTGGAAGCACAAAATCCAAAATGACATCAGACTTCCTAAATAAAAACAAAGTTAGGTCAATGACTTCTAGGAGTATTTGAACTAAGCATTTTCAAGGAAAGATTTGTAATGAGAAACTTTTCTCAGTTTGGTATTGGATGGCTGGCAGGAGAGGCACAGAAAGCTGAACCTACTGTCTCTTGGATGGAGGTGTTGGTGGTCCACAAGCCACAGGGCATGAAGCAGAAGAGATGGCTAGAGACCCTAAAACAGGCCATGGGAGGAAGGACCAGACATCTGCTGCAAGTTGTCTTTGCCTTGTGTACTTTCCTAATTTTACCAGGGAGTTTCCCATTTTGTCAAATAATTCCTAATGTGTTATGTTCTCTAGGGGACCTTCAAAGTCCAATCACAGAAGCATTATCTCCAAGTTGTACTCAGTCAAGCCACTGAAAGGCAAGTGCTTTCTACATTTTGTCTTTTCAGTGCTAAAGATGATGGATTTTGATAAGCCTCCTCTTTTTTCTTCATGGATAAAGGCTAATTAGGAATGCAAGACAGTACCAGAAAGTAAGGCTTTTTCATAGACATACAAAACCTAAGAGGACTGTGCCATCTAGTGGAACTGCTGAGTACAGGGTTCACCTTCACTTTACCTATCAAGGTAAAGTCTTTTGTACAATGAAGACCTAGAATAAGCTAACTCAGTTAAACTCCTTTTGAGAAAATTAACTTTGCATGTGTTTACCTTAAAAGTTTATGGCTAGCTTATATTTACAAGGTAAATTCAGCTATCTTAATAGGATTTTTTTTTCCAATACTGGGATTTGAACCCAGGGTCTCACACCCACCCAGCTTGTACTCTACCACTTAAGCTGTGCCTCAAGCCTGACGTTTAACTGGTTACTTTTGGATATGGAATCTCCTGGCTTTTCTGCACAGGATGGACTTGATTTATGATCCTCCAGATCTCAGCCTTCTGAGTAGCTAGGATTACATGCATAAAACATGGACACCTCACCAGAAACTTTTTACTTATTTTTAACTAATTGTACAAAGTAGTTGTTATTCAACAAAGCAATTTATGAACACAATACATCTTGATCAAAGTCATACCTTTCAAAATTCTCACTCATTCCTTCCAACCCATCACTCTCCTCACTTTTCTTAATTTTGTAGGATATGCTTGCTTTCTCTCTCTCTTTCTTTTCTTCCTTCCTTTCTTTCCTGCATTCTCCCCCAGGAACTTTTTAAATAAAGGGAAAAACAGAGATAATCTGAAATCATTTTTTGTGGAACAAATAAGTGCCTTGATTGATTGATTGATAAGTGCCATCTCGTGGCATTACTACATAATATGATTTTAAAAGAATAAAAAAGCCAGGCACCAGTGGCTCATACCTGTAATCCTAGCTATGCAGGAGGCTGAGATCTGAGGATCACAGATCAAAACCAGCCCGGGCAGGAAAGTCTGTGAGACTCTTATCTCCAATTAACCACCAGAAAACTTGAAGTAACGCTGTGGCTCAAGTGGTAGAGTGCTAGACTTGAGCTGAGGGACAGTGCCCCAGTCCAGAGTTCAAGTCCCACAACTGACCAAAAAAAAAAAAATAAAAAATTTAACAAATATGAAATATTTACTGCTTCAATGCCTGGCACATAGTGGTCCTGGAAAAAATATGTGAAAAAAGTTTTTTTTCATTAACAAGATCTGTAACACTGTAAGTACACAATAAAAAAAAAAATGGTCCATTTAGCCAGGTGCCAGTGTTTCACACCTATAATCTTAGCTACTCAGGAGGCTGAGATCTAGAGACTGAAGTACAAAGCTAGCCCAGGCAAAAGTGAGAATCTTATCTCCAATAAACTTCTCAGAAAAAGCCAGAAGTGGTGCTGTGGCTCAAGTGGTAGAGCACTAGCCTTGAGTACAAAGAGATAGCACCCAGGACCAGAAAAAAAAAAGGTCCATTTAATCAAATTTAGATATGTTAACTTGGCATTCAATGTTTCCTTTTCACCTTGCCTGTTCAGTTTTCTTTCTCATTATTCAACTCACACTTTCTAGCCAACCTGATCCTCTATTATCAACTAGTTTTGAGTTCTATACCCTCCTTTATGCTATTTTATTCAATAAAAGAGTTCTCATCTCCTACAAATGAAAGACACCTGATATAATTCATTCAGCATTCAGACAGTCTATAATTCTCCTGTGAGGTAAAACTCACATAACACTCTATCTGAATCTATCACCTGGAAGATATCTAGGACTTGAACTAATCTGTCACCTGACATACATGTCACTCAAATTTCTTCTGGAAACCTAATTTAACTTAGATATTCACTTTATTTGAATAATTCCCTATGGATTCATTTTATAATAAATAGACTTGCATCATCGTTTGAGCAACAAAATTAGAGATTCTATAATTCTTGATTAATATGTAATATACATAAATATCTCAATGTCCAGGTTTCTGCATACTCCCCAAACCCAATCATCCATCAGTATCCATAGGAGATTGGCTCCAGGACTCTGTACAGACACCAGTATCCAAGGATGTTCAAATCTCTTACATGAAAAGGCCTATTTACATATGGCCTACATTTATCTCTGTGTTTTTCAAACCATATCTAGATTACCAAAATCTAATATAATGAAAAAATTTTGTAAACAGTAGTTACACCATATATATATATATATATATATATATATAAAATTTTTAAAATTTATTTTTTGCAGACATGGAGCTTGAACTCTAGGCTTGGGCGCTGCCTCTCAGCTCTTCAGCTCAAGCTAGTACTCTACCACTTGAGCCACAGAGCCACTTAGAGTTTTCTGGTGGTTAACTGGAAATAAGAGTCTCACAGATTTCCCTACCAGGGCTGGCTTTGATCTGCGATCCTCAGATATCAGCCTCCTAAGTAGCTAAGATAACAGATGTGAGCCATCGGTGTCTGGCTTTACACTATATATTTTTAAGGAGAATGTCTGAACAAGTTCATAATAGACACAACTTTTTCTGGAGTAACTTAATCCAAGGTTGTTGAATCCACAAATACAGAAGAATCCATGGACGTGGTAGGCTAACTATAGTAATTTTCAGCAGTCACTTCTATAGAAGACTTATTTTGTACAACAGAAAAAAACCCAGATTGTGATCTAAGTTTCTATGTTAAAACAGTAAGTTTTGCATGGTTTTCTGTAATCAGTTTCAGAAGTAATAATGGGCTAAACTTAAAAGTTGTAACTGAGATCATAAGTATTTTCTAAAACTGCTTCCTATACCTCTGCCCAGAGACCCAGATGGAGACTTTCCCATGAACATTCTTCTTCCCTTGTGGCTGCTGTAGGTAGGTGAGAACTAAATGTTGCCATCTGCTTGAAAAGAAAATATTCTCCTGTGATTCAGCTTGTGCTAGTAAAACAGCTTTTGCATCATCGTTTGAGTCCATGCACATGCTACAGAAAAAAAGAAAGGTACAAAATGAAAATTTCCACATCAGTATAGAAGCTATAACTCTCAACATGAAAGTGACATTTAAAACCAGTTCTCTTTTAAAGTAAGCTAACTGAAAAAGCAAACAAGATTGTTCTACACAGCCTGCTTGGTTACTTAGTTTATCATCATCTCAATTTATAAGCTAAAATATATGAAGCTCATTGCCTGGTATTTATAATTTAGAAACCAGTTGTAAATAAATTTGTTATTTCTACTTATATAGTCATTGCCATTTTAGAAATTGCAATACAATTTGGTTCATAGTAAAATAAATACATGTTATAATAAATGTCTCAGTGCCAGAATGTATTAGTCTACTTTGCAGATTCCTGATAGCATCTAGAAAAAAAAGCATCTGATGACATTTACAAACATATCCCTAAATAGCACATTTGGTTTATAGAGCTTTATACAAATAGGATCAAGGTTCATATTCAACATAAACATTAGAATATTAACATAATATAAATTTTGGAGTAAAACTATATACTTTTACCAAAGTGATATTAATAACTGTTAGAATGTATCTTCTTTTTTTCAAATGAGTTTTCTTTTTTTGTAATGATCTTTATTAGAAGATTTCACATTTTAATGTCTCCTACATAAATTATTTGAATACATGATCTATTTGTTAGAAGTTGAGGTCATCAATACCGAAAGGTAAAAGTGCCCCTGTGGGGACTGGCCCACACTTGGATCATCAATGCTTTGGATCCCACTGAAATCAGATGAACACAACCTTCTTCTATTAGTCTTTCACCAGGGTCTATGGAATCACCACCGTCTGTTCTGTCGCTCTCTATGAGAAAAAAAATTTAGAATAATCAATAAAACATCTCACAAAAACTGAGCAGAGGCCTGGGAAGGTGGCTCAGTGGTAGGGTGCTTGCCTCGCATGCATGAAGCCCTGGGTTCCATTCCTCAGTACTACATACATAGAAAAAGCCAGAAGTGGCTCTGTGGCTCAAGTGGTAGAGTGCTAGCCTTGAGCAAAAAGAAGCTCAGGGACAGTGCGCAGGCCCTAAGTTCAAGCACCAGGAGTGGAAAAAAACAAAAAATGAAAAACAAACAACTGAGCAGAGCTGGGTGCTATAGGTTCACTCTTGTGATCCTAGCTACTCTGAAATCCGATGGTCACAGTTTGAAAGCAAAAAGGGCTAGGGGCATGGATCTATTAGTAGAGCACCTGCTTAACAAACAGAGCTCTGAATTCAAATCCTGGTACTTCTAAAAAATTTGTTTAAAAGGTGATAGGCAAAGTAACTCATATACAAAATGACTCAGTGCTTGTTAAAAAGCAACAGCATCAATGCCATCACATGTGGTATAGTTTCAGAACTCTTATGATTAGGTGACAATACTCAACCCACAAAAGGCTTCATAACCACCTGCAGCATTCCAAACTATCTGCTAAGATCTTAAAAAAGTGCAGCTTCATAGAATAACTCATGAAAGTACACAAGTATTATGCCATGCTAATAATATGAGCGTGCCCAGTAAACTCAGACCCCAAATATGGATATCAGATGACACTGCCATGTCAACCATGATGGTAGAGACCAAACACTGGGAAGAGCCCCAGGTTCTAAAACACGCTCCAGTGGTGGGTGAGATTTGTGGAATGAAGACTTACTGTGGCCTGAGCTTCCATGTACATATAAATCCTCAAATCTGTCCATCCAGTCATTTCATATAATCCATATTCCCTAATAATTCTACTCACTTTCTTCCTACTGCCATGTGCATTCATGTGTACACATAAGTTTCTGCTGATGGAATCTGAGACCTCACATATGATAGACAAGCATTCCACCACTGAATTTAACCAGCAATTCCTAGTCCCTACATTGCTTTCAATGAACAGTCTGGTCACAGGAGAACAAGAGGCACTGTCAAGGCAGCACAATAACAATTCCTCAGAGAAGACAGAAATGTACTTGGTTCTAACTCCAGAGAATGGATGAGATATGTTCAGTGACAGGCAGAGGAACAGGACCACTAGTGCAAAACATAGAAGAAGGAGAATTTGAGACAAAGAAAGAAGATAGAATGGGGAATGTTAACAGGAGCAGGGAAACACAGCAGACAGAAGAGGTGCTTACATTTCCTCCTTTCCCTAACATCAGGAGCCACCCTAATCCAGTAATAGGACCAGAAATGAGGCAAGAAATGTGGCTGACTATGCCAGCATCAGTTACATATACACACAATGAAAAAGTACAGGAGGAAATGGAGGTTTTAAGGCTATCTGAAAACCTAGGTTTTGATAATTCAGGACCTGTCACTATTAAGTAAAACCTGTAAAGAGCATGTAAGAGCCAGTTAGAACATTGCCATGTAGCTTTTAGGTTCAATAAAAACTGCAATCTGAAAACCTTAGTGTATAAATCAGACGATCCATCATACCTGTTCCATCCAAACTACTGTCCTGTAAAACCAACCATCTGTTCTTTTTCTTCCTTTTCTTTCCTCTTTCTGCAGTACTCTCAGATTCATGGGCACACTCCACATTAAACCACAGAGAAACACTGAAACCTTCTGACAGATGTGGCCAGCAGTTCTGCCCCAGCAACGGCAAGTGGACTGGGGCTATGTGCCAAGAGGAAAGGAGATGATGGGGAAAACCTTCTCTGCCAGCTTCTTTCCTGCCCTGGGAAATCCGTGCCCTTCTCAGGAAGCCCATGGCTTTATTGTTCAGAATGCCAGGACACTTTTGTGATGAGACACCATTGCTTAAACTTGGAGTGTGCAGCAAGGGGAAGGCCAGATACTGTGAAGGGCTCATGGCAGCATCACTTTCAACAATTCTCAAAATACCCAGAAGAAGAATTTCCTAGAAAAAAAGAAAAACAAATGAAATCTTAATCTTGAAATTAAAGCTTTCATTAAAAATACAAACATACTCATACAAATCAATATTCTGTTGTCTGACATCTTTAAATTTTTCATTTTTGTTTAGCTAAAATATGAAACACATCATTCCTTTTTTTATTTAAACAAATAGTATCTTATATGATAAGAGACACATAGGCATTGTGCCTTTGTGTTCCTCCCCTAAGAGTATCCTCCTTTGGTTTCACTGTGTCTGAATGCCCAGAGTCCTGTGTAACTTATCTTGTCCCTGTGTATTTTAAATATAGCTTCTGCATATGAAAGAAAACACACACTATTCAGACACATCATTCTTAAACTGCAAATCTCAGTTTAAATTTAGATGTCTTTGTGATACATACCTAATATTTATGGGTTATCATTAACTTTATTAATGAGATAATTACTTGCAAAATCATTTCTACCAAACAAAAACAAGTGTTTTTCTCTCAATTAGTTTTGAGTGAGGGATATAAGCAGAGGCCTTACAAACTCTTCAGCTTTCTGCATGATGCTATACCATGACTGACTTCACAAGATTGAGAGCTTAATTGCTGTTTAACTTATTTCACAAGTCTGTTCCCTAATCAAATAAATGGAATTACTGTAGAACCATTGCTACCATCAAAAAGAAAGAACTTAGTGGTTTATAAACAATAAAAAGTGTACCTTATTAAGATATTAATGAAAATGCAAAAATTAAAAGCATATTTACTATACAAGGAGATTTTTCCAGAAATATCCTCAAAAGAAGGGTTAGATCTTCTGAACATGTCCTTGAGCTCATTAAAGATACTAGCAGATCCACCAATACTCTCTGGCATCCTAAATTTTAAGGAGAGGAGAAAAATTAAAGCCATTATACATTTAATTAATAAAAATTAATGAAAGAAAATTGACAATTTCACTGAAGGCAATCAAATACTGTCACATCTTCAATGCGTTATAAATAATTTAGGAGTACAAAACTTGCTGAAGAGATAGCAACATAATTAAATACAACCCAACTAATCAACTGAAAGAAGTTTTCTTAAACAATGGCTAAGCCAAGTGCCAGTGGCTCACACCTGTAATTCTAGCTATTAAGGAGGCCGAGATATAAGATCATGATTTGAAGCCAGTCTGGTCAGGAAAGTGCATGAGACTCTTATGTCCAATTAACCAGCAAAAAAGTCAGAATCAAAGCTGTGGTTCAAATGGTAAAGTACTAGCCTTGAATGAAAAAGCTCAGGGACAATGCCCAGGCCCTGAGTTCAAGCCCCAGGAGGGATACAAAAAAATAAAAAGATTGACTGAACTAAGTAAAAGCATTCCGTAAAGAAGCATGAATCAACATAGCATTTGTTAGATAAACTGACCCCCCCCCATAAAAATAGTATATTACTTTCTCATCCTGAAATGTTTAAATTTTAACTATCACTACATGGAAAAATAAATGTCAGAAATAACATGGAATTCTATGCCTCCATCAGAAAGAATGGCATTGCCCCATTTATTAGGAAATGTAAAGGCTTGGAAAAAATTATATTAAGTGAAGTAAGCCAAGCCCAAAGAAACATAGGTCCCATGGTTTCCCTTATTTGCAATATCTAGTATATGTCTGAGTCAAGCAGAAAAGGTCAGATAAGGTGATGTTAGGGAAATGAACCCTAAGATATGTATTCAAATGTTTTTTTTTCTTTCATGTGATTGTTTCTAACGCATTTATAAGATAATTTCTTTGTTGCTTTGTATGTCCCTCCCCCCCAGTATAACCAGTGCTTTCACTGTACTTCATGTCAGTATAATTTGTGGAGGAGAAGGGGAAAAACAAGTCGTTTAAATAGGGATACAGGTGGATCCATTGCAACAATGAGAAGTACAAGTCGTTATGTTGAAAACTAACTTTACAACTTTGGTGGGGCGGGCGGGAAGAATTGGGTGGGGGGGTGGAGGGAGGATGTGAAGGGATGGGAAGGGGAAACAAAGGAGGAGGCTACAATGCTTGATAAGAAATGTACTCATTATCTTGCCCATGTAATTGTAACCCCTCTGTACAGTATTTTCACAATAAAAAATAAACTAAAAAAGAAAAAAGAAAAAAAAAGAAATGTACTCATTATCTTGCCCATGTAATTGTAACCCCTCTGTATTTTCACAATAAAAAAATAAAAATTAAAAAAAGAAATAACATAGGAAATACTAAAGATTGTATAAATTTTTAAATATTACATGTTATTTAATTTAAATATTTTCTTATTTTACAAAGGTGTTTAGCATAAAACACAAATAATGGTTCACAAATTCTTGGTCCTGTGGGGCCTGGTAGAGCACTTGCCTAGCAAGCATGAGACTCTAGATTCCACTCCCACCACTGCAAAAATAAAAAAAAGATTTCTTTATAGGAAATTAGTACTAATATTTATAGAGTACATTCTAGTGTTCCAAATATATTTTACATGCATTATTTAAGTTGATTCTCATCATAAACAAAAACCTGTAAATCAATTATTGTCTCTCTTTATAAATGATAAAAATAAGCCAGATGTAAAACTTAAGATGTATCTTAAAAGACCAGTGGTTCTAGAAGACTTTGAGGTCAGAAAAGAAGCCAGGTTCAAGCAGTTGATTCTGGAAAGGGAGTGAGCTGTGGTGTACATAATGGAAGGCGTACTTACAAAGACAACTCACAGTAAGACAGTAAGTATATGCAAGTAACATGAATAAACTGAAGATTTTGAGTAACATGATCAAACTAAAGTAGTTTAGCTCTTTTTCAGTTCAAAATGGAAAAGTTTTAGTTTGAATGAGGAAATGGATACAAATATACATGTAAATACATACACATATATATATTTGTGTATATATATGTATACACACATATAATTGCTTCTGGAGGCTGGGGAAGTAGCTCAAGTAATACGGTGCAAGGCCTCAAGCTCAAACCCTGGAACTGCCAAGAAAAAAAAAAAGCAAGAGAAAAAAATGCTTCTGTGTATTACTGAAAACTCAATAAACAAAAACGCAAAATTACAAAAAGGAAGCAAGTTTTAATAGCAAAAATGGGGGAAAGAATGGGAGGATGGCTGTGGGCACTGGGATACTCTCACTCAGGTGAAAGACTGAAAACTATTTCTTGAAGATGGAGAAGAGAAAATAGAGAAAGCTAAAATTCCTATGAATTAGAGGGGTTCGTTCAGTGGCCCTAACAGCTCCCTGGAGTAAATCTCTGTTCCTTAGGTCATTTGGCGAGCCCCCTAACCAGCCAGTGTATATTACGTAGTGCTCATCAACAGAATATCCATGAAGAAAGAGGCCAAAAGAAAGCAAATTTACAGCCAGGAGCCAGTAGCTCACGCCTGTAATCCTAGCTACTCAGGAGGCTAAGATCTGCGGATTGCAGTTCAAAGCCAGCCTGGGAAGAAAAGTCCATGAGACAATTATCTCCAATAAACCACCAGAAAACCAGAAGTAGCACTGTAGCTCAAGTGGTAGAGGGCTAGCCTTGAGCTGAAGAGCTAAGGGACAGCGCTCAGGCCCCACGACTGACAAAAAAAAATTTTTTAAAGCAAAGTTACTTTTACAACATTGGAAATTTCCAATACTTTTTACAAATTTAAATAGGCAAAAATATTTCAGTAATTTAAAAGAGTAATCCCAAGACGTAAAAACCAGTTGAGCTGGGTGCTGGTGGCTCTATGCCTGTAATCCTAGCTATACAGAAGACTGAAAACTAAGGATCACAGTTCAAAGCCACCCAGGCAGGAAAGTCGGTGAGATTTTTATCTCCAAATAACCTCCAGAAGATTGGAAGTGGAACTGTGGCTCAAAGTGGTAGAGCACTAGCCTTAAGCAAAAAGAACTCAAGGCCAGGAACAGGGCCCAGATCCTGAGTTCAAGTCCCACAACTACCACTACCACCATCAACAACAACAAAAAAAGACCACAACTACCACTACCACCATCAACAACAACAAAAAAGACAAACTATCATAGAGGAAAAAAAAGTAATTTAGGGAATGGAAAAACTATTTTTAAATGTTTATTACAATACCCAGATAAATACAAGAAGATATTATATCTTTTATATAAAAAGGGAATGATGAGAAAATAATTAAGCACAAATCTCTTAAAGTCTAAATAAAAACCTTGAATAGAATTTTAGAAAATCTTCCAGAATGTGGTATAAAAAGAGAGAGGTATACAATACAAGATAAACCACATGGTACAAATCAATCCAAAAGGTTCATAACTAGTTTGTAAAAAGCAAGATTATGAAGAAGATAAATTATTTTTAAAGAATAAACTTTTGTGACGTTAGATCAGACTTCCCTAGCTTTGACACGGAAAGCAAAGAAACAAAAGCAAGGGAACATGACAATAGTAAAATGGCTTCCTGGACAGGATATATGAACAGGAGAAGACATTAAACAAGAAAATGGAGAGAAGGGAAGGCTTTCTCTTACAGTACAATCCTTTGACTGTTTCAGTCAAAGGTCACTAATGGATGCTAAAAATCATGCATTAAACAATGATAAGGGTATTTACATACTTTTTGTTGTTGTTGTTGTTGTTGTTTTGGGTCCAGTAGTGGGGCCTGAACTCTGGGCCTGGGCACTGTCCCTCAGCTCTTCAGCTCAAGGCTAGCACTCTACCACTTGAGCCACAGCGCCACTTCCGGCTTTTTTTCTTTTTGCTTATGTGGTGCTGGGGAATCGAACCCAGGGCCTCAGGCATGCAAGGTAAGCGCTCTACCACTGAGCCACCTTCCCAGCCCTTACATACTTTTAATAAGTATCGTAGTTATCATAGTTATCATTAGTAATAAGATATAGACATCACAAATCCCTTGATATCAAGCCCCTGGAGGATCTAAAACAATGAAGGAGTATTCCTGCCCACAATGTTTAATCTGAATTTAATGTCACACAAACAAAAATGAACATTGCATGTATGTAGATCTTTATTCTCCAACTAAATTTTAGGTTTATTGAGGTTAGAAATCAGAAGACATAAATTCCTCAAATATCTCAGAAAGTAGATAAAAGACAGTATCAGGTACAATGCTACTGAACAACTGACTAAGCCCCTGCAGTTCAGATGTTCCTTTCTATTCAAAAGACACCCTGCCTACTTTACTTTATTGAGTGAGTGTGAGCAATAAATGCATTTAACAAAGAAACTGATGATGCATATATTCTGGAAATCACAGAGCATTGTCAGTTTAGCTGTGTTATCAGCTTTTCATATAGTCACACAATCACATCAAAGCTATTTGTTCATAATCAACAGTTTCAGCTCACCTTGAAAATCAGAATCAGCTTGTGTAAAAATACTCAAGAATCCTCCTAGAAGGTTTTTCACAGTTCCCTGAAGATTAAAAATTGAAACATAAGAAATTAATCATTTTACATTATGTTGAAAATGAACTTTACAACTTGGTCGGGGAGGGAGGAATTGGGGAGGTGAGGAGGGAAAGAATGGTAGGGAAAAACAAAGGAGGAGGTAATAATGCTCTATAGGAAATGTACTCATTACCTTACTCATAGAACTGTAACCCCTCTGTACAGTATTTTTACAATAAAAACATATATAATTTAAAAAAGAAATTAATTATTTTATCTTGTGGATGCATAATACTGTTACAATGTCATCAGGGCTTATTTGCTAGAAAATCTACTGTGCAAGATTATGTATTTCTTTTTCATTGAATATTCTGATTTAGTGACTTTTGTATTCTGATTTTTTTTGAAACAGTGACTATACATTACAATGAAATGTAATTTTTAGAACATAATTCATTTTCAGAAATGAATGAGAATTCATTACTGGTTAGTTGACAACAATATTAAGTTTTATGCTATGTTAGAGAAACATGAAATTGGAAAATTTTAGAATATCACTTGAAGGCCAAAGCACAGTTAAAGTATTACAGAAGTGAACAATCATCTCTAACTTTCAGAGAGGCTGGGCTCTAAGTGAGGACATGGGTTTGGGCATGAGTGAGATAAGCAGCCATGAAACTGATTGTATCTTTTACCTGCTGCGTGAGCAGAAAAATATTCTTTTCCTTCTGTCTGATAATTGTTAAGAAACTCTCAAATACATGAGTGAGCACATCTAGCTTGGCTTTGCTAGCAGAAAGTAAATTTAATTCCAGCATACAAATCTCAGGATAGATTATTTCCCCTTGAGTGAGGTTTTCAAGTAAGTCATTGAGACCTACTGATGCACAGAAACCTTCTGCTTCAGGTTTTATTTCTACCCCTGGAAAAGACAAAGAAAAAATTATTTTCATTCTCTAAATACTGAATAAATATGAATTCACCATTTAGTAGATATAGTGGTAAAAGTGTATTTATAAGAAGATGCTAACAAAAACCTTTTCCTACAACATTAATTAAGCTATCTATCTTGAACAATCAAATCTTGTAGACAGTTTGAAGTTTGACAGATTGCCTTACAAGTAATACAAATATTACTGGCAGAAAATTGTTATAGACATGTTACAGATCAAGTACATCCTTTTGACATAACTAGGAAAACAAACACTATCCCCCACTTCATGAACTCAAAATAGCAAAATCCTAGGATAATTTAATTTGCTTGTCCATCACCTCTGTGAAAACACTAGGCTTGGCAACTGGCTGGTTGAATTCTACACTGTCTCTTGTAAGTAAGAAACAGACACTGTCCTAATGAATATTACATTTTGGAAATTTTAACTGATCTTAAGAAAGACCATCATACTCTTTTAGATTCATATAGTGGAAAAATTTATGAATTTCTACACAAAATAGAATTTTTTAGGTCAAGCTTGAGTGAACAAACATAAAAAGGAAGATATCTACCATTATAAAATCATACCCATTGTGATAAAATTACCATTAAGAGCATTGATCACAAATTCTTCACACGTTTAACTAAACTGAGGCCAGGAGTACTGGGAAATGCAGTTCCATCCTGAGGACAATAGGGGCTGTGGCCTGTCATGGCAGGATGCCTGCATTCGTTCACCTCATACTTTATGAAAAATGGCTACTATTTGGGACAAGCTCATTTTTTCCTTAAGAAGTTCTTTGCCTCTTCAGAGGGGGCTTCCTCCACCTTCCAGTCACTGTTATGTCACCTGGTTTTATATTCCTTATATTGTTTGCTTTCATCAATTATTTTCTTTTTTCCTCCTAAGGTGTGTAAGAGCAGGGAATCTGTCCTTCACCCAATGTTCATAACAAAACTGATTTCATTGTTTCAAACTGAATTTACAAATTTCAGATTGGTTGCAAGGTCAAATAAAATGTCAATGCAGTGCTTTTTTTTTTTAAAGTTGTAAAGCAATACTCTAAAGTGGTATCATTACTAGCCATTTTGCACATTCACAATCTAACTTGCAGATCTGACCACAAGAGCATCTGAGATTACCGCCATCCTCAACTTCACCATCCTCAGGATTGCTCTCACTGTCTGCTTCATAACCTCCTTCTTCACTCAGAAGTTTGAAACTACAACACTGAGAATCTTCAGCTTCTTCTGAAAAATCTCCAGGCTGGGATGACAATTCTTCCCCAGACGGATGACTCTACAGACCAGAATTCAAAGGTGACACTTGTAACATTCACTCATTTTTTTCTTTTTTCTTTTTTGTCATTTGTGGGGCTTGAACTCTGGGCCTGTGTGCTGTCCCTCAGCTCTTCAGCTCAAGGCTATCACTCTACCACTTGAGCCACAGCGCTACTTCCAGTTTTCTGGAAGTTAATTGGAGATAAGAGTTTCACGGATTTTTCTGCCTGGGCTGGCTTTAGATCTCAGCCTCCTGATAAGCTAGGATTACAGGCATGAGCCAATGGTACCCAGATTTCACTCATTTTAAAAAAATAACAGAATATCACTCAAAAGTCATTTGATAAACTGTCAATACTTAAAAAAATCCACCGTCTAAAAGGAAATGTAATCTTTACCTGACTTAGGTAGGTGCAGCCCTTCTATACATCACCTTTATAATAACAATTTAAAATTTTTACCAAAAAATAATAACCACCATAAAATTGTTATTCATACAGCAAAATTTCTCAGACCCCCCTCAGACAATATCATAATCAAAGGGCATTTTAGGTCAGATACAGAAGATCATATCTGTAATCCTAGCTACTCAAGAAGCTAAAATCACAAGGATAGCATTTTGAGGTTATTCCCTATAAAAAGTTTGTGACACTTCATCTCAACCAATGAAAGGCTGGGCTCAGTTGTACTTGCATATCATCTCAACTACAAAGGAAAGCACAAATAGGAAGCATGCAGTTCAGGCTAGCCTAGGCAAAAAGTGAATCTACTGGAAAAATAATGAAAGCAGAAAGGCCTTGGGGCATGAGTCAAGTGGTAGAGCATCTACCTGCCCTACGAGGTCTAAGCCCTGAGTTCAAATACAATTACTGCCATAAAAATGGAGTCATTTGTTTCACTAAAAAATAAATGGCCAGGCACAGTTGGCTTATGCCTATAATCCTAGCTACTCAGGAGGCTGAGATCTGAGGATCTCAGCTGGTTTGAAGCCAGTCCAGGCAGGAAAGTCAATAAGACTCTTATCTCCAATAAACTACTCAGAAAAGGCTAGAAGTGGCACTGTGGCTCAAGTGGTAGACTGCTAGCCTTGAGAAAAAGAAAGCTCAGGGAAAGCACCCAGGCCCTGACTTCAAGCCCCAGGACCAGCACAAAAATAAAAAAAAGTTATGGCAAACAATAACATAATATGGTAAAAGATGATAAAACATAATATATATTTCTGGGCCAAATTGTTTGAAGAGGAGTTTATAAAGATAAAATTAGCCCTTATTAACCAAAGGTAAAGGAAACATGACAGGAAAGGAAAGTGAACTAAATATATACTACAAAGTTTTAGGGAAAAAAATTGAAACAATCACTTTAGAAAAAATGTTAATATAAACAACTAAAAAATTATAACTGCTATTTTCTTCGTGAGGGCTAGTCATTTTTTTTTTTTTTTTTTTTTTTTTTTTTTGGGTCCGGTCGCGGGGCCTGAACTCTGGGCCTGGGCGCTGTCCCTCAGCTCTTCAGCTCAAGGCTAGCGCTCTACCACTTGAGCCACAGCCACTTCCGGCTTTTTTCTTTTTGCTTATGTGGTGCTGAGGAATCGAACCCAGGGCCTCAGGCATGAAAGGCAATGCACTTTACCACTGAGCCACCTTCCCAGCCCAGGGCTAGTCATTTTTATATTGCGCGATTTAAAGTGAGTAGAATATTCTGGAAATGTTAGCTGAACGAGTGAAGCTATCACTGTACCAATAAGATAACTGAATGAATGGTCACTATCCTCAAATCATCATTTGATGTAAGAGTTACTAAATCAAATAATACCTCTCTGTCTTACTGGGAGTGATTCCCAATAAAATTCAAGATTAGATTTACAAAGCATGTCATACTGCTGTTTGTTTTCTGACTGGACACTGATGAAACACTCTCTGCTTCAGCTGGAGAAGCATGACCCATAACCTCACTTGATAAACATTCTAAGTGGTTAGAATGTCCACATAACACAACTACATGGATTCATACCTTCTCAGTCATAGTGTCATTATGGTCCAAGTGTGCTGAGTGACTCCCCAGGGCTACTCGAAGTAAGGCATCAAATAAAGGCTTTGCTAACTCAGTTTCAGTCACCTTTGACTTGAAAAGATGGTTCCTCATCTCACCCAGTATACTTTCCACAGACAAGTTCTAGATAAAAATACAAGAGTAAGAATATTAATAACATACTTTACAACTAAATAAAATGGTAAACGTGTAAAATTTGAACTCATATTCAAATATCCTACCAAAATGAGTTATTTATCAAATATATTACTCATGTGATTGTAAAATTCAAGATACTGTACAATAATTGAGTCACAAAAAGATGATTCTTTAAAACTTCAGAGTTTTATTTAGCCCTCTCTAGAGTTTGCAAATTCCTTTCTCGTAGAATTCACTAAGCAGTTGTGTTCTATTTCTCTTCTCTTCTGACACTGAAGGAAGCCCTTGCTGCTTGCCTCTATCTCTACAAAGGCAAGGTATATCTAACAATGGTTAAGAAACAGGCTTCTCTTTTAAGGAATTCTCAGTCTAGCACATGGAACAAATAGGTACAGACAAGATATGGTGATGATTATACTAGAGCTGTAACACAGCCAAGGAATCTGAGTAGGGCACCCATCAGTACCTCCCGAGATTGTGAATACTAAAGTCTAAAATGCGGTATGTGTAACTACTCCTTTGATACTATGTAAACTGTTTCACAGGAATTCTGCACTGTAAACTCAACTGTAAGATTCTCTAAGAACTGGTTTATGTACTCCTTCATGTCCTCCATAGTACCCAAGCTTCTCAGAATATAAAAGCTCTGGAAAAATGAAAGGAAGATCATAAATGCACATTTGTACACATGTAAGTGTATACACATACATATACTAAGGACATAATACAGACTAAGGACATAATATTACCTGAGTAGGTAACTCCAGTTCCATCTTCTGACTTGTCCTGGCACTATGAAGACAAATGGCCAGAAGGGCTTCCAAAAGTCTTATGCTCTGAAGTGAAGCCTCCTTTCCTCCATTCATGAACACCTCTGCTTCCTCAGAAGCAGCTTCAATAGCTGAAACTTGTTCCATATTTGTACAGGAAATATGCTGTGTCTCTAATATACCTATGCTATCCGCATTGTCTCTTAGACTTCCCAGTTCTGATGCAATGGGGTCATGTTTTGCAGGTAAAGGTGGTAAGTCTTCCTTCAATGTAATCTTAGCTGGAGAGGTTCTCATCAGATCTTGGTTTTCATTTACAGTCAAATCTCCCTGCCTTGTTCCTTGCTCCTCCTCCTGACTATGGAATAATTTCTGTATTAACATAAATATCAACTTATAGCATACTCGGAAACCACCAAGCCTATGAAACTGTTTCTGGAAGACTGGGCTCAACATGTAAATCCAATGGCACATTGACCAAACATCTGCTGCTTCATGCAAACGTTCGGGACACGGCAAGACAAGGCTCTCAAGAGACAGACATGGCATCATGTGACTTAAAGGCTCACTGGCTGTACTATCATAGCCAGATGTGTCCTCGGATTCATTGGCTGACTCCCCATCAGCCTCTGCTTCTTTACTTACACATAAAAATGCCACACAGAGGAAGAGGTTTATGGTATTGATATGAACATCCTGGTGAAAAGTCTTCTGTTTCTTTGGATAAGCTTCTTTGAGAGTGGCATAGAACTTGCGGAGGCTCTGAGGAGCATCTGAACAAGCCTGTTGGCTAGAAAAGGAAGGAGTTGCACTTAAAGATGACAACTCCTTCTGCTCAGTGTCTAGTCCATCAATACCTGGGACTGAAGCATCTTTCTGTTGTTCCCCCAGGCTGATTATCAGAGTTTCAAATGCTTTTAGGGAATGGCTTCGTATAGCATCTAGATAATTTAATTCAATTATTTGACTTACTCCATTACAACTTAAAAATAAATCTCTTATTACCCTGTGAGAAAAAGGAAAAAAGCACAAGAAGTTTTACGTATAGAAACGTAACTTACAAATAGGCACATGCATTCTTCAGTATATCATTGCTGCACACAATATATTCTAAACACTGTCCCACTTGATTCATTATCTGGATAAAGTCTTTTCTTTTCTTTCTTTTTTTTTTGTCGGTTGTGGGGCCTGAACTCTGGGCCTGGGCACTGTTCCTCAGCTCTTCAGCTCAAGGCTAGCGCTCTACCACTTGAGCCACAGTGCCACTTCCAGCTTTTTCTGCTTATATGGTGCTAAGGAATCGAACCTAGGGCCTCATGCATGCAAGGCAAGCTCTCTACCACTGAGCCACCTTCCCAGTCCTTATCTGGACAAAGTCTTTACTCACTGACCTCAGATTATGGTCTAATTATTCTCCATCCTCTTTCAGATACTGTGCATATGGCTCTGACAGTATTTAAAAAGAAAGGATTACATCCAGCTCAAATTAAATAAAACAACTCAGAAAGGAATATTTTTTTCCAAATAGAAAATTCTATATAAATTCTACGTGTTACAACCACTCTCACACTTGAACTGTATAACAGAGCAGAAGGCAGGCAACTCATAATTTGTTTATCTGCTTAGTGTTCACTCAAGACTTTTTTTTACATGTACATTTCATAAAAGGAAAGAACTATACTACAGAACTGAAAATCTTGAATTTTCTCTCATGTTATATTTCAAAAGCATACAAGTTTCCCTACAGTTCTCTGATTCGGCCAATATCCAATTCAAGTAGACAAATGTTACAAAAGTTTTCAAGGGGCAAGTGGGCTCAGTGGTATAAACAGTTTTTAAGATACCACACAGATATATAATATTGATAGGTTATAACTTAATCAAAGTTATTTAAATGGTATATACATTCATTTGAAAGGCCACTCAAACTATCAGAAACATCATTTATTTATAAAATTAATTTTTAAATGTACCAGACTTGACAATCACAAAATCTGGAAAATCATGCTAGGCATCGTGGCTCACAGCTACAATACCAGCTACTCAGAAGGCAGAGACGGGAAGATTCATAGTTCAAGGCCAACCTGGGCAAGAAATTTGAGAGACATTATTTCCACAAATAAGCAAGGTATGTATATATGTCTGTCATCCCAGCTATGTGAAAGGCATAGGTAGGAGGATCAGAGTCTAAGGCTGGCCTGAGCAAGACTGTCTCTGAAAAACTAACCTTAAAACAAAAACAACCCCCCTCCCCAAAATAAAGCTGTAGCTCAAATAGTAGAGTGACTAACAAGCAAATACTATCAAGCTCTGAGTTTAAACCATACTACTGCCAAAAAAAGAAAAGGCCTAGAAAATTCACTGGTAATTTAAATTTTATTATTTTTGCTTGTGTACATTTCCTAATTTTTGTATGTACTGCTTAATAAATATAAGTATGGTATTTGAAAATAATTCTCTTAATAGACTTGTTTCAGTAATTATTATTCTATGAAGTGCTTATTTTATATAATTGTATATAAATATGCTATTTTAAATTTTGTATATTTCATTCATAAAATATTATAAGCATTTTCTCTCTCCTGTTTTACCATGGTCTTTAGAAACAGTCATGGTGCTTGAACTCAGGGCCTGGGCATTGTCCCTGAGCTTCTTTGCTCAAGGCTAGCGCTCTACCACTGTGAGCCACAGTTACACTTCCAGTTTTCTTGTGGTTAACTGGAGATAAGGCTCATAAACTTTCCTGCCTGGACTGGCTTTAAGCCACAATCCTCAGATCTCAGCCTCTTGAGTACCTAGGATTACAGACATGAGCCACCAGTGCCAGGCTCTTTATGAACATTCTTAATGATAAATAATATCCTATCTAGTAAATATAAATCAATTCTTAAAAAATTAATTGTTTTTCTTATTTGCTTATATCAGTTATACAAGGTAGTGGGGTTAATGTTATAAAATTTAGACTTGCCCTTGCTCTTCTGTATCTGTGTTGCATCTATGTTTTTTCTTAGAAATCTATCTAAAACTTACCTTTTTTTCCATTGAGAAATTACAACCTATGGCTATAGTCTCTCCTCTATAAACTACTCCCAGAGAAAGAAAGTAAACAAAAGGTTTAAAACAAGACATAGGATGGGAGTTTTTTTTTTGCTAATAAGCTAAAATCATATCCTAAGAAAAAAATTGTCAGTACTATTTCAGCAGTAACGAGACTCTGGAAACAGCATGGCTAGAAATTCAAATACAAGCATCCACCAGAGAAATAAATATCTGTGCATGTGCACATACACAAACCTGGATCTGAGCAGGCCAGGCAGAGTTTTTAGGTAGATCTGAAGCACTTCCTGAGGCACACACTGTTTCTGATAGCTACTCCTGGGAGTCTGAGTTGATGAGATGCTCTGGTGTTGACAGTGATGTGCTAATTCAACTCCTCTTTGGAGCACAGGACTAAATATGTAATTATACAGTTTCCACTGCACAACTGCATTGCCTTTCTGGATTAAACTGCAAATGTGATTTGCAATATGTATATTATGTAATCTGTCTTCTTCAAAAACAAATTTCTGATAAGCCTCTAGTGCATCCCACTTCCACAGCAAGTCTTCAGACCCGCTGCTGGGCAGGATGCCTTGGTATCTGTAGGAGGGGCTGAGTAAGCTAGAAGGAGTCTGGTCATCACACGAGTTACCCTGCAGAGTCTCTTCCAGTTGATCAGAGTCAACAGTACAGATGTTGCAAGAAGCTTTTTTAATTTTCTGTGATATTTCTGCTCCTCCTAACTGGTCCAAAATAAGTTTGTTAAGGATATTCAGTATCTGCTGCTGAATGTGTTTCAGCGCTGGCACTGTAAAGGCATGGAGCAAAGGGACAATCACAGATTTGGGGTCCATGCAGCAGCATATGCCAACACTGTGCACCCCTGACAGAATCTGGATGCAGGTGCTGCTCAGGGAAGCCTGCTGCAGCAAGCGCAGGCACTGGTGGGCACACACCGCAATGCAACAGCAGCGCTCAGGGTAATGAACATCTCCATCCGCAGTCTCTTCAAATGGGTTTTTGGAAAGCTGGTTTTTAAAAGCAGAAACTAGAAGACCGGAGAGATCCCGGTGATGATGCATAAAGTGGGAATACTCACAGCGCCGGTGCCGTTTTCTAGGACACACCGAGTGGTGAAGTTGCTCTGATTTCACTTTTTTGACAGTGCTCATGATCTTCAGCACACTGCTGATGAGGGCTTTCAAATGTTCTGAGGCCTCAGGAGGGACTCCTTCTCTTGCCACCAGCCATTCCATCTGAAGAACCACTGTCTCAAATAGGTTAAATCCTTGGTGCTGAATGAACTCTTGAACCAAGTCCATGGCTTGACTAAAGTAGAAGGGATTTGAAGCTGCACTCTGAAGACAACAGATCAGGATCTGTAGAACTCCTTCCAGAAGCTCAGGAAGAAGCAGGGCTCTATGGCGATACATGGAAAACACAAAGCCCTCCTGGACCTCCTGTAGTGTTTTTTTTGATCTTGGTGCAAACGGGTCAGGCCGCTTCTCTAGGCATGCTCTGATTTTTAAAGCAGCCCTGAGCAATTCGGTTAAATGTTTCCTAAGACTTTCTGGCATTGCCTCTGCAGTATTAATATCTACTGACATGAGATGCAGTACTGTTCGAAAGAGCATCCGTTGAACCAAAGCAACTGGCTCTTCAGTCCAACCTGCAGACAGCACGTGGCTCTCTACATAGTCATTGAGATTACAGCAGTCTCCAAAACCCACTAGGAATTCAGTCAGGGTGGGTACTACACTGGCTGCCAGGGCAGAGTTATGATTCAAAGCAATGTCAAACTTACAGACTTTTTCCAGTAAAGATAACAAGACATGACATAAGTCAAATGGAGAATTATTCATGTTACTGAGAATAGACAAGGCAGCTGGCTCACTTAAAATATCAGAATTAGACTCTAGTCTTGGAATGATGTCTCTGGAACTTTCCAAAGCCATGGTGTCAGGAGTCTGCTCTTTGGTTACAAGCGAGTCGAGTTGAGCTGTAAGGTGGCCCTTAGGAGGCTGCACTACAAAGCGCTGCAGCACGTGGGGCCGCCTATGCTTACTCACGGCTGGACTTTTCTCATCAGAATTGCCTTCTGAGTCAGAGGTGGAGAGCTGTGTCTTTCTTGCATCTCTGACAGAGTAGCGATGGGTACTTTTACGCTGTCGTCTGCTTTTTCGAAAAAGGTTTACTTTTGCAGAAACTTGACCATGTGGAGTACTTCCTTCTAAATATAATTTTCCCTGAGTAGATCTTTGTGAACCTGAATGTTTTTCTTTGGTCAGGATTATATCAGACGACAATGGCAGGTTAAAATCTAAAAAAAAAAGAAGAAAGAATGATTTTGTTGTAGGCTGCTTTCCTTCAGCTTGGTGAAGTGTCTGGGTCACTTCCCACACTAAACACCAGGGGGCTTTAATTCAAAGAGTACTAATTGATCATGAAAACAACCAAAAACAGATTTAGGAAAGCAAATTACATCTCAACCCATGTATTGCACCCTAACTTCCAAATATGTAGAAGTTGTAGTGTGTGGTATTCCTCATTACACTGATAATGCCACAATTAACACACAGGGGTATATTATGTTCTCAAAAAAGTATCGATTCATAGTTTTTAAAGAATCTTAATACAAACCATATAGCACATACCAAATATTCACCAAGATTGCAATTAAGATAGTTCTTCATTCAAAATATTTCTCTGGTGTCTCCTGCTAGAACAAGCACTTAGAAATGGCTTTTGCTAAAAAGTACCAACTCCCTACATGCCCTATAAGTTATCTAAAAGCAGGCTAATACCTGACATCTCTCCCTCCATTCTCCATGTCTCCTTTGCTATGAGTCTCTTTACTGTAGCACTCTGGGTACTGGCACCAAGGGTGATAGTTATGGCAAGGACCATAATTATCCCCAAGGCACATCAAAACGTCACAGGACAATGACATATGATGAAGCTGCAACTTGAAGCACAGCTACCAGCTCATGGGAACCAGAATGCTCTCCTCAAGTAATGACAACAACTTCTCTAGAAACAGAACTGAGATCATGATCAAACAGGTGACATTTTGCCTAGGATTGCTTAATTATGCATACCTCTTGTCCCCTATCCCAGTTCTTTCTCTATTTAAACCTAAAGCTCAGGGCTATACCCTGAAGATGGACGGTAAGCTTTGCTTTGCCTCTTCTTCTTCTTCTTCTTCTTTCTTCTTCTTTTCTTTTTCTTCTTCTCTTCTTCTTCTTCTTCCTCCTCTTCCTCCTCCTTCTCTTCCTCCTCTTCCTCCTCCTTCTCTTCCTCCTCCTCCTCCTAACCCTAACCCTCCTCCTCCTAACTCTAACCCCCCCCTCCTCTTCTTCCTCCTCCTCCTCCTTCTTCTTTTCTTCTTCTGCATTTTAGGTAAGTGACCAAACCTGCCACATTGGAACCTCTTGAGTTGGGCCTCTGGCCTAGGACTGTAGTTATAATGCCTTCAGCTATGCATAGGTAAGAGACATCATTGCTTTATCCTCAGTCTCAAACCTAGAGCCTAACATGTGGTCAGTAACCACTAATTATTTCTTGGAGAATGAATTCTCCTCACTAAAGATAACTAATTTACCTTTCCCTTTGTAATATGTTATAAGAGCTATATGAAAAATATTTTTAATTTGGGGCATATAAATAAAAATCTGTAAATAAAATACCCATGCGTTCATTAGGAGAGGGAAAATATAACAGATGAGAACAAAAACTTAAAGGATCTGATCAATTCTACCCAAGCAAAAGATACTGGCGTACAAGGAAGATGGCATCCCTGAAAAAGCACTACTAGTCAGATTCTTAAGGGATAAACAATATTTGAATTCAAATTCCAAAGAAAAATAAGAGCAGGGAGTTACTGATCAACAAACAAGCACACATCAGTATTAGAAGGCCTTATTGAAAAGAGTTTCACCGCAGAAATTTACTACAAATTAAAACTCATGCAATAAAATATAGGAGGACTTTTTTAAAACCTGAGAGATTTTAAAACACATGGACAGGATGGAAAACTGTCCATCTTCCCATGAAATATTTAAAGTTGCATATATTTTGTATATAATTTTTTTCAAAATCTGAAATTAAAAATATCTATTAGCGTTGTCACTCCTACCTAGTCTTAAAAGAAAATAATACTTCAGATTTGTACTTTAAAAAAATCAGTGACCATGCTGCTCTCGATGTATTTCTTCTCAGTGGGATTTTGAAAGCACAAGTGCTGGCTGCAGAGGAAACATACCTGTTGTCTGTTGGTCCTGAACAGGGATCTTCCATACCAGGGGAAGGAGCGAGAGAAGCAGAGTCAGGAGCTCTTCCCTGCATGTCAGCGCCTATGTCAGAAACAAGGGAGTCCTCTAATTTGTGCTAAGAGCACATATTAGACACATCCATGTCTAATACCTTGTCTTAAATTGAACTAAAACACCCTTTTTCTTTAAAGGCTGTACTTGAGAACCTAAGAATCAAATTAATCCATCTTAAAGATAAATTAAAACAGAGACGCTTTTCCATTTATAAGCTTTTCCTATGACAAGAATGTAACACTATGTGGCAGTACTTAACACATTCTTGTTGGTATTTCCAAAAGTAGCTGCCATTACCACCATGCACTTGAAAGAATTCCTCACCTATGAAGAAAACAGATTTGTTAGGTGAAAATGAAAAGTTGAGCCCTATTAAACAACAAAATAATAACTCAATGTTACTGGGAAAATGTAAGACTTCATGCAGTTAAATATGAAACTCAGGAAACATAAAATTTTATATATATATATATATATATACACACACACACACATACACACACACACACATATATATATATATATATATATATATATAAAAGTTATTAGTGAAGATGATTTTACATGTTTATCAACTGCACGCGACAGCCAGAGGACTTCCTGTCTTACCCTTTCTGGAGTAAGTGGTCCAAGCTGGAGAAGGCCCCCTCATTTGGTCCATAAAATACATACACACAAACAAGAACAATAGAAGGTATGCAGTGTAAATCAGTCCTCTAGCTGTACAGATATTCAATTTAGGAAGTCAGAACAAAGAGCAGTCATTATCAGAAATATAGAAGGAGGAGGAGAACCAGGGAGCTACACGCAGGACATTGAATAACCAATTAAATCAGGAGTTATTCCTCTCATCAAGCTGTGGGGATGGGATCAGAAGAAGAGACAGTGTTAAGGCAAGGTCACAAAAGTCCACTAGAGAGAGAAGATGACCATCTAAAGTACTCTGACAACAGAAGTGGAAAAGGAGATATATTTGAGAAACTGAGACAGAACTGATACAACTTTACAGTTGGTTTTCTCTGAGGCAAAAGAAATCATTTTTTAAAGATCTAAAAAGTTTCTGTTTTAGGCTATTAGGTAGCTAGCAATGTTCTCCAAAACAAAAAATTTAGCAGTGGTCCTGGGTTGGGGGAAAGATGAATTCACCTTTTAGATACATGGTGTCTGAGACGCCAGTTTGATACCCATATGGGAAGCTTTTTAATAGAGATGATCTATGGATCTGGAACCTAAACAAAGAATATGGATAAAAAGACTTGAGAGGTACTGGTGTAGGTAGGGGTTGGGGACTGAGGCGGGGGGGGGGGGGGGCAGGGGTGTAGGGATGGCGGGGAGTCCAGGACGTATGTGAGGAATCCCAGAGAGAGTGAGGAAGACAGAATGATGAGAACAGGGGAGTGCTTGTGGACTGAAGGATGGACAGTGCTGAAGGGAAGCCTGCAAAGAAGACTGAAAAGTAAATCTTAGAAGAGAAGTGGAACCAGAGAAACCAAAGAAAGTAGTGCAAGAAAAAAGGATAGTTAACCGGGTAAAAAGCTATTGTTCTTGCAAATAAGGGAAACCATGGGACCTATGTTTCTTTGGGCCTCGCTTACTTCACTTCATGTAATTTTTTCCCAAGTCTTTCCATTTCCTAACAAATGGGGCATTGTCATTCTTTCTGATGGAGGCATAGAATTCCATTGTGTATATATACCACATTTTCTTGATCCATTCATCTACTGAGGGGCATCTGGGTTGGTTCCATATCTTAGCTATGGTAAATAATACTGCAATAAACATAGTTGTGCTGGTAGCTTTAGTATGGTCTTGTTTGTGATCATTTAGGTAAATGCCCAAAAGTGGGATTGCTGGGTCTTGATGTTGGTATAATTTGGGGAGGGGAAGGAAAAAAACAAATCATTTAAATAGCGATACAGGTGGACCCATTGCAACAATGAGATGTACAAGTCGTTATGTCAAAAAACAAACTTTACAACTTTGGCCAGGGGTGGGAAGGGGGTGTGTGGCGGGTGTAGTGGGGAGATGGGAAGGGGAAACAAAGGAGGAGGCAACAATGCTTGATAAGAAATGTACTCATTACCTTGCCCATGTACTTGTAACCCCCATGTTCGGTATTTTCACAATAAAAAAACTACAGCAAGAAAATGATGATCATAAAATTATCCAAATGAATAATAAGATATAATGCGTGTATGTAAATAATCAAGGAATACATTGTTTTTCAACCTGCATGAAAACAAAGTGCACCAAAGATACAATAATTAAGTTTAAATTGTTACTTAACTGAGGAACTAAATAAATCTTATTCCTAGTACATAGTTAAATTAAAAAAAAAAACTATTGTTCTTGATCTATGCAAGATGATGGCCGAAGTCTTTCACTTTTTCACAGGGACTAGAGCGTGCCTGGGGGACCTTCACAAATGCAACCTTAATGGAATGCTAATGGGATGACCAATGTGTGAGTTCCATTATAACAGACTGAAGTGTCAAACAAGGTAAGGTCTAAAATACATGGTCTTCAATAAAGGAAGCTACTTTTTTTAGCTCATCCTTCCTGTAGAGTACTAATCCTCATCTTTATATTTAATAGACAGTGGTCTAATGGAGCTTTCAGGACCTCCATGTGTGACACAGAACTACAGATACATTGTCTTAATAAGTTAGCTCGCTGCTCCACAGCAGTACACTGGTAAATTGTCACTGTTGTGTGAACAGGAATTCCTGCCTCCTGTGACACATGGCTCTTGTATGTCCCTCATTCCTTCCCACCACTTTAGGGCTTCACCCTGGAAATATCTCCTCTGCAAAGTTTTCCATCAACTCAGACGACTGCTTTCCTTCTCAGGATTTCATGCCAAGGGTCCCAATTTTCTAAGTGGATTAGTTCTCAAAACCTATGGCCTTTCTAAAGGATAAGGCTGTACTTGGGTTTACCTTTACCACTGGAATTAGAGCCATCCTGCAGTCTGATACAACAACAGGGGAAAATCAATCTTTATTTCACAATCAATGAGCATATTTCCAACACAATTCATATTTTTGTATTTCATAAAATACTTTTTTTCTTATTTGTAGGCACCCTGAAAAACCAGAGCTTGCAGCCCTTTATTTCAAATCAAGCTCTAGTTTTATCTCCCAGGGTCTTAAGTGTACATAATCACACAGTATATGGGGGAGCAGGGAGTCTTTTAATACCTTATGTCATAGACAATACAGGCCATACACAGAACCATTCCCTGGCTATTTCTAAATAGCCTTGCTTAATATTTACACTTTTAACTACCTTCTTGAAGTTAAAAAGGCTAGTCTTACCTTTTAAACTTCCTCAAAATAATAATAAACAGCAAAATAATTTTCATTCAGGTAGCACTTTTTAAATTCAATTCAAAAAACATATCTCAAGTACCTGCCCTTTTTATACTTGCATTGTTAGCCTAGATTTTTAACTAATTGTCCAGCTTAGACATTCAGAAGCAGTAGTAGCAGAGTGGGACACAGCGCAAATGAAGTAAGTCAGGGAAAAGCTGATATCCTGAACCATTCTGATGTCTAGGAATCTCCAACGGCTGATAGGCAGCAAAAAGGGGTCCTCAAATGTCATGCCAAGGAACATCAAGAAAATTTTGGATAGGCAGGAAAAAGGAAGCAATCTGTTGGACAAAACATCTCAAAGCATAGAGCCAAAAGTCCTGCAAAACCATTAATTAAAGAATTATATCATAAGCTGGGCACCGGTGAGACTGAGATCTGAGTATCACGGTTCAAAGCCAGCTTGGGCAGGAAAGTCCGTGACACTCTTTTTTTTTTATTGTGAAAATACCGAACACGGGGGTTACAAGTACATGGGCAAGGTAATGAGTACATTTCTTATCAAGCATTGTTGCCTCCTCCTTTGTTTCCCCTTCCCATCTCCCCCCTACACCCGCCACACAACTCTTCCCCACCCCTGGCCAAAGTTGTAAAGTTTGTTTTTTGACATAACGACTTGTACATCTCATTGTTGCAATGGGTCCACCTGTATCGCTATTTAAATGATTTGTTTTTTTCTTTCCCCTCCCCAAATTATACCAACATCAAGACCCAGCAATCCCACTTTTGGGCATTTACCTAAATGATCACAAACAAGACCATACTAAAGCTACCAGCACAACTATGTTTATTGCAGTATTATTTACCATAGCTAAGATATGGAACCAACCCAGATGCCCTTCAGTAGATGAATGGATCAAGAAAATGTGGTATATATACACAATGGAATTCTATGCCTCCATCAGAAAGAATGACATTGCCCCATTTGTTAGGAAATGGAAAGACTTGGGAAAAAATTACATGAAGTGAAGTAAGCGAGGCCCAAAGAAACATAGGTCCTATGGTTTCCCTTAGTTGCAATAACTAGTATATGTCTGAGACAAGCAGAAAAGGTCAGATAAGTTGATGTTAAGTGAAATGAACCCCAAGATAAGTATTCAAATGTTTTTTTCTTTCTTGCAATTGTTTCTAGCATATTTATGGTGATTTCTTTGTTTCTTTGTATGTCCCTCCCCCACGGTATAACCCCTGCTTTCCATGACACTCTTATCTCCAATAAAACCACTAGAAAACTGGAAGTGGTGCTGTGGCTCAAACAAGTAGAGCACTCGCCTTGAGCTGAAGAGCTGAGGGACACCGCTCAAGCCCAGAGTTCAAGCCCCACGACCGACCAAAAAAAAATAAAAAAAGAATTACATCAAAAAATGAACACATGGGCTGGGTACCAGTGAGTCACACCTGTCATCCTAGCCACTCAGGAGGCTGAGATCTGAGTATAGCTGTTCAAAGCCAGTCTGGGCAGGAAAGTCCAAGGGACTTGAATTTCCAATTAGCCACCAGAAAACCAGGAGAGGTACTGTGGCTCATGTGGTGGAGCACTAGCCTTGAGCTGAAGAGTTCAGGGACAGTGGCCAGGCCCTGGATTCAAACCCCATGACTGATAAACAAACAAACACATTCCAAGCCCCCAGAATAGAAGGAGGTGCTGCTCTCATAGACCTGCAATCTTCCATAACCACTATGGTTAAGGAAATGCTACATGCCTCTTTCCCTGTCCCGTTAACTGTGTGGCTAGCTTTTCCCCATCTTGTCACTGTGCATGTAGGACTCTGGAGATGGGGGCAGGTAGTTTGCCTCTTGGTTCACAAATTTTCCACTGAGAAGAGCTACAACAAAAGTACCATGTGTGGAAGCTCACCTGGGACCCAGTGCATACAGGGAGATCCCGAGCTTTCCAGGAAGATGCAGGATAGGACCATACTCTGTGAGGCAGGGAAGGAGTGCAGGAGGAATGTTATTTTGGCCAAAGAGGAGTATGGTGGATGAAACATAGCTACAGACTAACTGTAGTTCCTCCTATCAAGTGATGGGCTTTACTTCTCCATCCCTTAAATCTGAGTTGGCTTTGGGGGTTGTTTTGACCAACAATGCAATCAAAATGGCTATGTAGCTTCTTGCCACTTCCCCCTTCCCTCTTCAGAGTGTTTCCAACTATCAGGTAAAGAGGCTAGATGTGGCTTAATGAGAAACGTGGCCTACTTATCCATGTGGGCAGAACTGAGGCAGCCATCAAACAACCCTCAGCCTCCTAAATGACTGAATTCTTGTACACCGAAATAGGTGTACATGCTTATTCCTCTTTGTACTGTGAATCCCTATGTGAGGATGCCAGGCCGTTTTTGTCATCACTATCAGCCCTTCTTTTCAAAAGCAAGAGCTCCTGGTAAAGATAGTCTCTGTTTTTTCATCCCTGCATCCAGAAGGTGCTAGACACAGTAGGTACTGAATGGTCTGTTGAATAAATCAGTAAACTACATAGCCATACTACAGTATGCCACTATAGAGGAGCTAGTTAAGCAGCACTACATGTGAAAGTGATATTACTACAAAGTTGTAGAAAAAGTAAGATGGTATTTCACAGAAAAATAGCTAAAGGTTAAAGTAACAATTTTCCTTGATTTTACTCTTAGAACCTGTATCAAGTGACTTTTGTCATTTAATTGCTCCAGATCTCAGTTTCTTCATTAGTAACAGAAGGAGATCTATTTGGATAACTAAAAGACCTTTTAGGGGTTGAAGGCATGAATTGGGTAGTAGAGCCTCAGTACTCTTATTTTAAACATGGAGTTTGACTTCTTATATAATAGGTGGCAAGTGATCTGGTGCCAACATAATTTATCAAAATTGGACTAGCAAGTGTTGGGGATATGGTTCAATGGAAAAGTGCTTGCCTCGCATGTACAAGCCTCTATGTTCAATCTCCAGCACCACAATAAAAAGAAAATGTCAGTTCTCATAATTTGATTAGCATACATAACCATGAGGTACAAGTGATATTTAAATTTTTAATAATAATTATCATTCCTATGCCTAGATGGTCAAGTATGAAGTTTTACTGAAGGAAGTTATATAATCTTAAATGATTTTAGTCATTTACTAATGCATTAAAATATTTCATGGCTTAAAAGAGAAAAGATAAAATCTTCAGAGACAGAAAGCAGATAGGGTGGCTGCTTAGAGCTGGGAACAAAGGGGCTGGGAAGGTAGCTCAGTGGTAGAGCGCTTGCCTTACATGCCTGAGGCCCTGGGTTCGATTCCTCAGCACCACATAAGCAAAAAGAAAAAAAGCCGGAAGTGGCACTGTGGCTCAAGAGGTAGAGCGCTGGCCTTGAGATGAAGAGCTGAGGGACAGCACCCAGGCCCAGAGTTCAGGCCCCACGACTGGACCCAAAAAAAAAAAAAAGAGCTGGGAACAGATAGAGAGGGTATGGAGTTTCTTTCTGAGGTGATAGAAATGTTCTGAAACTGCCTAAAACAATGGGTTAATACATCTCTGACTACACTATAAACTTGTCTATGTGACATGGGTAAATTGTATAATATGTGTAGATTTTAAAAAGCTAGTGAACCTAGCACAGGTGGCTCACACCTATAAAGCTAACTACGCAGGAGGCTGAGATCTGAGAAGCAAGCCTGGGCAGGAAAGTCCATGAGACTCTAATCACCAGTTAACTCACAAAAAGCTAGAAGTGGAGCCGTTACTCAAGTAAGAGGAAAAATAAGGGAAAACAAGCAAACAAGCTCAGTGACAACGCCCAGACCCTGAATTCAAGCCCAGGACCAGCAGAAGAAAAAAAAAAAAAACTAGTGCAATTCCTATAGGGAATACATGATCAATTTAGAGAAAACCTATCATTACAGTATTGATTCTTTCAATAATATTACATAGTTCTCCATTTATTAGGGACTACTTTAGTGTCTCATAATGCATTATGGAATTCCATGCTTAAGTACTGCACATATTTTATTATATTTATTCCTGGGGACTTACATGGTATCTTTTAAGAAAGACAGACCTGGGCATGGTATCTGAAGCCTGAAATCCTAGTGACCTGGGAGGTGGTGACTGGGGAATCAGGGTTCAGGGCCATCCTGGGCATAAAATTTCCTGAGATTTCATCTCTTTCAAGGTTGGGTGTGGTGGTGGGCACTGTCATTAGGAGAAGTACAATGGTTGGACACAATGGTACATACCTGTTATCAAAGCAATATGCCTAAGTAGGAAGATCACGGCCCAACTCAGCCTGGATTGAGACTCTACCTCTAAAATAACCAAGGTAAAAAGGAACTAAAGCTGGGCACAGGTGGCTTCATACCTGTAATCCTAGCTACTCAGTAGGCTGAGATCTGAGGATCACAGTTCAAAGCCAGCTCAGGCAGGAAAGTCCATGAAACTCTTATCTCCAATAAACTCAGAAAACTGGAAGTGGCACTGTTAGCTCAATAGCCTTGAGCTAAAGAGCTGAGGGACAGTGCCAGGCCCAGAGTTCAAGCCCCATGACCAACAAAAAAAAAAAGAAAGAAAGAAAAAGAAACTAAAGGTGTGGCTCAAGTAGTAGACTGTCTGCCTAGCAAGCTTGAGGTCCTGAATTCAATTCTCTGTACCAAGAGGAAGGAAGAGCATTAGACAGCAAGCCCATATGGCCATACCATACTTCAAACAAAAACAACAATGCATACAGGCTAAAGAAAGTAGTAAGTATTAGCAAGCTCCTTAAATCTGTCATACTAAAAATTTTTTAAATGAATTGGACCATTACTGAAAAAGGAAATTCATGTTTCTAAATTATAACCTTATACAATAATCAGTTGCTTCACAATATTTGGATAAAAAATATGTATGAAACACATCAGAAAAAAGCCAATTAAATTTCTAACATATTTCACATAGTAAAACATATCCAAGTAAATTATATAGTTGTAAATGGAGTTGTTGTCTTTCTGTTTTCTAGAGCGATGTAGGAGCTAGGCCTTTATCTCAGAGCCTCTAAGAAACAATATCACCCAAAATTATACATTTATGACCAAATACAATATACTGAGGAAAAACAATGATAGGAAAATGTTACCTGATCAATGATAGAATTTAGCTTGGTAAGTAACAGAAATCCTCGCCCATAAACAAGGTATTGTCCCAGGGCAGCCATATGTGTCTCCTCTTCTTCTTCCCTGGCCTCTGCCCTCTGAACCACTGCATTGCAAAGCCGGTTGACATCAGTCAGAAATTCACGTGCCAATGAGTTACTGTCAGTGCTCATGACAGAGCTACGAAGCAAGTATAACAAAAAAAGATTAGAAAAATGAATACAAATTTACTTTCAAACTGTGTGGTTGTTTTGTTTTGTGGTTTTTTTTTTTTTAGTTGGTTGTGGAGCTTGAACTCTGGGCCTGGGCACTGTCCCTCAGCTCTTCAGCTCAACGAGCACTCTACCACTTGAGCCACCTCGCCACTTCCAGTTTTCTGGTGGTTTATTGGAGATAAGATCTCATGGACTTTCCTGCCCAGGCTGGCTTTTGAACCGCAATCCTCAGATCTTAGCCTCTTGAGTAGCTAGGATTACAGGTGTGAGCCACCACACCTGGCTTTGTGGTTTTTTGTTTTTGTTTTTTCTGCTTATGTGGTGCTGAGGAATCAAACCCAGGGCTGCATGCATGCAAGGCAAGCACTCTACCACTGAGCCACCTTCCCAGCCCGTGGTTTGTTTTTAACATAAAATTTAATATAAAATTATCCAGTTATTGGTCTTAACCTTATAAAATTCTCGGGTATAGTTCTAAACTACACAGGCATTTCTTGAATAATCCCTGCAAGGAAGAAATAAGTGCCAGGTGTGAAATGTCTTAGCACAGTTTAGAAAGGTAAGATACCACCAGTGGGTGGTAGAAGTTAAGATAGATTCTGCTATAAAACAGATAAACAAGTTAGGCATGGTGGCATTATAGGCATTATAGGCTTATAATGTCTATAATCCTAGCTACTCAGAACTCAGAGATGAGAATTGAGGTTGGAGTTCAGCATGAGGATGGGAGAGAGGAGGAATTTGTGAGATCCCATATCAATCAACAGTTTAGCATGGTAGTATGATTGTCATCTCAGAAAATTGGGGAAAAAATCATGAATGGGAAGAAAATTGTGGTCCAGGTCAGATCCTGAATAAACACAAACCACCCTATTCAAAAATAAGCTCAGTTAACAGAGTTTAAGAAGGACTCCTATCAGGTAAGAAAAAAAAAATTGAAGAATTCTAGCAGGTGAAGTTAGGCCACTTGGCTTTAGGATGCATATGAATCAAATAAAAAAATGTCACACTTTAATATGCAGAAAAACAATAAGACAAAACAGACAAAAGTGGTGATACAGAGAAAACAAGTATTCAGAAAGGAAGTCATGAACAACAAAATATTAAAAGAGTTTCAGAAAATGGAACTGTGGCTCAAAATGGTAGAGCTCTAGCCTTGAGTGAAATTGCTCAGGGACAGCACCCAGGTCCTAAGTCCAAGTCCCATGACTGACAAAACAACAACAACAAACAAAAAAATCCAGATTTTCAAAACAATTTATCTTAAGGTTAAAAGTAATTTTGAGAGGAGGTGAAATAGACTAGAATGTATCATAAACATGTGTGGAGATGTAACAATGAAATCCCCTCTTGTATTACTAATGTGAGCTAACAAACAAACAAAAAAACCCAGCAATTCTGAGCCTACAGTAACCTTTAAAAAATGCTTATCCCAGAGATGTAAAAGGAAAGGAGACACGAACTGCCCAGTTTCCCTTCGCCATTTTACAGTCCTGCTGAGAGAGCAGGGGCTACGCATAATAAGAAATGACTATACAAGCTGCCATATCAGTAAAAACTATTCTTTATACATCCTAGTGTACAAAGAAATATATGTTTTTCTTGATTACACATGTTTATAGACATAAAATTGTTTGGTAATGTGTTATCTGTTTTTAAAATTCATACAGATATTATAGTATATGTATTTATACTGTTTTCTTCCAGCAACAATATGTCTGTTCCTTTAAGCTATTTTGTAATATGCTACTGCATGAATCAACCACCATCCAACAGAAAGTTTAGGGTTTTGCTCTGGGGCTAAATTAATGATATCTAACTATGTTATTTCAAAGTCTTCAAATGAATTGTCTTTTTTTTTTTTTTTTGGTCGTGGGACTGAACTCTGGGCCTGAGCGCTGTCCCTGAGCTCTTCAGCACAAGGCTAGCGCACTACCACTTGAAAAAAGCCACTTCCGGCTTTTTTCTGTTTATGTGGTGCTGAAGAATAGAACCCTGGGCCTCATGTATGCAAGACATTCACTCTACCACTGAACCAAATTCCCAGCCCTGAATTAAGCCTTTTGATTGCTAATATTTCTTACATTTGATACTTACCAGTCTTTTAACGCTTCTGTAACATTTACAAATGTATAATTTGGGTTCAAAAACTAGACAAAACACACTCTTAGGATAAAGCTTCACCTACAAAAAAACCCCAAATATATGAATTCCAATAGTAAACAATAAAGAATTTTAACAAATAAGATTCTAACATAAAATCACTGGCCAGTCTTGACATATAATAACTGGGTCAACCAATGAAGTTTTTATAATCTCAGGAGTACACTAAAAAGAATGTTTAGCTTTAAGAAGTGAGTTTTGAGGGAGGGAGTTCCGGAACATGGTGCTATGAACTTAACCATAGATCTCTTCTCTTTTTCCAGTAAATCACAAGTTATCTACCAAGAAGAATCAAGTTGGTACTAATCAAGTTGGTAGCATATCACTTATGTATAACTCAGAATTCCTGAACAGCAAAATTATTGTTGTCCCGTCAGGGTGAAAGATATATGATGAACACAAAATGAGTCACCGATGACTAATTACCAAATTTCATATTCTTCAAACAAATTAATTACTTGTGTACAATACAATGATGACTATTTCTAGACTACCATGGAAAAATTCCTACTTCTAGGATAGCATCAGGATGCTTTTCTTTAGCTATCTAGTCTCTCCTCCCCTTCACTTCAGTTTTTATACTTTTTTTCCCTCCAGAGCTGAGAACCTAAGTTAAGATCTTGCACTTTGATTTACCCAAATGTTTACAAACAAGACCACACTAAAGCTACCAGCACAACAATGTTTATTGCAGCATTATTTACGATAGCTAAGATATGGAAACAACCCAGATGCCCCTCAGTAGGTGAATGGATCAAGAAAATGTGGTATATATACACAATGGAATTCTATGCCTCCATCAGAAAGAATGACATTGCCCCATTTGTTAGGAAATGGAAAAACTTGGAAAAAATTATATTAAGTGAAGTAAGCCAGGCCCAAAGAAACATAGGTCCCATGGTTTCCCTTATTTGCAATATCTAGTATATGTATGAGTCAAGCGGAAAAGGTCAGATAATGTGATGTCAGGAAAATGAACCCTTAGATATGTATTTTAATGTTTTTTTATGCATGTGTTTCTAACGCATTTATAAGATTATCTCTTTGTTGCTTTGTATGTCCTTCCTCCACAGTATAACCCCTGCTTTCACTACATTTGATGTCAGTATAACTTGTGGAGGAGATGGGGAAAAACCAGTTGTTTAAGGATACAGGTGGACCTGTTGCAACAATGAGAAGTACAAGTTGTCATGTCCAAAACGAGCTTTACAACGTCGGTGCGGGGGAAGGAGAAGGATTGGGATTGGGGGGGAAGAGGGAGGCTGGGAAGGGATGTGAAGGGTAAACCAAAGGAGGAGGCTGCAATGCTTGGTAAGAAATGTATGCATTATCCTGCCCATGTAATTGTAACCCCTCTGTACAGTATGTTCACAAATAAAATTAAATTAAATTAAAAAAAAAAAAAAAAGATCTTGCACTTTGCCAGGCAAGTACTCTTCCACTGAGCCAATTCCCCAACCACTTTCACTTTAGTTTTTAACGGGAATAAACATCAAAATATTTCTTATTACAGTTTTAAAGGTTTAGTTTTAGTTACAAGACTTTAAAAAAATAAAAGCAATCTTTAATTGCTTCAGAGCACTCAAATCTGGAAACCTACCCTGAGTTTTCTTGGCAAACACTTCTTGTAGCATACATTATTCTGGGCTCTTGAGAACATGGTAAGGAAGGAGACAGAGGCATGTTAGACTAGAAGAGCTTGGTGTGTGGGGAGAAACCACCCTTTCAGATGGGTGCAACTGCAAACAAGGGCTGGCCCTCATACTCGCTCCTCTAGATGACCACTAGTGGCCAGTATAGCCGCTCAACCCAACAAAAGTCTTGGGAAGGAGTCAAAATGCCTTCCATGACTGCTTCTGAGCTAATCAAAATCTGTGTATATTTTAAACCTAAAAATTATGAAAGAGGAAATGATCATTCAAATTATGGTCTAAAAATGGTTTTCCACTCACTGTTCTAACTGCTGGTTAACTAGTGATATCTGGACTACTGATAGATTCATGTATCCTACAACTGTTTTGCTCTTACTAAAAGACATTTTCTAAGCCATAATAAGGGATTTCTCTAAGGCTCATAAACAGACATGGCTTCTTTATCTCCAGATTCTGAAAAGCCCAGATCCACATCCATAGAGTTTCAGACTGTCCAAGACCATAATTACTACTTTCAGCAGGCAGATCCCTGACTCTACCACCACTCTTTACATACAACTGTGTTCAAATTTGGTTGTTTTGGTTATCCTGGGATTTGAACTCAGGGTCTCACATTAACAAGGCAGGCACTCTATTGCTGAGCCATGCCTCCTGCCCTCTTTTGCACTAATGATTTTGACACAGGGTCTCATTCTTGCCTGAGCACTTCTTTCTTATTTTTTTTGTTTCTTATTATAGCTGGGATGACAGGTATGTACTATCATACCCAGCTTCTTCAACTGAGATTGCGTTTTTCAGATTTTTCTGTCCTGGCTGGCCTAGAACCATAATCCTTATGAAATAAGCCTCACATGTAGCAAGGATTGCAGGCATAAGCCAATAGTACCCACTTTGTATTCTAATTTTCATATTATATTATATTATTGTATATACTACTCATATCAAGTTCCATCAAGTCTGGAAATACATATTTTAGTAGGCTTAGAGATATCTTTGCACAGCATACATATTTATCTGTTTCTGAACTATACAGATACCTTGTAACTACTCAGTTATTTGCCTTTCTTATACCCTAGATCATAAGCTTTTTATGGGAAAAGAGTGTCTTATTCTTATAAGGCCAATTTTAAAGTCAATATATTACTATAATTTTGCATTTGCAATATAATGTATTGTAATACAATGTATCATACAATGTATCATAACAGAAAAAAATGAGTCCCAACAGTTCTAGAATGTTTATAATTATATTTACTATATATGAAACATATAGTAATAATTACTTTTAATCATATAAATAACCTCAGAAAATAAGTTTAGTCTGATTTCATATAGTGATTAATGAAATATGAACAGAACAATAAAAAAAAAAACAGTAAAAAAGGATCCTGCTTTAATGTTTTAACTAAATCTTCTAGTTTCAGATCATCAGAAACTTCATCAATATGTCATTTTATTCAATATAGTAAATATTTACTATGTGCCAGCTACTATATTATGCTCTAAGAAGAGCAAAAATAAAACCTACCCTCATGGACTGCAATAGAGACAGATTAAAAAAATCATATATTAGCATGTCAGACATTAGTAAAAGCTACAAAAAAATTAAAACAGAATACAGTGATAGGATGTTACTCTAGAAGGTCTGAAGAAGTGAAATTTGAGCAGAAATCTGTCTAGAGTAAAAAATGGGTCATGAGGGTACCTGGAAATATGTATTTTAAGGTACTGATATAAATGCATGTTTGATACAGTGAATATTAAATGCAAAAGAAAAATCAAGGACTAGAGGCATGGCTTAGCAGTAGAGCACCTGCCTAGCAAGTGTGAGGTCCAAGTTCAAACCTCAATACTGCAAAGAAAAAGCAGAGAAGTTGAAAGTGACTATTTAAAGAAGGAGTGAAAAAGTCACCAGTCCTACCTCCCAGGCACTGAACTAACATGTGCAAAGAGAGAACAGAAGTGTCCCTGAAAATGTCTCTTCCTAAGAATAAATTCCTAATCTCATATCCCCTCATGAAAAATACTATTGTTTCCTGACAACAGAAGGGCAAGGCAGATGGAAGACAGAGCTCCGCTTTACCTATGTCAAGTCTGATAGTTCTCTCAGAAACCAAGTAAGGGATGTTAAGTAGGCAGATGGAAATACAAGACTATGGTTCTGGTGGGAAAGAGGGAACTGCTGAATCAATTTACTAGAATGAAATTCCAGAGCAGTGTTGTCTATAAGAACTTGCAGAGACAATGGGGCTGTGGGGCTGTCTTGTGATCTTTGCTCACTAACATAGCAGACAAAAGTCACATGTTGCTTGTCACTGCTGCAATTAACAGTGGGAACTTAGGATGATGCCCAAGTTTGGGCGGAATCAAGGGAGGAGAAGCATTTTGCCCAGGAAAGAAAAGGAACAGCAAGTGAAGTGGGAGACAAGTCAGCAGCATACTGCCTCCCAGAAATCAAGCACAGAAAGCTCAGAAAAGGAAAGAGTGAGCAACGATATAAAATCTTGCTAAGAGAAGAAGGAAGAGGAAGACTGGGAATTAACTTGGATTTAGCAACATGGAAGTTCCTGACAAACTTGTCATAGAATGATATCAGGGAAGTAGAGAAGAGTACTGACAGAATAAAAGCAAGCAATCTAAACACCACTATTGAGAAGTTCTGCTACAAAGCATGCAGACAACTTAAGAGAGGCACAGGCTAAAACAATTTTTAAAAAACTGATATCAGAGCTTCTCTAAGCTGAGATACAGCATGTTAGCACAACCAAGAAAGAAAGGTCAACTAGAATGAAAAGAATAATGCTAGGAGCAATGGAGGCAAAATTAAGAGGATCTAATAGCATACAACCCAGTTCATCTAACAGATGAATATGAATGTCAGAGTACATGTGTACATATGTAAGAAGATGATTAACAGATTTAGCAGTGTGAAGAGCATGAGGTTTTTGTTTTGCTTTTCTGGTGTTTCTTGCACTGGGTCAAAACATGTTACTCCTAAGAGGCTTCACCCTAGGCTACTAATGACCTTAAACCAAGACTGAGTTCCATTGTTCACAAACTGTAGTACAGTATGAGCTCTCCTTTGGTTCCCCGGGTATGGGAAGATAGAAAGACTATTAAATACTTCAGGGAAATCTAGATTTGTTACTGCTGCAATATTCTCCTCTATACCAAAAAATAGAAACTTAGGTTATCAGAAATGAATTCTTCCTAAAGAACTACACAACTCTGATCACCTTTTCCTTCCGTCAACATTTGTGAGTCTTTTAAAGTCCTTTGGGGAGATGGCATCAAGTTCAATAAAAGTCTATAGAGTCTACAGTGTTTTTTAATTCTGCAGTGTTTCCCCTCCTCAGTCTTCTGTAAGTT